TCCCAATTTTTCTATATTTCAGTTTTGGCATTTTTCGATTTTTCAAGTTTTCCATTTCTATCAATTTTGTATATTTTAATTTTAGTTTTTTCGGTTTGTCAATTTTTCGACTTCTAAGACTTTTCGATTTTTTGGACTCTTAAGATTTTTCACATTTTCAATTTTAGAAATTCCATGTTTTTGATTTTTCCGTTTTTCGAATGTTCGATTTTCAATATTCGAATTTCTTTAATTTCCATTTCTCGATTTTGCGATTTTTGAATTTTTCGATTTTCGATCCTTTGATTCTTCGGATTTTCGATTTTCGATTTGTTTCTTGATTTTTTGAAGTTACGATTTCTCGATGTTTCGATTTCTGATTTTCCCGATTTTTCGATTTTTTGGGCTCTTCGATTTTTCAAATTTTCAAGTTTCGAAATTCCGTGTTTGGGATTTTTCGTTTTTCGAATTTTCGATTTTTGATATTCGAATTTTTTTTATTTCCATTTCTCGATTTATTTTTCGATTTCCCGATTTTTCAGTTTTTTGGCTCTCGACTTTTCGATTTCTCGATCTTTTGATTTTTCAATTTTCCTTTGTCCATTTTTCGATTTTCGACGTTTCGGAGTTATTTACGCCACTGGTTTTTACTTTATAGAGATACAAAACAAAAAAAAATGATATTTTTCAAAATACCAGGATTTCAAGCTATACTTCAATCAGTTACATACAGGCAAACAAACAAAACGTAGACGATTAATTTGAAAGTAGAGGGATACGGCCCTGTTCTGTTGTTTCCTTTGCGATTTCTCTGTTATTCAGCTTTTTGGAATCTTCGAATTGTTTGATTTTTAATTTTTTGGATTTTCACTTTCTAGACTTCTCAATTTTTTACTTTTCAATTTTTCGATATTCGAATTTTCGAATTTTGACTTTCCGATTTTCGGTTTAACCATTCTTCAGTTTTTAGATTTTTCAACTATTTTACTTTTCAAATTTTTGATTTAACGAGTTTTCGATTTTCGATACTCGAATTTTCAGTCATTCGATTTTTCTTTTTTTTTAATTTTCGTTTTTTCAGTTTTTCGATTCTTCAGTTTTTAGGCTTTTCAATATTTTTGTTTTTCCATTTCTGAAATTTTCATTTTCATTCTTCAGTTTTTCGATTTCCCAATTTTTTTTACTTCTCAATTTTTCGATTTTTCAAGTTTTCCATTTCTGGATTTATCAATTTTGTGTATTTTAATTTTAGACTTTTCGGTTTGTCTATTTCTTGACTTCTCGACTTTTCGATTTCTCAATGTTTTGAAGTTACGATTTCTCGATATTTCGATTTCTGATTTTCTCGGTTTTTCGATTCTTTTAGGCTCTTAGATTTCTCATTTTCAAATTTCCAGTTCTCGATTTAACGATTTTTGGATTTTTTGACTTTTTGATTTTTCGATTTTCGAACTTTTGATTCTTCGGTTTTTCGATTTTCGATTTGTTTCTTGATTTTTTGAAGTTACGATTTCTCGATATTTCGATTTCTGATTTTTTCGGTTTTTCGATTTTCTAGGGCTCTTTAACTTTTTTCAAATTTTCAATTTTCAAAATTCCATGCTTTTGATTTTTCCGATTTTCGGTTTTCGATATTCGAATTTTTTTAATTTCCATTTCTGGATTTTACGGTTTTTCGATTTCCCAATTTTTTTATTTTTGGATATCTTAGTTTTTCGATGTTTCAATTTTGGAATTTTCAGTTTTTTGTTTCTACAATTTTTCTTTTTTTTTCAATTCATCGATTGATCAATTTTTCGATATTGAGTTTTGGGATTTTTCAATTGTTCGATTATTCAATTTTTTGATTTCTTAAATTTTAGAGTTTTCGAAATGGCTCATTTCGATTTCTTGATTTTTCAATTTTTCAGCTCTCAACCTTTCGATTTCTCGATCTTTTTTTTGTGTTTCAATTTTCCATTTGCTCGATGTTTGGATTTTTCAACTTTTTAATGTTTTGATTTTTCAGTTTTTCGATTTCTTTGTTCTTGTATATGTATTTCAATTTTGGCATTTTTCAATTTTTCGATTTTTCATATTTTTCAATTTTTAATATTTACCTATTTTTCGAATTTTCCATTTCTCGACTTCTCGGTTTTTCAGTGTTTAAAATCTTTGGATTTCTCGATTTTTCGGTTTGTCGATTTCTGATTTTCTCGGTTTTTCGATTTCTGATTTTCTCGGTATTTCGATTTTTTTGGACTCTTAGATTTTTCAAATTTTTAATTTTCGGAATTCTGTTTTTGATTTCTCGATTTTACGATTTTTGATTTTTCGATTTTAAAATTTTTGACTTTCGATATTGCGCTTTTCTGTGTTTGGATTCTCGGTTTTTCGATTTTCGACTTTTACATTTTCAATTTGTGTCTCTATGTATTTTTCAGTTTTTCAAATCTTTGAATTGTCGATTTTTATTTTTTGCATTTTCAGTTTCTAGATTTTCCAATTTTTTTACTTTTCAATTTTTTGATATTCGAATTTTCAATTTTTGACTTCGATTTTCAGTTTTTCCGTTCAGTTTTTCGATTTTTCAACTATTTTACTGTTAGACTTCACGAGCTTCCGATTTTCGATACTCGAATTTTCAGTCTTTCGATTTTTTTTTTCGAATTTTCGATTTTTCAGTTTCCCAATTTTTCTATGTTGCAGTTTTGGCATTTTTCGATTTTTCGAATTTTGCATTTCTCGACTTCTCGGTTTTTCAGTGTTAAAAATTTTTCGATTTTTCAAGTTTTCCATTTCTATCAATGTTGTATATTTTAATTTTAGTTTTTTCGGTTTGTTGATTTCTCGACTTCTAGACTTTTCCGATTTTACGATTTTTGGATTTTTCGATTTTAGGATTTTTTTGTATTTGGAATCCCGGTTTTTGCGATTTTCGATTTTTACATTTTGAATTTGTTTCCTTTGTAATTTCCCTATGTTCAGTTTTTCAAATCTTTGAATTGTCGATTTTTATTTTTTTGCATTTTCAGTTTTAGATTTCCCAATTTTTTTACTTTTCAATTTTTTGATATTCGCATTTTCAATTTTTGACTTCGATTTTCAGTTTTTCGATTTTTCAACTATTTTACTGTTAGACTTCACGAGTTTCCGATATTCGATACTCGAATTTTCAGTCTTTCGATTTTTGTTTTTTCGAATTTTCGATTTTTCAGTTTCCCAATTTTTCTATGTTGCAGTTATGGCATTTTTCGAATTTTCCATTTCTCGACTTCTCGGTTTTTCAGTGTTAAAAATTTTTCAATTTTTCAAGTTTTCCATTTCTATCAATGTTGTATATTTTAATTTTAGTTTTTTCGGTTTGTTGATTTCTCGACATCTAGACTTTTCGGATTTGACGATTTTTGGATTTTTCGATTTTAGAATTTTTTTGTAATTCGATTCCCCATTTTTGCGATTTTCTATTTTTACATTTTGAATGTTTCCTTTGCGATTTCTCTATGTTCAGTTTTTCAAATCTTTCAATTGTCGATTTTTATTTTTTTGCATTTTCAGTTTCTAGATTTCCCAATTTTTTTTACTCTTCAATTTTTTGATATTCGACTTTTCAATTTTTGATTTTTCGATTTTCAGTTTTTCCATTCTTCAGTTTTTCGATTCTTGAACTATTTTACTTTTCGACTTTGTGATTTCACGAGTTTTTCATTTTCGATACTGGAATTTTCAGTCTTTCGATTTTTGTTTTTTCGAATTGTCATTTTTTCAGTTTTTAGGTTTTTCAATTTTTAGGCTTTTCAAATTTCATCATTCCAACTTTTGTGATTCCGATTTTTCAATTTTCGACGTGTCGGGGTTATTTACGCCACTGATTTTTACTTTATAGAGATACAAAACAAAAAAAATGATAATTTTTCAAAATATCAGGATTTCAAGCTATACTTCAGTCATTTACATATAGGCAAACAAACAAAACGTAGACGATTAATTTGAAAGTAGAGGGATACGGCCCTGTTCTGCATTTGACGACCCTGAAGCTATTTTAAGTTAATGATGGAATATCCGACATATCAATACAATTAGAAGTACAGTTTATTATTTTACGGATTATGATATTTAACTTCTAAGTTGTAATAAAATTTTATTAGTGTATAAAAATAGAGTACGAACAGTTGCGCTACACTCGATAACAGAATACCCACAAGGTTCTACGTTTCATTTTATTTCCTCATACGTGACTTTATTCACACTTGATGTAACACAAATTCTTCGATGTCTTTTTGTTCGTTGTCAAACTGGGGGTTAGGGTTCCATTTAATCTTTTCCAAACATTCGACTTCACGAGCCAATCCATTAGTACAACAATCAATTCTCTAAAAATGACACGACAAAACAGGGCGTTTTAAATTTGTAGCTCGCTGCGCTCGCCTTCGGTGTCTCGGAAAGTAGGCGAATCGATCTCGCAAATAATACAAAAAAAAACAAAACATAAAAAACATCGCCACCACCCAACCAAGTTACCCACTCTCGGGTAACAGATAGCATTTACGTGTCCAGTTTTATTTACCCTCGCCGCATAAATATTTACGCTTGACTCGATGCACGCCCCATTAACAAATTGCACTCGTACTTTGCATTCGTGTTTGTTTTGGAGCTGTTTTGTTTGTCCTTCGTGATTAATCAAGGCATTATCTTTACACTCCTTGTAATTAATACTTGACTCTAGTCAGATTATGTTTTGTTACCACGAGATATCGGAACGGAAGTCGCTAAAGTAAATAAGTTTTTATTTTCGTCGTTTTGTTTTTTGAGAGACTGCCCCACCAACTTTGTTATCAATACCTGTAGCCACACCTGACTGGGTGATTACGCACACGTCTCTTGTTTAGGAAATGTTAGTCACAAAGTTGCGGTTGATGGTGATTTTTGTAGAATGGGAGAGAAAACTGTGGTGAGGGTGGCGGCGCAAAGTAGCCGCTACCGTTTGGTATTGGAGGTTAAGATTTGGGTTAGTACTGAGTAAGATTTTTTTTTTGTTGTAGGTGATAGCGTTCATATGTGGACTCATAGTTATAATATTAATGATAATGGGTCTGGCCTCGACGGACTGGCTGATGGCAGCCGGTTGGCGCCAGGGCCTTTTCATGCACTGCATAGAAGAAGACGCCCCCCAGCCGCTCCCCTTCAACATGCAAGAGCCCCCTGGATGCTACCAATCACGGGATGCAGGTGCGTACTTACCCCTCGAGCTAAGTCAACTGATTAATTAAGTCGCTTACATATAGATGAGTCCAACAAGCAACACTAATACGAATTAATTAATATTCAGTGCCGCCAGTTTAATTTAAATGCTCCGAACGACACACACATATAACGTTATTTTCTATTTGCCAAACATCAATTTAGCGGAATTTCCAGCCCCATTAAAACATTTACCCAATCCGTGCGAGTTGTTTTGCATAATCCAGGCCTCCGTCTCTTTGACAGCTGCATGCACAATGAACCGGAACCGTGCTTCCTCCCGAAATTGCAATTTAAAAAAAAGTTCATGCATAATACAGGCCGAACGTGCGAATTCAACAAGTCTTCAAGTTTAAATGCGAAGGGTTCGAGAATAATGTCGTTCTGACCTAAATATCGAAGGGGTGTTTTCGAGTGGCGAAGATCATCAATCTTCCCGCTGTTCGGCAACGTCGGAATGCAAATATCGCGTTTTATTGGCAGGTTGTTGCGAGTACAATTAATAATTCAGGGGTGTTTGGGTTCGAAGGGTTGGTATGTGCCGGGTCAGTGGCGTGCCGGCCGCGTTTTTGAGACTAAAACCGATGTGAATAATTTAATTGATCGGGCGACGATTGGATGAAAATTGTTATCGTAGTGTTATGACAGGGATCAACCGCGAATTGTTCGTAGAAACGAAAGGTCCGTGACGTCACGCATGACGTATCGGTAATGTGTGGTAAGTAAATTTTCCCGTCAACTGGAATGTAAAATTGCCCCTAATATGCATGCATTATTCCTTTATACCATAAGGTGCATGCAGGAAAGTGGCGAAAATGGATCGAAGCGACTAGAACGAGAAACCAAAGCCGCCTCAGCTTTAGCAGTAATACATCAATCATGTATTTTTAGTTCGGAGCGATGACAGGTGAAAAATGCTTGACAATTCGCCACATTATCGCTGTCAGCTTTAAATTGCTAAAATATTTCAGGCGAATAACGCGCTCCACTCTATATGCATCGCTTTTTTCTGGTTTATTAAGCGCGCTTGCAATAAATATGACGGTCGCGTCGATAAAGTGCACGTAAAGAATGCATTATTGCGCGCTCTGCGGTTACGCCGTCACCACATTACTAACCGAGTACTTAAACTAGGAAATACCAACGCGTTTCCATCTAAACACCGGTGGCGATGATTCACATTTTACACTATTGCTATTTTTTGCAGCCTATATCCGGGCCGCCGCCACCCTCTGCGTCATCACGCTGCTCACCGATTTGGTGGCCACCATCCTCACGGGCTTGGGGTTGAAAACCAAAGACCACCACTCCAAATACAAGTACTACCGATTCGCTGTGATAGTCATGGGGTTTGCCCGTAAGTAAACACATATAAGCGATAGCGAGCTTCGCTCGCGTCGGTAATTTTAAGTTCATAAAAATATTAAATGAAGTGGGTCATCAGAATGAAGAGCACGGTGACAAATTACTTTTGGAAAGTAAATGCGTTAGTGAAGACAGTTATGTTAAACACTTTGAATTATCGCTTATTACCTATTTCCGTTATAAACGGTATTTAAATGCGACGTTCAACTAGAGAGAAACTTGTTCATTTTTAAACCTATTTCGTGTTTTTTGTTTTTACAAAAAATATTTAGTATTTTTAGCGAATATTTGTTGCATGCATCAGAGCACGAAATGAAGTTCACCGGTGTGTGGAAAATTAGTAAGTAGTTGTACGTGCTGGCGTGAGTTGTTGGTTGCATAAGCACGATTTATGCGTCTATTATTGGATGAAAGAATTTCATATGATCCCTGACATTGAAAATTTGTAATTTTGTGCAACAGTCACCGGTCAGCGACTATGAAATTTGCTCTTTCAGGAACGCAAAAAAACTGATATTAAACCTTTTGAAGTTAATTAATTTTAACTTTTTGATGCAAAATACGTGTAACTCGTTAAAATTGTTAAAGCGATCGTTTTTTACGCTGAAAATGTCAGAACTAATGCGCAATCAATGTAGGTTAATAATTAATGAAATCATTTTTTTATGACGTTAAACATTTACTGTTTTTAGAATAATTTATCAGTTTTTGTTGAAGTGACGACGCGTCCAAACAGAAAAATGTTATCAAAATTGTTACAGTTTCTAATTTTGCTTTATCCAAACCACTTTTTTATGTTAAGGACATTTCGTTTGTTTTTTTTTCACTGCAAATATATCATAAATAATTGTGATCGTCGGCATCTACGCTTACTGTTCTGAGTTCATGGTTTCTTGGAAAAATGTGTTTGTTTGCAAAATCTAGTTCTCGCTAGCAGATTAACCATAAACAAGTCACTATTTCCTTTGATATTTCAATTTGTACAGTTATTGTATTTTATTTATTTATTTTATCGATTGAATCAGAAATGGTTCATCCAATTTTCCAGAAAATTCGGGAGTATTATGTACACAAAATTTTACAATGTTGTTTCATTGATCTATGTCTTTAAAAATAACAAAATAAAAATTAAATTATGTGACCAAATATATCTGTATCCCATTCTACCATTTCAAAGTCTAAAATTGACAGATTGCAATAAAAAAAAAAATACGTTTACGTGAGACAAGGGAAGGAAATTCTTTAAATTTATAACAAATTTTAAAGGAAACAACAAAATTAAAAAAAAATACAACTTCTTTCTTCGAAATCCGCATAAGCATCAGATGGTAATGTAATAGTAGTTACATGCGGACAAGCATATGCAACCAACAATACGGTAGGATTTTTTAATTTGGGCGTTTGGGGAGGCTCTGGAAACAAAAGATGTGAAAGACGTAGGGCTTAGTCAAGGCGTCGTAATTGGCTTAACCTCAATTTGTATTAATTAGTGTCAATGACAGTGACATTTATATAAAAATTATGAAGCTACGCCTTACGTCTTTCGCATTCTTTGTTTTCAGAGCCTCTCCTTATCTGAAATTTAAAAAAATCGTACGGCAATTTTCTTGTTTTTTGAAAAACGTATTCAATATACAGGGTGTCACTCTGTGGCCTATCTGGAGATCGGATATACATATTAAAATTCTGTAAATGCCATTGTTTCTATCTTGAAAGGGGAAGCTTAATTTAGTACATTGCATCCATGGCGTAGGCGTCGCGAAGTATACCGGGTGTCTGGAAAATAGCGGATTAACTCTCCGCTACGCTCTTTACAATCGGCTGGTGAGTCTGGGAAAAAAATGTAAAAAAGTTCTTCTCACATTTTGGTGGAGTTATAATGATATTAAAATTGTTTTTTTTTGGTACGTTTAAAAACTAAACAATACATTCATTAGTACAATAACTAGTAATCAAATTTTTAGTTAATATTTTTCTCGCCCATGACCATGTTTAATTACCATTTTAGTTGATATGGTTGTGTTTTTTTTGTAATAATTTAATAAAATTCCATTTGACAAAAATGTCAGACCTATCCAAAAATTGTCAAAGTTTTCAAAACCGTACGTTTAAACTGTTTATAGAAAGCGAATTGAAGTTAATTCGAGATTAACAGTTAATTGAGGTCCGTTGCTAAGCAACGTGCATGTTTAACCAATCACGGGCTTATATTCTACATTTTAATCCTGTGTTAAATTAATCGAGGATTAAATATTTAATTCGCTTTCTATAAACTGGCCCCTGGTGTTTTATTTTCGGATAAATTTACAGAAATCTGGGATGGGATTTTGTTTCTTGATCGAAGTGATAAATTATCACTTGCGATAAATGTCATTGCGTAGCTTTTAAATGCAAATCCCATTTGCCAAATTCAGTCTTATCTTGGCAGTTACTAGCCCCGCCCACCCACCCTCTTTTCTTAGAAAGTATGTCATCTGCCAAAATCAGTCTTATCTTAGCAGGTACTAGCCCCGCCCACCCACCCTCTCTTTTTTAAAATCGTTTAAGTTCAATCGTTCAAGTTTTTATTTACTTTGGAAAATTAGGTCCAGATTAGATTTTTTTTTAATTTGAAAGTCCAGGCAACGAAATTTTGAACTTTCAGTTTTCCAATAATGAGTTTTTGAAAAAAATGTAGACGTCTTCGAAAATTATCCAAAGATATTTCCTTGTTGATTTCAATTTGTTAAAGTTATTTTCTAGTTCATTTTTTCAAAAATTCCAATAACTTTCTCAGCAAGTATAAATAAAAAATAATTTTTGAGATTAAAAGAAACATTTTCCAACAAAATTTTTTGAAAATCTTGATCAGGGTCCATCCACACGTTATGCTTTTCGAATTAGCTTGTTTATGAAAATGTATTTCCCAGAATTTTTGAGGATTTGTAGGCAAATTTTCAAAAATGATCATTTTTTCTGTACCCTCCAATATGATTTTTTTACTTTTTTGAGAAGTTTTCCAATGTTATTTAAGGATATTTCCTTGTTGATTTTGACGAAACTGTCAAAAATTGCTATATTTCAATTAGGGATTTTGGAAAAACGGTAGGAATTTCCGAAGAAACGAAGCCGGAAGTGACTTCTGGATTACGAATTCTACAAGAAAATGTCTTTAACTAATTTTCAGATATAGTTCAAATCAGTCTTATCTTATCAAATACTAGCCCCGCCCACCCACCCTCGTTTCTTAGAGGGTATGTCATCTGCCAAAATCAGTCTTATCTTAGCAGGTACTAGCCCCGCCCAACCACCCTCCTTTTTTAGAGATATGTCATCTGCCAAAATCAGTCTTACCTTAGACGATACTAGCCCCGCCCACCCACCCTCTCTTTTTTTACAGGCTATCTCAAACCAAAATCAGTTTTATCTTACCAAATACTGATGACTAACTTTTACAAAAAATTTGGAAACTTTAATGTAGCAATTAACGTTAATTTTGATCATTTTTTGTAAAAATTAGCCAATAGTACTTGCTAAGATAAAACTGATTTTGACAAATGACATACCCTCTAGAGAGGGTGGGTGGGCGGGGCTAGTAGCTGCCAAGATACGACTGAATTTGGCAGATGAGATACCCTTTAACAGAAGAGAGGGTGGGTGGGCGGGGCTAGTACTTGCTAAAATAAAACTGATTTTGGAAAATGACATAGCCTGTAAGAAAAGAGAGGGTGGGTGGGTGGGGCTAGTATCTGCTAAGATAAAAGTGAGTTTGGCAAATGTACATATCCTCTAAAAAAAAGAGAGAGTGGGTAGGCGGGGTCAAGGTACAAGAAGACATGGTATGATATTGCGCACTTTGTGTGACGTCATGTGGATGTCATAACCGCTAAGTTTAAATTCTGGCCTGTTGTATGTTCCTATTATCACAATCAACGAACGATCCCAAATTTTGAATACATGCTATTGGCTTCTGATGTCAACTTAGCACCTTCGAAGATAAGTTAACCCTTAAAACACTCAACTGAACCGAATCTCAACATTCGTTATAACCTCACATTTCATGTCACTGATAAATTGACATTTGACAGCTTTAGAAGTTGTCAGAGGAGCATTTCAAGCACGTTTCTAAGGCTGTTGCGCAAAGCAGACAAAAATTCATCCACCCGACTCTCATACTATGTCTTCTTGTATCATGGGCGAGGCTAGTAGTTGCTAAAATAAGACCGAATTTGACAAATGACGTACTCTCTAAGAAAAGAGAGTGGGTGGGCGGGGCTAGTAGCTGTCAAGATAAGACTGATTTTGGCAAATACGATACCCTTTAAGAGAAGAGGGGGCGGGTGGACGGGGCTAGTACGTACTAAGATAAAACTGATTTTATTTTAACAGGTACTATCCCCACCCACTTGTCCTCTATATTCTTAGAGAAATCTCACTCGCCAAATTCAGTCTTATTTTAGCAGGTATTTGCCCCGCCCACCCGGCCTCTCTTCTCTTAAAGGATATCTCATTTGCCAAAATTAGTTTTACCTTAGCAGGTACTAGCCCCGCCCACCCACCCTCTCTTTTCTTAAAGAGTATGGCATCTGCCAAAATCAGACTTATTTTAGCAGCGACTAGCCCCGCCCACCTACCCTCTCTTTTCTTAGAGGGTATGTCATTAGCCAAAATCAACTTTATCTTACTGATGACTAACTTTTACAAAAAATGATCAAAATTTGGAAACATTACGACCTTACTTATATGTACAAGGCAAGAATTTTGAACATCTCTAGTGTTTAGCTGGCTTTAATGGATTTTTCTGTGGTAGTTTTGATTTTGTTTATAATTTGTCTTTTTTAATTTTTTTTTTTTTTGGTTTATTTATTTATTAATGAAAAATAACAACTTGTTTTATTAACAATAATACACGACGATTAATGACGACTGGTTATTATGATTATTGTTAAAAAAAAATAAAAGGTGCATGCACTGTTGCCAATTTTACTTTTATAAAATTACGTTTTCTTCGTAAATCACACATAATTTTTTATTATTTTTTTGGGACTCCCGAAACCCCCGTACTGAAAAGTTAATCGGCCATTTTCCAAACACCCGGTATAAGAATATAACTGTATATCGGGTGTTCAATTGAAAAAGTCATCATGTGATAAATTAGCGCGAATGGATTAATAAAACATGCGTTTTTTCCTATTTTTTCTATCAAGCCAATTTGATGATTTTTTTCAACCGAACACCCTGTAATTATCTACTATATCTAGATCCACAGTTGAAAAGAACACAATTTGGCAATGTCGGTACTCGTTGGTATATTTAGTTCCTCCTGATTGATGTAGGATTAATCATCTGTCAGTTGTATGTTTGGTTGCATATACTAGCCTAAACAGATATTTTTATTTCAATTCAATATCATTGCATTTCTGAAACAAAATCATCCATTTACGAACGAATTAAGGAGGGATCATCGAAAAAATTCAATAATTGGTAACCCGTTTATCTAAAACAATGATAATAAGCTTCGGTTACTCCTATCAGCAAGATAAACTCGTATTGTTGCATTGTTTCCGTGTAATTAAAACTAGAAAAACAAAAACGTAATTTATTACTAACCTAATTCCATTAATTCCTAAAAATGTTCATCGACCGTTTCGTTGAAGCGGATTACGTGCTGCAGGAGATATAAAAGCACGATGCATACTCACATAATGTTCAATCTAGTTATAATGTGGCAAAAAGTTTCATAACCACTGCTTTAGCGGATACCACCATGCCTTACCGACAGAATGGGGGCAAAACGACGGTAAATATCGTAAAACTTAACACTGATGGAACGTGAAATAGCAATATCTTTCAGGATTTATCTCATTTAGCACGAGTGTTTCTAAATGATTTTCACATACAAAGTAGAACGCTGAATCCCGCTGGCGATTAATTTTTTTTTGTGCTCTCAAGCAATTCGAACTCGGTTACGCCTCGTCAAAAATATTTTTAGTGTTTGTGTTTTCACGTTATTAAAATGTATGTTTTGCAGTTGTCTCAATCCTCATAGCCCTGATCATCTACCCGGTGTGTTTCGCCGCCGAGCTGAACCTCGGCAATAGGACAATATGGGAGTTCGGTTGGGCGTACGGAGTGGGCTGGGGCGCCGCCATCTTCCTCTTCGGCGGCGTGGTGCTCCTCATGTGCGACAAAGAAAGCGAAGAGATCTACTATAAGGAACGAAAAATCGTGCACGATAACGATTCGAGGGCCTAGTGGCCACATAGTCTGCCCGATGTTGTTCTCTGATCGTAAGAGGTCACCCTCTCTCAGAGAACGCGGCGTGAACGAGAGATACGTGTGAATGGGTCGCTTGCCTGACACTGGATGTACACCTGGTCAGTTTGATTACGACAAAATCGCGATTTTCGTCTTTCGTTCCAGTCTACACGTAGACCCGTTTTCGTCCGGAACTTCGCCGTCAAACTGATTAGTGGATTACCGTTTTTTATGATTTGTTTGATTTGCTTGCCTGGTCATCACCAGTCAGCCAGTTTTGTAGTTGTTACCATTTTACGGCGCTGATTGGTTTGATCGTTCGGCTCGATCTTTAAGTTTTGTTTTCGGTGTCGCGCGTGATCGGTCGAACGATCGGATGGATTAGTGCAGGATGCGTGATTAGAGCGACTGAGAGACAACCCGGGCAGGCTAGATGTATGGAACACAAAGACTTGAACCAACTTTTAAAATGAACTGCGTGACATGTGCACGACTGACTGTTGTCCGTTCGAGCGAATAGTGGACATGTCGGGGCAGTTCGTAGTGATGTCAATATAGGTATAGTTATTTCCTCGATCGATGGCAGCTATTTTTTTTTTCGACGAATTTTTCGAAGGGGCATTATTTTGCGTTGGTTTGTTGTATGAAACGAAATTCGTGCAGCTGCGCTTACATGACCAATACGTAGTTTATTTCGGTTCAGTTGTGTGATGTTAGGGTACATTGGAAAACAAGCATATCGATTTTTAAAAATTTAAAGTGAACAAATTTTGCGTACGTTATTTTTTTTGTATAGTTAGGGTAATTTGATAATACTGGACCAATGTTATTTTGCTTTAAAACAACTGCCAGATTTTTTGTGGCCACAAGCATTCATTCAAAACAAAACCTTCTCATTTTCTGTAATTATAGTTCGTAAGTTTTTTGATAATTAAGTAATTTTTTATTTATTATATTGTAAATAATGATATTGTCACATAAGAAGCATGGTATAAACTGTAGTGTTGTGATATATAGCTTGTGTATATAATAGATGTGAGAGCCATATATCTTGGTAGAAAATGCAACTTATAAGTACATACTTACTTACAACTTATATTTTCTACTGTTAATTTCATTCCATTATTATAAAATGTGTAAATTACTGTTAACAGTTGTATAAAAATAATAAAAATTTAATTCTCTTTATGTAAGGGTAGTTGATCTCAACTGGAGGTGTGTTCCAGGGCGGGAAATTCGTTACATCGTGTATTTCATAAAAGCACTTGTACCTATCTTCTGTCAAAAAAAAATAAATTATTTGTATTATAAGGCTTTATTTACAAAGTTATATATAAAATAAACATTCAAATTTCGTACAAAATACACATCCAACGACAAAATATACATTTAAACCATGTTTTTACACTAAATTCTCTTATAAAACAAGAAACTCTGTGTGAATAACGAACGCAGTGTTGCCACGTCTTGAAACTTCAGTAGATTCAACTGGGCTTCAGCACGGGCTTAGCAGTGTTGGATTTTACTACTGACATTAAAGTGACGTTTGTGAATGAGTCATACTTAAAAATACATCGTCAAGAGTTCTACTAAGTTAATGGAATGTTTATATTTTATAACTGACAATATTAGAAAAGCAGGTCTTAAAATTTATTCTGGTGGTATCACTGCATTCTTAAATGGAAACGTCACTTACATTTATTAAATTGTGCATTGTAAAACAGCCTCGCTACGTAGTATCTTTCAAACATTTACATAAAATATACTTACCATATAAACAATCATAACATTTGATGTCAAAAATAAAATAAAAGCACTTTTTGGAAATTCCTCACCAATAATCAAAAGCCGAATTTCCTCGGAGGAGAGTCCAAAATGCCGTTGTCCCACCCAGAATCCTCACTATTTTCCTCAGGTGTATTTATCTTCTCTTCCAGTTTGAAGAGTTTCACTTTTTTAGCCTTTGGCTCGTCCTGTTCTAAGTTTTGGTCAATATTCTGATAAATCTGTGCATTTAGGGTTTGATCCCTGTGTAACACGTTAGGTTCAACCTTTTTAGGTTTGAGAAATTTTAACAAGGCCACGCCTTCTTCATATGACGCATGCGTAGAATAGCAAACGTAGTGCGTATATTCATTGCTTTCAGAAATACCCTTCTGAAGACTATCACTTTTCCATCGAAACGCCGAAACTTTTATATTTTTGACTTTGTAATATACAGTGTTGCGACAGATTGTTGTATAGTGACTACCACAAGCACAATGGACTTTGGTCTTATTTCTGTCTTTAGTGATTGCTTGATCTAATTCAGGTACCCTTTTATAGAATTCATAGATGTCGTCATTAACATGAATCGGCATTTTAACTTGTTTGGAAATTTCCATAAAAAGATACTCGTAGCCATATTTCGCTTGTGTATTCAGAGCTATTATGTGTTTGTCACTCTTCGAAATCCACTCGTTGATAATGTTACAAATTTCATCTAAACTTTCCGCTCTCGAAGGGAACTTTTCATACTCTTTTAAGAAAAAAGTCGTGTCCAAGTACACCGCGTCGATCTTTTTTTGGTTATTTAGAGAATCATAAAATGCTTTGAGTTTGGAAATATCGGAAGAATTAATTCTGTAGTCACCAGTGTACAAAACGGTTTTATCTCCTTCAAAGAGAAACATCACAGAACCTGGGCAATGCCCTGCCGGAATTGGAGTCACACATACGGTCTTATTTTTTAAAGTTATTGTGGTGGAAGAGTGAAAATCTAGTTCCACCAAATTGTTTGCAATGAAGGGGTGCATATTCTTGAGAATTTCTGCAGAGACGTGGGATACGTAGATAAAACGGTTATTTGCAACTAGATTTTTTTGAAAATCGAAGTTACTAAGACCCTGCATGTGGTCGGTGTGGCAGTGGGAGAGGAAGAAGGCTTCCGAGTCGAAATTGGCCCCATCGAACCTGAAATTTATAACTGTATTTTTCATTTTATTTAAAATGGCTTGAATAGGCAACCAGTAATACTGCAAAATGACGTGGACGTGAATACATCCGATGAACTGATTTTAGGACAGCGTTTTATCTTTTCCTAAAAACTCGGATTATATTGTTCGTAATCACGAGTAAATCGGGATTTGTGTTTCATTTTTGTTTGCTTTGTTCGCTGTTCAAACAAAGAGTGATTCTTTTAAAATTTTCTTAAAATATTGTAACCTTAAGTCGTTATTGCTTTCCACAGACACACTTTACTTTATAAATGCGAAACTCCCTCACCTATCGATGCTGATCCCCGGAATCTCGTCGACTTTCCCTCCGAACGTGCTCATTTTCGAACTTCCCGCGCGCCTTTGACAGGAAGCGCGTCGTTGTTTTGGCGGTTGTTGTGTAGGTTATTTTGTCGTTAACCTAATTTTCGTGGGGACTTGTTTGTCCAATTTCGCCCCGAAAATCTGCCACGTTCGTCCGCCGCCGCCGCCAGCAGCCTGCGATCCTCCCCTCGTGTACGCCCCCCTGGACACCGCCGCCGCACCGCCACCGATTCACTGCAACACGAATCGACGAGTCAAGCAGCCATTGCTCATCGCAAGTGAAGGTCGACGCTTTCGTAAAGCTTGGTTAGGTTGTCATTTTTCGCCGTAAAAACCCATGTAAGTAGCACTTTTAGCCCCCTAAACCGGCCGCTTCGGCCTGCGGACGCCGAATCGGCCTTTAGTTTCGCCCCCACGGCCGCTGTCGACGCGAAAATCGGCCGTGATGTAATTGTCGTTTTCCTTTCTTTCCTACAAGATTGGTATGCAATGGACGTTTATAGCACGCAGTTACGGGTAATTTCGTGGCGCTTTGGAAAAAAATCGACTCCGGAATCGGGAAAGTGGCGGAAATTGATTATTGACGGGGGAAAAGCGGCAATGTTTACGTTTTTAGGATTTGTAAACTGTGCTAACCTCAATTACGCATAACCTCACTTGTCAAAATTGTTTAACCTCTACGGGGGACTGGAGCTAAACGGGGTTGCGATGGGGGTTGAAGGGGCGTAGGCTGACGCACACGTCAGCGGATTACGGGGAATCGAGCGATTTGGTCGATGGGTGGCATGGGTTTGGTTATGGCGATGGTTGCGGGTATTGTTTAATTGATTTATAATAGCCGCGTCGAGTCGGTTTATTTAAACGCGAAGATAATGCGTGAACGGATTCTAAATATTTGCATTTTATTATGAAATATTGGGCGAAGAAATGGCCGAATTGGATCGGTGTGACTCCATCGGGGACGTGTACGTCAAACTTGTCATTTACATCTTCAAAGCCTGCGTTGATCTGTCTCATGAATATATTATAACTGGTTTATTGCTTGCTCAATGTTGTACGCTATGTTAATAGACTATTTTGTGATATGAATACAGACATAACTTTTAATGTATTGTTAAAACAATTTACATACTTTTAAACGACCATGTAGTGGATGTAGAGTGCTGCGGATAATCGGGTCGCGTTTCAAGTGTCAAATTATCTAAGGCTCCTTTGATACGACACGATTTTCAAAACAAAATTTAGTATCGTGTTAATTGGACTTTAAACAATAATTTTGGTTCTATTTCCTGTATTTAACTTGATGTAAATTTTGTCGTTAAATAGTGTAAAGCATACTTAATGACATGTAGAATTCCGTTCATAAATATACACCATTTTTGATTAACAAAGTTTCAAATGTCATTGTATCGATTTGAAATTGAATTGCCATTTCGAACTAGTCGGAAAGAAATCTCATATTTATTTGTAAAGTCACACAAAGTATGTTTCAACTTCAATAAAATTTTCAAGTTGGAAACTTGGAGATTCTAACGAACCAATTTCATCAGTGACCTGAAATTTTATGTGTCATAGTTATTGGTGTTTGATTGTTTAATTTACGATTTATGAAAACATTAGTGATGTCATAATGGTAAATTTGCGCGTCGAAGTAGGCTGAGGCCGAAAAATGAGTGTGAAACATAAATTTGTGTATATGGATTTAAAACTCTTTGTTCATCCCTTTATTAAAAGTGGTGACGTCACGTCGAAATATTGTCAATTTAAATACGTTACACAAAAATAAATATGTAATTCTGAATTTGTCGCTTGGGGTTGCACAATATTAACTAAAATAAATTAATTCATCCCCTCCAGAAATTTGATGACGTCAGAGCGTGTTATCTTCAAAAAATATACAGTATTAGTTGTCCCTGAGAAACAAGTATCTAGTTTTAGCATTGATTCCATTAAAAAAAATTATTAAATTTGTTATAAGTTTCCATGTGTATATTAGCCGTGGGTTTTTGTGATAGTGGGTTTTTGTGATAGTGGGTTTTCTCAGATGGATCGCCTTACGCCTATGTTTCACCCAATAATTCACACAATACTAGTTTACCAACATTCATAAGCAGCAATCCGAAATTGATAAGAATGTCGTCAGATAATATGTATAATTTTTTGCCACGCGTTTGTTTGCTATTGTCACAACTTCATGTTTACAGATTTACACTATGAGCGTTTAATATTTATATAATTAGACTTATTAATTATGCATAGTTTTGAGAATATTTACCCCTGACTTGGAATATTTTGAACTACCCTATAAGTTCGATCGAAACCTCACTTGTCACTTGTGCTACGAGTGTGTCAAATTTTAATCGAGCCAGTTTTAAAAATTAAAAGTACCACTTGACTTAAGTAAATAAAAACAAACAACATTATTGTACTTAACTCTCGTTAGAAGGTCAACGATTTTTCATTACTACTAATTCCATCGTAATCGTGTATTGTTTTATAAACTAACTACAATTGTCACTTAAAATTATTAACTGTTTTGTTAATAATATTTGTGTTGTCTATTAGTAACATAATTCACACTTGTTTCTAATTAGTGACATATAACACTCTCCAATTAGTAAGTGTGTGTAAATATACGATAACAAGTGTTTATGATAATATCTTATATGTCAAAATATTGTCTCAAAAAATGTTAATTGAATAAAAAAAAACCCGAACGCTAACTGATAAGAATACGATCTTCGAATCGAATAATCACGGATCTCGCCCAATATCGATAACGACTTAATCCCATTGATATTGTAATCCCATTGAACGTTATCTCTTTTCCAGGATTTTAACTACGATGACTACAAGCACCCACCATGGAAGATAATTTCGCTCTAACTTGGGAAGACTCCGCCGCCGTCGTCCAAGGCGAAGAAGTCATCTGCAGCATAGAAAATGAAATCCTTCCGGCCGAGACCTCGGAGTTCACCGGGGTACAGCAACCCGAGGAGGAAGAAGAGGAAGAAGGTCCACTAGCCGAACCCATCCCCGAGCCCGAGGGCAACATCGTCTACATCACCGAGGACAATGTCCTCGTCATGCAACCGACTAACACCGTCAACTTCCAGGACCAATTCATGGAAGTTGCTGAAGACGTGGCCGAAGAAGTAGCCGAAGAGATCGTGACGGAGCAGTGGGACGAGAGCTGCCCGGAAGAGATAGTAGTGGGGTCGGAAGAAGCGGTGGGTAACGAAGAACAGACGAACGAGGATTTCGATATACCGTTGCCGACGGATCAGGATGAGTACACGGCGTCGAGACCGTACCCGTGCGACTTTTGCAGTCGCAGGTTCAGGAAGAAGGCGAACTTGATGAACCATATGGTGGCGCACCAGACCGATAGGCCCCACGGGTGCAATCTGTGTGGGGTGAGGTACATAAGAAAGTGCGATTTGATGAACCACTTGAAGATACACGCGTATATTCCGGAAACGGATGGGTTGGAAGAGGAGGATGTGCAACAATTGGATGAGTCGGATGGGGAGAAGAGGAGTAAGAGGAAACAGTTTCCGAAGAGGAAGAAGAACAGGATTAAGGAGGAGTATGATTCGTATGAAGGGGATGAAGCGGCGTCGAGTTCGAGGTCGTACAACTACGTCGATGAAGATATGCGCTTGATGGAAGCGATGGAGAATAACGTGAAGGGGGATTACGCCGACTATGGCGATTACATGGCGGAGAATCAACCCGTGGAGGTGCGATACCCGATTACCGACCCTCGTAAACCCTTCGTGTGCCAGCATTGTGGCGTAGGGTTCGCTCGAGAGAAAGCTTTAGCGTCTCATGCTCGTATCCACGGTGGCGATAGCCCTTTCGAGTGCCAGAAATGCGGGGAGATGTTTTGGGACGTCGCCCTCATGCGCGAACACGTGCGCAGTAAACACGGAGACATCGAAGATTTTGATGATGACGAAGACGAAGACTATTCTGAGGAAGATACAAAGTATGGGACCTTCTATTGCTCGACGTGTGGTTTGTCGTTCCACCGCCAGGATAATCTAAAGCGGCACCAACGAGTCCATATAAAAGAAGAATACATCAATGATCATGAATTCGGCCACATTTGTAACGTCTGTGGCGAGTCTTTCCCCGAAGCGTTGGATCTTCTCGCTCATGCCGAAGTCCACGCTCGCGGTTCGGAGCACCGTTGCATGATCTGCGGAGAAGTGTGCACTGATGACCAAGCCGTCGCCGCTCACGTCCAGTCCAAGCACGGGAAGAATCTCCCCCCGAATACTTGCATGTTGTGCGGACGCACCTGCAAGGACCGACGGACGTTGCTGAAGCACTCCTGGGAACACTCGAAAGAGAAGAGCTTCGCGTGCTCCAAGTGCGCCAAAACCTTTCATAATAAAGCCCGTTTGAAACGACACATGTTATCCCACAGGAATAAAATCGTGTCGTGTGACGTTTGCGGCGAGGAGTTCCCGGACGGGAGATCGTTGATGAATCACAGACACAGCCACAGTAGTTTATCCGGGCGCCAGTTTCCTTGTAGAGAGTGTGGCAAGACGTTCGGCTCGCGCAGCTCGCAGCAGATACACATCAGGATCCACACCGGTGAACGCCCGTATGGGTGCAGGTTCTGCTGGAAGGCCTTCGCCGACGGCGGCACGTTGCGCAAACACGAGCGCATCCACACGGGAGAGAAACCCTACGCATGCGCGGTGTGCCCGAGGGCGTTCAACCAAAGGGTCGTCCTCCGGGAGCATATCCGGTCACACCACTCAGGTCCCGATCCTAAGTACACTCACAGCGTGACCCCGTATTGTTGCTCGGTCTGTTCGGATATGTTTGCCACGTCGCAAGATTTAATCGTGCATTTGATCCACCACTGCGATTTAAACACGGCGATGAAGAGACAACCACAGGTGGGTCCGAGGAAGTATAAACGAAGGAGGAAACTCAAACCGCACGAGCTCGAGTTGATTTCGAATAAAGCGGACGACGAAGTGGAAGAGGAAGAAGAGCAGCCACACTACACTGACTCAGAAGAAGAAAGAGAACTCAGAAAGAAGAAACAAAAAAATAAGAAACCTTCCCCGAAACCCACTCTGAACGAAACTTACACCGACTTGTACAACAGTTGTTCGTCTGCGATCGAAAACATCAATTCGATAGTGAACTCGAAGTCGACTTCCAAGTCGAAACGGAAGATCAAGGCAGAGCCTGCGGTTCCGTCGCGCCCGAAGATGATCCACACGCAGAAAACTCGCGTTCCTGTGGAGACCGGCGAGGACGGGAAAGTCAGACATAAAACTAAAACCCTAGTGACGCGGACGCAACCCACCGAATTAAAGTCAGCAACCGGCGAACGAATAAGGCCGAGGACTAAAAACGTCAGTTATCACATACTTAATTCCGAGAAGCTCCCTCTGGCTACGTTTCCGGACGACGACACCGAGCAAGCGGTTAACAGTTTGTTGAAGGAGGATCAACTGAACGATCAGAGCAACGGGGTGGTGTACATGGAGCAGACCGAGACGACGCCCGAGGTGGCCGCCGAGCAAGTGGTGGAGACCGAGATGGACAACGGACCAGTGCCAACCAACATAATCAAAGTGACGTCGACGCCGACGCAGTTGCACAATTTGAGGCCCGGCCGCACGATCATCGGGCCGGGGAGCAAGGTGGTGAGGCTGGTCAAAGGCGGGATGATCATCACGAAGAACAAGAAGATGGAGCCGGAGAATATCCTGCCGGATATCGACAATATGAAGAACGACGACGAAGTGAGGGTCAAGCAGGAGGTCGTAGACGCCAGTCCGCTGCACGAACTGGCCGAGTTGTCCATGCAACATGCACAAAATATGTTTAAATGTGAGATGTGCAGTGCCGTTTTTGACGATAGAGCTAAACTGTTGGATCACGTGCCCATACACATATGATTGTAAATAAGTTCGTTTTTGTTTGGTTCGAGATAGAAGTTTTCTTTGAATTGTGTTGTTTATTCATTGAGATAGGGGTTTCGACCGAATTGTCAAAATTTATTTTTTTATGATGCGAAGTTGGTTAGAAGACCGAGTTTTTCAAGGACTGGATGTGTAGCGATTCTGAACCCTCTTTAACTACTGAATATATTTTTGTATTATTTTCTATGAGGAGATGCTTCTTCAATGACACATTTTTAATACATACATACATACTTTTTTCTTTAAGTAATTGCAAAATATTGTAGCAAACTAAGATGTATTTTAACCTCTTTGTAACGATTTTACTAGTTTTTATGTATATAAAGTATAGATTATAAATGCACTAGTAAATAGAATATGTAAGTTGTATGTTATTGATGGAAATAAATCTTTGGTTAGGCAGCGCGCTCGCTTGATTGATCACAAAAAGGACCACCCAGAAATTCATTTTTGAAGTGCAATGAAACGTGTGCCGAATTTTTTGCTACGTTGTGTACAACACGTATTCTTGACACCTAACTGCACTACCCCACTTTTTTGACATTAGCAACAATTAAAATCGTATTAACACCATAAACAATTAGTAAAACTTAACCAAGTTTGTCAGGATCGCTTTATCCATTGTAAATTCGCAAAAATCTTGAAAATCAAGCTTATAATTGTTATTTATCAATTACTTTGAATTTAAAAAAGTCTAGGCCGCCATTATGTTGGCTGCCTTGATTTTTGACACTTGTCGAAATTGGTTATCGGATTTGCGTCAATCAATTCGGGGGTGTTTTCGTCCAAATCCCAACAATTCCAGTTGGGAACGGTGCACGTGCGTAAATTCCCACAAAAGCCCCCACCATGGCGCTGGAAAACACGGAGCCTGTGGCCAAATCGAAAAAACCTTCAGGTAATTCCGCAATTATGACATTCACGGGTGAATCGACCTTTTCTCAAGAAACCGCCCCTCATTATCGATCTCGCAACCCCATAAAAACGTTCTATGGTGTAACACTATGGGAAATTGCCATGTGTTGTTGTTTTAAGGTCACGAACGTAGCAATTTTGTCCCAAGTACAAAGACTTGCTGTGAAATAATTTACTTGCAATGATTTATAATTCATAAACCACGGTAATGTGTAGACTAATAAACATGGGTTTATTTAGTGTTGAGGTAATGATGGGAGGGTATTGTATGCTCTCTTCAAACATTGGTAAACTTTAAATTACGACCGTGTGATTTCAGACAGCGCCTTCAAGCAGCAGCGTCTGCCTGCCTGGCAGCCCATTTTAACAGCCGGGACTGTTCTACCTACGTTTTTCGTCATCGGGATAGCGTTCATTCCAGTGGGAATTGGGTTGTTGTATTTTTCGGATGAAGTGAAGGAGCTGGTTATTGACTACACCAACTGCAACAAAACAAGGGACGTCAATGGAACTTTCAATGAGACATCTGAGCGTTGTGCTGATGTCATCGCCAATAACGCTACTGAAGAATGCAACTGTACCATTCCCTTCACCCTCGAATCGGATTTTAAAGGAAAAGTCTACATGTATTACGGTTTGAGCAATTTCTACCAGAACCACCGACGGTATGTAAAATCGCGCGACGACTACCAGCTACTAGGCAACTTAAACCCAGAACCATCAGCAGACTGTACCCCCTTTGCTAAAACCAAAGATGGCAAACCGATAGCACCCTGTGGCGCTATAGCCAATTCTTTGTTCAGCGACGTACTTACTTTGAAGCGTTGGGAGAACAACAAAGCCTGGGCTGATGTCACTTTACTAAGAAGAGGGATTGCATGGGACTCTGATAAAAACATCAAATTTCGAAATCCTGATGGAGGTGATTTGAAAGAGGCTTTCAAGGATTATGCTAAACCCCTAGCATGGAAGAAAAATGTGTGGGAGTTGGATCCTGAAGATGAAGATAATAATGGGTTTCAAAATGAGGATTTGATTGTGTGGATGAGGACTGCCGCGTTGCCTACTTTTAGGAAACTGTATAGAAAAATTGACCATGACCAAGACGGGTATAAAGATGGGTTGCTTAACGGAAAATATTTACTTAAAGTGCAGTATTGTAAGTTAATTAACGCGTTCGATTTTTGGTTCTAATATTTTGATTTGTAGCCTACAATGTGTTGCCATTTGATGGGTCAAAACGGATGATTTTAAGCACCACGTCTCTCTTGGGTGGAAAAAACCCGTTCCTGGGCATTGCTTACATTGTGGTCGGGTGTGTGTGCCTTCTTCTAGGAATAGTGCTGCTTTTTATTCACATAAAATGTGGAAAAAGGTGATTGATATTGTGTCGTTTGAAGTAGTAGCTCATTTTTCATAATTTTAGCACAAGTGAGATGATTAATGTCAACCCTAGGACAAACTATCAGTAAGAGCGACATTCCTATGTCTTAGAGATTACAAGTGGCCTTATTGTTACTAACTTCACCACATTGATTTATTCAAGGCTGTCACCAGTCATTAATTTATAGTAGTCGTAAGTTTAATTGTGATAAATGTACAAGAAGATTTTTTAATTTAAAATTGTATAATTGTATTATATTTGTTCGTAAATAAATGTGACGTATTATATAATTATATTAAGTGCGGCACGATTGGTAGCATTGAACGTGGACGTGTTTAGTTTGCAGTCCGCAACAAAATTAAATGCCAAAAACGCGTATTTAATGGTAAAAAACGTGACGTCACAGGTGGGAAAACCGTTGAATTGGCGGTTTCATTTCGTCGCAGTTGGCAATCCTGCGTGACGTTGCAAAAGAAATCAAGCTCGTTTTCTTTTAAATAAGTACATTAGAACGCTCACGTCGATACTTTGCAAAGACTTGAAAAGATATCAACTGTATTTTCCCCGTTTTGTATAATTTTGAACCAGTAGTGACAGTGGTGTCAGTATGCTCATCCGCCGCGCGGTGGCGCTGTTGTTTTTCATCGACAACACTGTCACACATAACCTAAAATATATCGTTTGACAGTTTAGAATGTGTGCATAAAATTAAATAATGCAGTGTTTTTTTAATTTATAAGTAAAAGAAGAACTTATAGTGTTCGCGGACAAACTTCTGCCACAAAAGTAAACATGGCTGCAACAAGTTGGATGCGATATCCAAACACACGTTACGGTCGATTTCAGAAAGGTAATGTGTTTATTCCGGTGAGGAATTGCGATTTAACGCTATTTATGTTTCTAGGACGGTACCAGAACAAAGAAGACGATATTAATTTTGATGTAAATAGCGGTAAGCGTACACGTGAGAGTCATAGTTTGAGTGAGTACATGAGGGAATGCTGTTTCAGATTCACGCCAGAATGTTACGAATATATTGACAGCGCTTTGTCATATCTCCGATATATCCGATGGGAAACGCTTGAATTATTTAAACGCTTTCGTTAAAGTTACTTTGCATATCGAAGGCAACTTTGAAAGTATCGGGTTCAACATGAGGGATATTTTGTGTTGGTAAGTCGCCTCGTGCATTTTTAACGACCGGTTTTTTCATCCGTCACGTTGTAAACACTGACCATAACCTACTTAGATGCTTTGAAAAATTCATGTACAAATAACCTAGTTAGATGTTTCAAAAAGTAAATAGTAGACTTATACTCACGACGTTGCGCAGCCTCCGCATAGCCCTCCTTCACGAGTCGACCCAGGTCCGGTCCGGGGGCTTACGGGCCATCCGTCACGTCTTACGCAACGAGGACGACATAGCCCAACTCAACAAACTCCTAATCCCTTTTCTAATAGCCCGATCTTTAGACTTAGTTTTAAAAAACGACGTCGAACGAATCGAAGCGATGAAACTCATACGCAAGATCCTCCTCCTGTCCCCTTCCAACTTCCACGTGGCGTTAGGGCGGAGCTTGGTCTCTCTGGCCAATGGGGGCGTCGAAGAGAAGGACCGCCTTCTCCGCATCTGTCTCGCGACTTTGTGCGAACTGGGTACGTCTACGTTCGTCGGTAGTGACACCAAATTAATGTTTACGTTACAGGTGTGGTTAACACAAGTTTATTCATCGAAACGGGAGGCGTGGCAGCGGTTACGCGAAATTTACTAGAGTGTCAAACACCGAAAATTTCCGAATCTTTGTGTGGAGTTTTGTTGTCGTTGTTGGATAAACCGGCCACGAGGAACCACGCCGGGGTGGATTTACACTCGATTGCAGCTCCTTACTGTGATTTTCATTATAGGCACGGCTGGAAGGACAAAGACAAATATGTGTTAGTAGCGGGGTGGAGTGGAAGGGGTGTTAGTGCTTTTGTTGTTTTAGGGATGAGAGAGAGTTGAGGTTTAATTGCAGCAGGCTGGCCTTGTTGTCGATTTTGCGAAGTTGGCCAGGGATTCTGCACTTTTGTGGGCCGGCCAATAAGGCGGGGCTTAGGGCGGTCGTTGAGGTGCTGTATTTGAACCAATTAGAAGTCCGGGTGAGTTGTGTAAACTAAGTTCGAATCCTAACGACTGCGCTATTTGTGTTGCTTTATTATAACAGAAAGCCGTTTTGGACCTCCTGTACGAGCTCCTCGGTCTCCCTCAGCCCGAATGGACCGACGAATTTTCAGTGGCCTTGAGTGCAGTGGACCCCAGCGAGCCCCAATCTTCGTGGAGACTGAACGAGGGTTTCGTGGCCGCCGAAGGCCGCTCGATTTTGCCCCACTTAGCCAAAACTACTCCTAGTATAACCGACATGCATTTAGCTCTACTGCTCTACTCTTTTCTCGAGTGCGGCCTCCTAGGGGCCATCGTGGAAGTGATCGCCACCAGCGACACTTTCATTAGTGTGCGGGCCACAGTTTTGCTAGGGGAACTTTTACATTTAATTCAAGTTCTTCTACCTCCTGAGTGTTGTAATATTTCGCCGGCTTTGCCTTCGTTGTTGGAGTATGCGACGTGTGGGAATCCGCAGGCCGTCAAGGCCGTCAACGGGTTGCAACAGTTGCAGAAGTAAGGCGACGTTTGCTATTGAAAGTGTGAAAATACTGACTTGTGGGTTTTAGGTTGCTGCGAATGCGACCAGCGTCGTATAGTTTATATTTGGATTTTATTATGCGGAGTGGGGGGAATGTTAAGTTCGCGAGTAAGAATAATAAAAAAAGTCGACACAAATTGAAGACGTTGAAGGTTAAATTGCAGCAAGTAAGTTGAGTAAATCAGGTCAGCTTTGGAGTTCATGTTTGTTGTGTTTAATAGTTAGTGGGGAAGGACGGCGATGACGTTATCAAAGAAACGGGTGTTTTACTAAACAAAGATGCCTACACGTGGAATTGGAACCTTATTCGGATAGTGCTTAAGGTGAGATGAGTGAGAAGTTACGAAAATAAATAATAACTTAGGGAAAACCACAATTTTACGCGATTTTCAGGGCGAATCTGTCAAACTCGACCTCTCCGACGCCACCCACCGCAACTTCATGAAACGTCTCGTCGACTTCTACACTCCGTCTCGTAACCGCTACTCCCACATGGACCTCACCACTGCCAAGATCAGTACCGCGTACACCCTCACCGGCATCGATCTAATCAACTGTCTTCTCGACCTCGACCACGAAGAAAACAGCAGGATGTTGCGCGATTTGTTCGCGGACATTTCGGGGAACATCAGCGCCATCACCAGCGGCCGCAGCGTCCACGACTGCCTCTTCAGCCCGCAGCACATGAACAGCACCCAGTGCCAAAGCTACTTCCTCTTCGTGGGTCGCCTCACCTCCACCGACTTGGGAACGCAGCTTTTGAGCAGTCTGGACGTCTTCAGGAAGCTCGAACATTTAGCGACAACAACCAACAACGACTGCTACGTCAAGTTAATCGTGTCGTCGTTGGATTACGGCAACGTGGGGCCTTGTAGGGAGCTTCTAGGCGCGGTGCTGAGGTGTCCCGTGGAAAGCTCGAGGTTGTACGCGACACAGTTCCTATTGGTTTTGCTGAGAGCGGGAATCGGCGGCTTTTGTGATTGGGGGGTGAAATTTCTAGTCAATCAGCTGAGGGATAAGGCGAGGTCGGTGTACCTCACCGCCTTAAATATACTACATGAGGCTTGCGAACTCCAGAGTTGTCTGGAGACTTTGGTGAAGCTGAATCCCAATATGGGGAGCTTCGGGGAAAAGGGGTCTTTGCTAGCGATTCGGTTATTGTCGGTAGCGTCGGGGTTCCAGGTTTTGAACAAGAACGACTTTGTGCTTAACGAAATCAAAAGGTGGGACGATTACTTCAGCTGTAGGTACATTAAGTTGGTGGAAGGGGAAACTTCGGACGTTTTGACGTTACATCAGAGGGACGAAGACGGGAAATACGATAAGCGTACGAGTGCGATAAGGATGATTAGCAGGAAGGATTTTTTCTTACCGCCGCATTTGTATGGGCAGTTGGCGAGGCACACGGATGGGTTTTTGATGTTGGTACATCATGGGTCTTTGGAAGCGATGTTACAGGTGACAGAGGCATCGTGCGGTGAAGACAATAATTTAACGCTTGGAGTTTTTAGACCGTCACAACCGCCTCTTGCCACACCGAGGACGACATCCTCAAGCTAAAGGCTGCTCTTTGGGCCCTGGGTCACTTCGGGAGTACCAGCGAAGGTCTGCGCTACCTCATCCTACACAATTGTTTGGCAGCCATGATCGTTTTGGCACAAGACTGTCTAGTTTTTTCAATTAGAGCCACCTCATACTATTCATTAGGGTTAATAGCCACGACACGACAAGGCGCCGACGAGTTGTTCAAACTAGGTAAGTCAGCAAGGCACCGCATTCGGTCACACTCTTCACGCAAATCGTCTACAGGGTGGTTCTGTACGCGTCACAACCGGCACATCGCGTGGCCAATCATCGAAGAGGAGGCCTGGGAGGACGACAGCGACGATAGTTTGCGGTTACCATGCGCTTTCCCCGACATTTCGTCAACGCTGTATTTTTTCGATTCCGGTATTAAAGATGTGGAAGGCAGCACCGATGACGACACGTCGGAATCATTGGTTGCCCTACCAGGTGATTACCACGTGTCTAGCGAATTTTTGCACAAATCCGTGTTTCAGTAGATAGCATTATTGCCGGACCCCAGAAGTCTCTAACTTTACCCGCCAATCAAAATCAACCTTCGGCCTATCACAAGAGGTCGCTGTCGGAGTCGAAGACTTTCGAAATAATCCGAGCGCCCTCCGATAGCAAGAAAGGCAGCTTTAGGTTAGGTACCGAGATCGTGCGAAGGGTGCGCAACAACTCGACGACCGAATCGACGACTTCGGGTGTGAGTTCGTGCGATTCCGTCGGCGGCGGCCGATCTGTCGTATAGTAAGTCAATCACACTAATGTAGAAGTGTAGTAATGTTTATTTTCTAGCGAACGCCAGCAACTCCTCAGCCCCATCCCGAGTTCCTGCAGCTTAAGCACGTTGAAACAGTCTGGCCAGAAAGTGAGGCGTCATTCCGAATCGTCACGCCGCGTCTCCGTTCAAAGTACCGCCCAGATGTCTCGTCGACCAATCGCTAACTCTCTTTCCGTAGGCGGGTCTAACTCGGACAAATCGCTTCAGTCGCTGGTTGGAGGCGTGTCGGGGAAACTCAGCCACCAGGATTTGATCGGCTACGCCACGTTGCGGGCGTTGCGTAAGTCGCCTAGGTACCTCGAAGAGCCGGCCTACGACGCCGACGAGGTCGTCAACGATAGCTTGTGGGACGTACCGATTTCGCTCATTGAGGATTGTAATTTGTTGGAGATGACAAATTCGAGCATTAAGCGATTCTCGGTGCACGATGGGGGGGACGAGGGCGACGAGAGGTGTTACATGGGGATTAGTTTACCCGGAGATATCCACAACCTGTTTTTGGACGTGGAGGAGGAGGTGAAAGATGTGCCGTTGGAGAGGTTTCCGATCATTGAAGACGAGGTCGTGTGTACATTGCACGATTTTAAGGTGAGGGAGGAGACGCTTTGGAAACACGAGGCAGAGATGTGTTTTGTGTGTTCGGGGAAGGCGGCGCAGGAGGTGGAGGTGTTTGTGGCGGTGCCTGGAGGTGGGTATACGGGGGACGTGCGACCAGCGCGATGAACGCAAAATTCCAGACTGAGAAGTTACGAAAATAAATAATAACTTAGGGAAAACCTAAGATGTATTTTGTTTTCGTCGCGTAGTACGTTGTCGCACTTTGCTACTTGGACTAGTTCAGTATTTCATGTCGAGTATGTTAATTTTCAGATTTCGTGGACACCAAATACGACCCCAACAGCCCCGATAGTGAGTTTAGTTCCCGGTTGCGTTTCTGCGGTTGTTATTCGTTCCGTTTTCAGGTTTAATCAAAGCCCACGTGCTGCAGCTGATCGACCAGTTCTCGAACCCCGTCTGGTGCAAGCAAGTCAAGCAGTCGCTGCTCCAGTGCAAGCAGGGCAGCCCCCAGGTCTTCCAGGACCCTTGTCTCTTCTCCGAGGTGTGCAAGTTGCTCTCAGAGTGCACTTACCGCCTCTCTCCGCGTCGGATGCTGCACGAACTCTTTCTCGACGTGAAGTACGACGATCTGTACGCAGAGTGCGCAGATATATTGAAAAACGCGCAGAACGAGATCGATTCGGGTAAGTCATCGGGGGATTCGATCGACACTAGCGAGGGGGCGCAGCCGTCGTCGAACATTAAACAATTAGACTCGCTGAAACTCGCATATAAAGAAAATAAGTTTCCGATTCGGAATCGTAACGAATCGAAAATTGTGTAACTTGTGGTTCCTTTTTTTTATTTATTGTTTTTCGTCGAAGTATACAGGGTGTTCTGTTTAGGTTAAGTTTTAAGTTTTTTTCGCGTTGATTACACTGTCGCTTGGTTTTCTTTTGGCTGAGTTTGGCTCATTCCATTCTGCGTTCTGCCGGGAGGAGAACAACCTGTGTATTTACTTTATTTATTTGGATTTGAATAGCTGTTGATGTTTTATCGATTTGTGATGAAAAAAAAGTGAAGATTTGTGTCTGAAAATTCGTTTATTCACATGTGGAGCAGTTATCGTTACTTTTTTATATACAAAAAGGCAAATAAAAAGTGTTTACTACAAGGGATTTTATTTTCCGGTGTCCATTTTTCCAAGGCGCGTGAAAATGGCGCAGCAGGTGGGATCCTACCTTAGTCAATGCAGTCGCACGTTATAAATCTAGGGACAATATTCTCTAAAAAGGTCGGGTTTTTAATAGGGGCGTTATTCCTAGCGTAGTACTCTATGGTATAAAAAGTGCACAAACTACTCATACCAATCGCCAAAGAATACCAAAATATTACATTGAAAACGATATTTTTATAACCCCCGACGTTCCCCAAAATCGACCCGAGTACCACGAACTCCACAAACAACAAAGGAAAGAAGAAACCCAAAGCGTGCGTAAGACACCACTCGTGAACAAGAGCCGAAATCACAATAACACCGAATTTGGCCACAGCAGCACTCGTACCAAAACTCTCCATAAACTCTTTATAAATATAAACGTACAACCAATCCTGGACGACGATATTCCACTTTCGAAAATAGCCGCCATAACTCGTGCAGGTCCACCAGTCGCTGTAGAACATCCTATCCCCGAATTTGGTGATTTCGCCGAATAAATTTTGGCACGAATGTAGAATTATGAAGAAGGTCAACACCAGAATGAATATTCCGGTAATGGTGTTTTCGAACAGAATTAAAATGTGTTCTGTGAGTTGGTACTCTCGAAGACCGAAGTCTTGAAGAGAGGGATTGAGGAAGCGCTCGATCACAAAACTGAAAAAAAAATGGCTCCTACGAATTCCAAGAGTTTGAAGGCGGCAAAAGTCCAGTCGATTTTGTCTTTGCGGGGGTAGGAATCTCGGTAGAGGAGAGTGGGGATGAAGAGGAAGTATAAGAAGTTGGAAAAAATGGGAGGAGTGTGTTTGTTGTCGGTTCGTTTGGTGTTGATTATGTGCGGGAATTTAGTTCTGACGAAAGAGTGAATTTTCATTAAAAGTCGAACCTGGAAGGGTTAGTTTAATGAAAAAGTTGTAACTTTTGGTGACTTACGTGTTCGCATGTGACGATGAATGCAGAACATATTGGTAATTTAAAAGTGGTCACTATATTTTCGGCTAGATTGAAACTGCCCACGTAATACAATACTAAGAGGGTGATGCAGCACCGGTCCCAAATTTTTGTGTGTTGTTCTAAAAATTAGTGAATTTTTAACTAGCACCAATTGTGGTATAGGTACTTACTGTTTCGGAAAGTTCTAAATTTGGCCCAAATATTGAAACAACAGAAAACTAAGCAGGAGGATAGAATATAACAAAGCCAGGTTATTATAACTATGTGGATTTTTCCAAAGCCGATTTTTATAAGTCGTACCCCAAGGTTGATCCTAAAGGTTTATTTGTATGTCAAACCAAGTACTTTCCAATTGTGTAACTTACTCTCCTCGTTTAATATAATCGTAGGCCACCGTATTGAAAAATAGTCCTATGAAAATTGCAAGAAACATGTTGTATACAGTACGAATGTGTCTATCCTCGAATAAATCAGTCAGTAGGGAATTTCGCTCAATGAAGTCTTTTTCCTTAGAACTGGAAAAGTTCGAGGGTTGAAAGCCAAAATGATTCTTTGGTACTTACACATTATTTCTCTTTCGTGTTGACTCCATTGCGATTTCAATACTGTGAAGTAACACCTTTTTGTTAAAATAATTCTAAGTCAACCGAATCAAAATACGCACTCATTTCGTGTAATCACCGTAGTTATCATGAAGACTCCGACGAACATGAAAATACACTTTACAAATTCTACTATCAATTTCAGCAACGAATGACTAAGCATTCACAATTCTTTGCATTTTTTGGGAAGCTTAAAAAATGAAAGTCAAATAACTTAAAAAGTTCTATTGAATTTACTTGAAATTCATTCATTTCTTAAACTAACTAATGTCAATGCAATCACAGGTTAAAAACCTCGCAACCACCCATTCCCTAAAACTTGGACGCTCAACAGGAGCGTTAGCCCTCGCATAATACTCAATCCCATACATCGTCACCAACGACCCCATTCCCAAAGCCAACGCGTACCAAAACAACACATTAAAAACCGCCGTTTTGGGAGCCCCCACGTAGTTAAAAATAGTCCCGAAAACCAAAAACTCCGCAAACAACAACGGGAAGAAGAACCCGAACATGTAGGTGAGTACCCATTCGTGCACCACCGACGAAATGAGAAAAACGGCCAGTTTTGAGAGCGTGGTGTTCCCTTTGAAGACGTTGTCGTTGAAGTCTTTGTAAACGTAGAGGTATAGCCACGACTGCACGATGATGTTCCATTTGCGGAAGTACCCGGAGAAGTCGGTACAGGTCCACCAGTCGCTGTAGAAGAGTCTGTCTCCAAATCGTGTCAGTTCTCCGAACAAGTTTTGCCATGAGTGTAACACTAGAAAGAAACTAGGGAGGAGGAAAGAGATCCCAGTGGTTGGTTCTGTTTTCGAAAATGCACAGAATTATTTCGTTTGGGGTGGATTTTCGGGTACCGAGATGTTGTACTGTGGGGTTGAGGAAGCGGTCGATGATGAAACTGAGGTAGAAAATGACGGCTATGCATTCTAGGCGACGCAGAAGTACAAAGTTCCAGTTGATTTTAATAGTACGGGGGTAGGTTTCTTGGTAGATTAGTGTTGGTACGAAAAAGAAATAAAGGAAGTTGGAGAAAGAGGGCAGTTTTAGGGGGTTGTTGCTGTGCGGTTTGTGGCTGGTGGAAATGTTGCTTCTGATGAAAGAGTGGATCTTCATTAATAATCTCGTCTGTAAAGAGATTTTTATGAAAAGGTACTATTTTCGTGGTACTTACTTGTTCAAGAACGACTATTGCCGAGGAGGCTGGTGGCAGCTTAAATTCTGTGACCACAGAAGCGGCAAACTTGAAACTATGAATATAGTAGAGAGAAAGGAGGGTTATCCAAAACCAGTCCCAAAATTTCGGGAATTGTACTAAAAATACGATAAGCGAACGAGTGCGATAAGGACGATTAGCAGGAAGGATTTTTTCTTAGCGCCGAATTTGTATGGGCAGTTGGCGAGGCACACGGATGGGTTCTTGATGTTGGTACATCATGGATATTTGGAAACGATGTTACAGGTGACAGGGGCATCGTGCGATGAAGACAATAATTTAACGCTTGGAATTTTTAGACCATGACGACCGCCGCTTACCACACCGAGGACGACATGCTCAAGCTAAAGTCCGCTCTTTGGGCTCTGGGTCACTTAGGAAGTAGCAGCGAAGGTCTGCGCTACCTCATACTACACAATTGTGTGGCAGCCAAGTGCACCCCAAAGGATCGTATTCTGTCACACTATTTTCATTCAAATCGTCTACAGGGTGGTTCTGTACACCAGGTGATTACCACGTGTCTAGCGAATTTTTGCACAAATCCGTGTTTCAGTAGATAGCATTTTTGCCGGACCTCAGAAGTCTCTAACTTTACCCGCCAATCAAAATCAACCTTCGGCCTATCACAAGAGGTTGCTGTCGAAATAATCCGAGCACCCTCCGATAGCAAGAAAGGCAGCTTTAGGTTAGGTACCGAGATCGTGCGAAGGGTGCGCAACAACTCCACGACCGAATCGACGACTTCGGGTGTGAGTTCGTGCGATTCCGTCGGCGGCGGGCGATCGGTCGTCTAGTAAGTTAATCACACTAGTGTAGAAGTGTCGTAACGTTTATTTTCCAGCGAACCCCAGCAACTCCTCAGCCCCATTCCGAGTTCCTGCACGTTGAAACAGTCTGGCCAGAAAGTGAGGCGTCATTCCGAATCGTCGCGCCGCGTCTCCGTTCAAAGTACCGCCCAGATGTCTCGTCGACCAATCGCTAACTCTCTTTCCGTAGGCGGGTCTAACTCGGACAAATCGCTTCAGTCGCTGGTTGGAGGCGTGTCGGGGAAACTCAGCCACCAGGATTTGATCGGCTACGCCACGTTCCGGGCGTTGCGTAAGTCGCCTAGGTACCTCGAAGAGCCGGCCTATGACGCCGACGAGGTCGTCAATGATAGCTTGTGGGACGTACCGATTTCGCTCATTGAGGATTGTAATTTGTTGGAGATGACAAATTCGAGCATTAAGCGATTCTCGGTGCACGATGGGGGGGAGGAGAGCGACGATACATATACATGGGGATTAGTTTACCCGGCGATATCCACAACCTGTTTTTGGACGTGGAAGAGGAGGTGAAAGATGTGCCGTTGGAGAGGTTTCCGATCATTGAAGACGAGGTCGTGTGTACATTGCATGATTTTAAGGTGAGGGAGGAGACGCTTTGGAAACACGAGGCAGAGATGTGTTTTGTGTGTTCGGGGAAGGCGGCGCAGGAGGTGGAGGTGTTTGTGGCGGTGCCTGGAGGTGGGTATACGGGGGACGTGCGACCAGCGTGATGAAAGCAAAATTCCAGACTGAGAAGTTACGAAAATAAATAATAACTTAGGGAAAATCTAAGATGTATTTTGTTTTCGTCGCGTAGTACATTGTCGCACTTTGCTACTTGGACTAGTTCAATGTTTCATATCGAGTATGTTAATTTTCAGATTTCGTGGACAGCAAATACGACCCCAACAGCCCCGATAGTGAGTTTAGTTCCCGGTTGCGTTTCTGCGGTTGTTATTCGTTCCGTTTTCAGGTTTAATCAAAGCCCACGTGCTGCAGCTGATCGACCAGTTCTCGAACCCCGTCTGGTGCAAGCAAGTCAAGCAGTCGCTGCTCCAGTGCAAGCAGGGCAGCCCCCAGGTCTTCCAGGACCCTTGTCTCTTCTCCGAGGTGTGCAAGTTGCTCTCAGAGTGCACTTACCGCCTCTCTCCGCGTCGGATGCTGCACGAACTCTTTCTCGACGTGAAGTACGACGATCTGTACGCAGAGTGCGCAGATATACTGAAAAACGCGACTCTAAAAAGGTCGGGTTTTTAATAGGGGCGTTATTCCTAGCGTAGTACTCTATGGTATAAAAAGTGCACAAACTACTCATACCAATCGCCAAAGAATACCAAAATATTACATTGAAAACGATATTTTTATAACCCCCGACGTTCCCCAAAATCGACCCGAGTACCACGAACTCCACAAACAACAAAGGAAAGAAGAAACCGAAGGCGTGCGTAAGACACCACTCGTGAACAAGAGCCGAAATCACAATAACACCGAATTTGGCCACAGCCGCACTCGTACCAAAACTCTCCATAAACTCTTTATAAATATAAACGTACAACCAATCCTGGACGACGATATTCCACTTTCGAAAATAGCCGCCATAACTCGTGCAGGTCCACCAGTCGCTGTAGAACATCCTATCCCCGAATTTGGTGATTTCGCCAAAGAAATTTTGGCACGAATGTAGAACTATGAAGAACATTAGCATCAAAATGAAGATTCCGGTAATGGTGTTTTCGAACAAAATTAAAATGAGTTCTTTGAGTTGGTACTCGCGAAGACCGAAGTCTTGAAGGGAGGGGTTGAGGTAGCGCTCGGTCACAAAACTGAGGAAAAAAATGGCTCCTACGAATTCCAGGAGCTTGAAGGCGGCAAAAGTCCAGTCGATTTTGTCTTTGCGGGGGTAGGAATCTCGGTAGAGGAGAGTGGGGATGAAGAGGAAGTATAAGAAGTTGGAAAAAGTGGGAGGAGTGTGTTTGTCGTCGGTTCGTTTGGTGTTGATTATGTGAGGGGTTTTAGTTCTGACGAAAGAGTGGATTTTCATTAAAAGTCGAACCTGGAAGGGTTACTTTAATGAAAAAATTGTGACTTTTGGTGACTTACTTGTTCGACTACGACGATGGCTGCAGAACATATGGGTAATTTAAAAGTGGTGACTGTGTTTTCGGCTAGTTTGAAACTGCCCACGTAATACAATACTAAGAGAGTGAGGTAGCACCGGTCCCATATTTTTGTGTGTTGTTCTAAAAATTGGTGAATTTTTAACTCGCACCATTTGTGGAATAGAGATACTTACTGTTTCGGAAAGTTCTAAATTTGGCCCAAATATTGAAACAACAGAAAACTAAGCAGGAGGAGAGAATATAAGAAAGCCAGGTTATTATAACTATGTGGATTTTTCCAAAGCCGATTTTTATAAGTCGTACTCCAAGATTGATCCTAAAGGGTTCTTTGTACATCAGTTTAAGTACGTTATAACTAAAACTTACTCTCCTCGTTTAATGTAATCGTAGGTCACCGTATTGAAAAATAGTCCTATGAAAATTGCAAGAAACATGTTGTATACAGTACGAATGTGTTTATCCTCGAATAAATCAGTCAGTAGCGAATTTCGCTCAATGAAGTCTTTTTCCTTAGATCTGGAAAAGTTCGAGGGGTGAAAACCAAAACGGTTCTTTGGTACTTACACATTATTTTTCTTTCGTGTTGACTCCATTGCGATTTCAGTACGTTCAATGAAAGACTGACCTAATAAAACTATAGTTGTTCAAACAAAACATCTGATAGTGGACAGAATCTCGAGAGATAAAGAGGTCAAAATATGTAGATAAATTAATATGGTTGCACGGAAATATAAAAAAAAAGTTATTTCTGTACGTCGTGTTTCCAACGGCGACAAAACTAATAAAGCTGATTTGAATAAACTGTGAAGCAACACCTCTCTATTAAAATAATTCTAAGTCAACCGAATCAAAATACCCACTCATTTCGTGTAATCACCGTAGTTAGGTATCATGAAGACACATGAAAATACACTTTACAAATTCTCATATCTATTTCAGCATCGAAGGACTAAGCATTCACCAATAGTTTTTTTTTTGGGAAGCATAAAAATGAGAGTCAAGTAAGTTAAAAATTCTATTGACAACCTTAAAATCCATTCATTTCTTACGCTAACTAACGTGAATGCAATCACACGTTAAAAACCTCGGAACTACCCATTCCCGAAAACTCGGCCGCTCCACAGGAGCGTTAGCCCTCGCATAGTACTCAATCCCATACATCGTCACCAACGACCCCATTCCCAAAGCCAGCGCGTACCAAAACAACACATTAAAAGCCGCCGTTTTGGGTGCCCCCACGTAGTTAAAAATCGTCCCGAAAACCAGAAACTCCGCAAACAACAACGGGAAGAAGAACCCGAACATGTAGGTGAGTACCCATTCGTGCACCACCGCCGAAATGAGAAAAACGGCCAGTTTTGAGAGCGTGGTGTTCCCTTTGAAGACGTTGTCGTTGAAGTCTTTGTAAACGTAGAGGTATAGCCACGACTGCACGATGATGTTCCATTTGCGGAAGTACCCGGAGAAGTCGGTACAGGTCCACCAGTCGCTGTAGAAGAGTCTGTCTCCAAATCGTGTCAGTTCCCCGAACAAGTTTTGCCATGAGTGGAGTACTAGAAAGAAGGTAGGAAGGAGGAAAAAGATTCCAGTGGTTGTGTTTTCGAAAATGCACAGAATTAATTCGTTTAGGGTGTATTTTCGGCTGCCGAAGTCTTGTACCGTGGGGTTGAGGAAGCGGTCGATGACGAAGCTGAGGTAGAAAATGACAGCGATGCATTCTAGGAGACGTAGAAGTACGAATTTCCAGTTGATTTTGGCGGTACGGGGGTAGGTTTCTTGGTAGATTAGCGTTGGGACGAAGAGGAAATAAAGGAAGTTGGAGAAAGGGGGTAGTTTTAGGGGGTTGTCGCTATGCGGTTTGTGAATGTTGCTTCTGATGAAGGAGTGGATCTTCATTAATAATCTCGTCTGTAATGAGACGTTGTATGAACAGGTACTCATTTGGTGGTACTTACTTGTTCGAGAACGACTATTGCCGAGGAGGCTGGTGGCAGCTTGAATTCGGTGACCACATAGGCGGCAAATTTGAAACTATAAATGTAGTAGAGAGACAAGAGGGTTATCCAAAACCAGTCCCAAAATTTCGTGACTTGTACTGAAAAGGTATCTAATCAGGAATTAGTGACTTAACTAGTCTAACTCACATTTGTGGAAATTTCTATAAGTGGCCCAAAGTTTGAAAATGTAATAAATTGAACACGTGACTAAGAAGTACCCGCACCACACTAATAGCGCTATGTGCAGTTTTCCGAAACCTGATTTAATCAGTTTTAACCCTAGAACTACCCTGAAACATTCATGGTCATTTTCTTTCCAAGAACAAGTAACTGACTTACTCTCCTTTTTTTAAATAGTCGTAGGCCACCGTATTAACAAACAGTCCAATGAAAGTGGCAATAAATAAATGATAAACCGTCTTAATGTGGTCATTTTCGAACAAGTCGGTCAATAACGAATTTCTTTTAATAAATCTGGACCTAAAAAAGCGATTTTTTTATTGTTTAAATGTCGTGTTACTTACGGCTTGCTTTTATTTTTTTCCGAGTTCATGGTGACCCCACTGTAGCTAAAATAAAAATAAAAAAAAACTTTATCGTGCCGGTACAAGCGATAACGAAGATGTCGCGACGAAGTTCGAAAGGTCACTGATTTTGTGTTTCTGTTTAGCTTCAAATTAGTCAGTTTTTATTGTGTGGTTAAACGGTGTTGATTGATGCATCTGAAGAGATAATGCGTTGTCAAGGTCCGGCGCAGTGCAACTGCACTGATCTGATTCATTCATGTTTTTGTCATCAATTCTGAGAAACTAGTTACTTTCGTTTCGGTGGAAACTGATAAGATAAACGCTTCCGCGTTGCTAAATCATCACTCATTCAACGATTATAATTTATTTCATTAACATTTAAGTACATCGATAATTAAATAACACTTCGAAGATTGCTTTATACTATGAGGTGCGAAACGTCGCTGGTATAGGCCGGTAGGTACCTAGGAACGGGCTGCACTCCTCCACTATCCTCGACCCTCCTCTGCCTAATATCCGAATCGCCTGGCCACGCCCTCTCCGCCCCTCCAATCCTCTGGTACTTATCCACAGCCAGTGAAATCGTAGCCGGGTCATTGACCCCGTTGGATTTGATCCGCCTCTGCGTAGCAGTGGAAGCCCGAAGAGTTTTGCGCTTCTATAAACCACAAAATACACAAAGTACACACACACAAAAAGTGACAAACCAACCTCTACAGCCCCTCGCCACTTATCAGCCGCATGTCTCGCCAATTCCATACGTTTCTGTTTTTTGATTTGGTGCTTCTTGTATGCCATTTCGATGACAATTAGACCGATTCCGCCCACAATTCCTGCAGCCACTAAAATAAAAACTCCGGCCATGTTTTTCAAACCGAGAGTGTTGGGTGTTTTTTCGAACTGTTCGCATTGTTGGACGTTGTTTTGAAGGATCCATTTGTTGTCTAAGTTCTCCATGAAGCCACCTACAACAATGTCAAAGTACAAGAGGGAAAAAATGCACAAGTTTACTTTCGTGGAAGTCTAGAATTGCTAGAGTGACGTCGTCCGCCCAGGGGGACCCTTTCTGGAGACCTATTCCATAACCCGAACGACCGAATAACTCCCCGGCTGTCACTAACTCGCAGTCTTGGGCCGCTTCAAACTCCAAACGAGAACTATCCCAAATGAAGGCCATCAATTTTCTGAAATTTTGAGTCAAATTTTGGATTGGTTGTGTGTGAAACTAAGGTACCCTATTTTGACGTCTTGGATTGCGTCTTCGGCGGTGTTGTAGTTATTAGCTTCCATGGTTCGATACATGTTTGAGAGTTCGACTTGGCGTCTGAAATACATATCGACGGCTGAACCTTTCACCGTAGCACACGTTAAATTCTCCATGGTGTTCCTAAGCTATACAAACAGTCAGAATTAAAGAACTAAGACTGTAACACCGTACCCTGGCGTCGTTGATTCCAGTTAGTTTCGTTTTAGGTCTTTCCAAAACCAGAAACGCCGCCAAGTTGGCAGTGTATGAAGCAACGATAATCATGGCGAAACCCGCCCAAACCATCCCCAAAACCCTCGCAGAGAAACTCCGCGGAGTACCTTCACCGATTCCGCTATTTAGTAGTACCCCCCAAGCAAACCAAATCGCGCTTGACAGATTAAGCGCGTCTTCCTCGGTACCGTCAGTGTTTGCCAATTTGAATCTACCAAACGGAGAAAATCGGTCTAAAAGATACAAAACTAAAGCCACCACGTGCACTGAAACCATCACCAAAATCCACAAAGTGTTACTAAATGGTTGCAAAAACGACACTAGAGTGGACGATCTGGATGGCTTTTTCTCCAAAATGGTGATCCCTTGGTACTTGAAGGGTTTACTGAATTCGATGAATTCGGCCCGTTCGGGGTTGATAGTCAAAGGGGCGACTATCATGTCTGCTCTATTCCCGACAAGCTCCCCGATAAGCCCAGTCCATTCCTTTTTGCCACTACCAGAACTGTTTTTGATTATGTAGTTGCCAAACTGGCCGTCTGGGGAGAGCGCAAGACCGTACGTGAAGTTGATCTTCTCGGAGAGTTTCTTGAGCAAGTCCATGCAGTACCCTTTGCAACAGTAAATCGCAGTCACTGAAATTTTTTTTTAGAGAAATTCAAACTTAGTATCATTCTTACTGTCTTGCGAAGTGTTAAAATGAGGGCATACGATTTCATCAGTTGTACAGTTATCTTTGGGGTCTATGAGTTTTCGAACGTAGACGAACGGTTTCTCTTCGATTGTGAGTACTTTGAGGTGTGTAGGGATTTTGAAACCTTCAGGTTTGACGTACTGGCGTCCCGGCCACAGAATGTCTTTTTCGTCGACGGCCAAGTGCATGCGACTGCTTTCCTGAAACATAGTAATTGTGACAATTTTAGTCAAACGATTGGTATTTGGTGGTACCCTATTGAAGTGGAACTTCCCGACAGTTACTTGTCTCCTTTTCTTCTGTATGTTTACAATGTTGTACTCGGCGTTAATCCGGTCACCTTGATCATCGAAAGCCACCTTCCCGGTCTCCCCATTGAGCAAAACTTGTTTCTTAATAAAGTCGAAAAGGTCGCGTCCGGTTTCCCAAATTTGACCCGAATCGTCGCAATCTTTGGGGGCTTCGGTTATCTCTTTAGTCTGGTTTAAGTCACGAAGAGCCGACGCTAAGACGTATCTAAAGACGAAATAAAACTTGTATACAACTAGTGGGTACTTACATGCTGTCCTTAATGTGTGCTTTTTCATTCGTAGCATTTACCAATTTCAACCCTAACACACCCTCTGCAACATTATTCGCTTCCAGGGCTTGCTCTGTGACGATCCACGCATACCCAGCTTCCGTTATATTGAATTCCGCTGCGTCCCGAAAAATGACTTGAGCGTCAGTTTTACTAAAAAAGGTGTGTTAAATTTGGATTGGTGGCAGCAGTGGGACCCACCTGGCGTACATGAGGTATACTCTCGACTGCGCCTTTTTCATGTCGCTTAGTTGCTCCTTAAAGTTGTCCAAACCCGGCTCGAACTCAATTATTGACTCAACTTGGACTTTTATGTCGACGTCGTCTTCGAGGCTTTGAGATGTGGTTTGAAACCTCCCCAAAAGCGCTCTACCGTCGGTGTCTGAGCTATGAATGAAGATAACTTTTTTGTAATTGAAGTGTTTGAGCATTTCCACCCAGACGTCGGCTTGGTGGGAATAAGGGGGAACGGTTCGTAGAAAAGACACATGAATATTCTAAAAATCGAGTCATGGTAGTCATTTTTGAAAAATTGTATTGTCTTACTTTGTCGGAAAATGCTGAATCTCGGCTGGAAATTCCGATGACCGGGATGTGGTAAAAACCACTAGTGTACGACACCGCAGCTGGTGATAGGTCACCGGTTAGGGGGTGAGACACCACCACGGCGTAAACTCGACTCGAAATTAGGTATTTACAAACGTTGAGGGCCGTCCGGATGGGGTTGGGGTCCATGAGGATCGCGGTGTCGTAGTAGGTGACCCCTTTTGGCACATATTGAGAGTCGAAGTTTAAGTGCTAAGAAAATAACAACGGTGAAAATTGTAGTCAACACTAAGAACTTACCGCTATGGTTTCTTTGAAATAATATTCACTATCGTTGCTACTTAAAACCCCACCAATGTTAAAAACTGTGGGGTTACTGGACGCCCACAGGTCACCCTTAGTAAACAGAAAATTTAGTGCGAAAACCACAAAATATAGCATTTTTAATTTGGGTTCATATCGAACTGACGGTGGATCTGGACCGCGCCCGTTGCTACGGCAACAACTCCAGATGATATCGATTGGGCTTGACCCACCTCAAGGATTTAAATAGGCCAAGGTTTGTTTGTGTGCGGTTTCAGAATTTTTAATCACAACCTCTAGTAAAGTGACAAATTAAATCGTAATCTGATGAACAATTAAATCCTTGTCTTACTCCAGAAAATACTTTTATTCAAAAAAACTCATTACAAAAATTACCCCCATGGGTTATTAACGTGCACGAACTTCGGTGTCACCCAGGCCACTTGCTGCCCGTTGCCCCCTCTCTCTGCGGCCGCCGCCACCGCCGCCGACGTAGCCGTCAAACTCCCGTCTTTTCCGGCCGAACTCTGCTTGATAGCTTCGGCGTTGGAACTCTGCAATGCCGCCAGTTTCCTCGCCGTCTCATCTGCAACCCCAATTTACAACCCCTTCACTCTCGTTGTTTGACTTACCGCTCCTTTGGATTTCGGCCGCCGCCGCCGCCGCGCTCTTCTGAATAACAACGGCGGCTCGTGCTTCCTTGGCAGACGCTACTTTTTGTAGCTCCGCCACCTCGGCTTTGGCGTGGGCTAGTCTTTGTTGGGCCTGGATTAGCGCGTTGGCGGCCGACTTGGCTTCCTGCTGCTGCACCGCCGCCGCCGCCTCCGTCTTCTGTAGAGCCAGAGCGGCTTGGGTTTGCTTGTGGTTGGCGACGTGTTGCTGATTAAGGACGTCGTCCTTAGCTTCTTGGACGCGCTGCTGGGCGGCCATCACGCTGGAGGAGGCTTCCTTGGCGGCTTGAATAGCCGCCGCTATTTCAGCGGGGGAAGGGACGTGCGGCTTGGGGGCAGAAAATTGAGGAAAGGAATGGTAGGAGAAGTCCTGAGGGAAGGCCTCAAAGACGACGCCGCGCTTAACGTTGGCGCCCGAGACAATCAGAACAAAGGTGGCGATTATCTTAAAAATAATAATAATAGTAATGACTATTAAACCGTGGTTGTACTTACTACTGGTGTGTAGATCATGGTTGTGGTGATTCTGCCGCGTCTGTATTGATGGTGTGGTTATATACACTTCCATTATGAAAAAATGCTACAATTAAATGATAGAAGAAATTGTTTCCGTATTTTCTGAGGGCATCCCTATAATCATGCCTTTCATTGAATGCGTGTTATTTAAAATGAATTATAAGTGCGACTAAAACGGAAAGGTGGCCCAAATTGCTGTGTAAAGTTTACAACGACATTATTAATTATTTCAGACCAAAGATGGGAGAAAGTAACCTTTAGATGTTCGCAGTGTTGGTTTTCTTTAAAAAATGTGTAATTTAATGTTACAGTTACTGGTGTTTTGCGGTTGATCGTTTGATTATTTGCGGCTTTTTTTGTGATTGGAATGTTGGCTTAACATTCACGATTTGTCAAGCTGAAAAGAGCGCAGGCATGCAAAGATTAGGGTTTTGGTTGAGAGAAAATTAAGTGAGGGATTTTTGGCGGAGATTCTTGAATTTTTCAGCATTTGTGTTTTCGAAATTTAACTAAACTAACTCCAACCATTTTTGCAGAATCGCCCTTTGTAATATCGCAATTTTTCAAAATTTCAAAAAAAACTAGAATTTCACACCGAATTTTTCGAAAATATTGCTCCGTGACCCTAAATACACTATATTTTTGGAATCAGCACGTCGAGATCTACATCCCTGAATTTTTTGAAAATTTTTCAAAAATGAAATTTTCTGTTCAAAAGATTGGTGTTAAATCCACAATCTTGTTACTCAAATATCACCAAAATTATCAAAACTGTTTAATCACACATTTTCATCAAAAAATTTTTGTGTACGTAGTATACACTGAGTCACAAAAAAGTCACTAAATCTATGCAAAGAAAAAATTAATAACATGTTTTCGAATATCGTGTTATTCAAAGAATATTATGTACCTATATTAAGAAAAAAATAAAGCCAATTTAATTGCAAAATTGTTATTATTTCTGTACAAGAAATTACTATGTTTTTGAGTGTCGTTTTATTCAAAGAATACTATGTACCTATATTAAGAAAAAAATTAAAGGCAAAGATTAAGCCCCACCCATACCTGCCCTGATCTAAATAGCATGAAGTTTTCATTCGTTGACAGACCTAGGGGCAGGGCCTAATTCCAAAATCCATATTTCCTTACAAAAGTTTACCATTTTAAACGTGTTTTAAGTTTCCAAAAATAAAAAATCATCACAATTGAGATGGGGTGGGTGGGTGGGGTTTATATTTTGCCTTTTTTTCTTAATATACATAGGAGTGTTTGAATAACACGATACTCAAAAACATGTTTTAATTTCTTGTAAAGAATGAAGTATTTTGCAGTTAAGCTTCACCCACTTGGTTCACGGCGAATAAAAAAATTCATTACAATTGAGACAGGGCGGGCGGGCGGGCTCACATTTTGCCTTTTCGTTTTCACAACAAGAAACTTAAAACATATTTAAAATGGAAAATTTGTATAAGGAAATATCGATTTTGCAATTTGGTTCCGCCGCATAATTGCAAAATCGATTCCTTGCAAAAATGTACCATTTTAACCATGTTTTAAGTTTCTTGTTGTGAAAAGATGGCAGTGTATATTAAGAAAAAAAGGCAAAATATAAGCCCCGCCCACCCGCCCTATCACAATTCCGATGATTTTTTTTATTCGTTGTAAGCCGAGGGGCGGGGCTTAATTGTGAAATACTTATTTTTCTATGAAAAATTTTTCTTATGCAAACTTCGACACATTTTCGACGATTTTCGAAATTTAACTAAATACATTTTCTTGTAGATTTTGGGTTGCGGAAATCCCGGCCTCATTTCTTTGATATCTCCAACCATTTTTCCAGAATCGCCCATTGAAATATCGCTAGTTTTCAAAATTTCAAAAAATTCAAATTTCACACCGAATTTTTCGAAAATATTGCCCCGTGCCCCTAAACACGCTACATTTTTGGAATCAGCATGTCAAGATCTGTAACCTTGAATTTTTTGAAATGCTTTGAAATCTTGGAGATATTTTAAAGTTATTATAAACATGGTAAACTTTTGTTCAAAATGTATTTGTTCATCCCTCCTAAAAAAATTGATGACGTCACCCTTAAATTTTGCTGAATAAATCTTATCTAAAATGCAAAAAATATGATGAGTTTGTACTTGTGATTTATCATTCCATTCATATTTTTTAGATTTTCTTAAGAGGTGGCTCAAAAAAAATTAATGAAGTCAATTTATTTTATTGATTAAATTAAAGACAACACTTATTATTAGTATTACATTGGACCAACCCAATTTGGTAGACACAAAATTTTTTAAAGTAAAAACTCGGTTGATACATAAGGGTAGCACCCTTATTTACATCGATTTTAACATTACAGACGTGCATTTGTTTTGTGCGCTGACTAGGTTAAGCGAATGTGGAATAGACATGTTTATAATCAACCAATTGTGAATTTCACCGTCAAAAATTAAAATAAAACCCAATGTTTTATATAATAAGCGGAAGTCGAAGTAATAAAACCGATGGTCGTTTTGTTTACAGTTTCTCTGTTTGACTCTCACGTATGCTGTTACGCTTGTCATCTTAAATTAAGAATGTTTATACATAAACGATTTTCAGCTGCCTCTCATATTACACACCGGCGCCGTATACGTGAGTAAATTGTTTCGTTATTTTATTGATTATAACAAATCAATATTCAAAGCGACCCAATTCATTTTCCCGAAAATCTTAGTATTACACTACATCTATCCCAACTGATATACTTGTCCTTGCAAAAATGTTGATGACGTCATCGCAATTTTTTTTTAAATTCCCACTACAAAAATGTAATGAGAAAAAAAACACAATAGGCATGCAGTCGTCAAGTTTCCGACAGCGAGGGAAGTACTGTCTAAACTCTTTAGACCAATTTTTTTCTTAATATACATAGGAGTGTTTGAATAACACGATACTCAAAAACATGTTTTAATTTCGTGTAAAGAATCAAGTATTTTGCAGTTAAGCTCCGCCCTTTTGGTTCACGGCGAATAAAAAAAATCATTACAATTGAGACAGGGCGTGTGGGCGGGCTCATATTTTGCCTTTTTGTTTTAATATATACTGACTTCTTTTCACAACAAGAAACTTAAAACATATTTAAAATGGAAAATTTGTAAAAGGAAATATCGATTTTGCAATTGGGTTCCGCCGCATAATTGCAAAATCGATTCCTTGTAAAAATGTACCATTTTAACTATGTTTTAAGTTTCTTGTTGTGAAAAGATGGCTATGTATATTAAGGAAAAAAGGCAAAATATAAGCCCCGCCCACCCGCCCTATCGCAATTCCGATGATTTTTTTATTCGTTGTAAGCCGAGGGGCGGGGCTTAATTGTAAAATACTTATTTTTCTATGAAAAATTTTTCTTATGCAAACTTCGACACATTGTCGACGATTTTCGAAATTAAACTAAATACATTTTCTTATAGATTTCGGGCTGTGGAAATCCCGGCGTCATTTCTTCGATAACTCCAACCATTTTTCTAGAATCGCCCATTGAAATATCGCTAGTTTTCAAAATTTCAAATAATTCAAATTTCAGACCGAATTTTTGCCCCGTGCCCCTAAACACGCTACGTTATTGGAATCACCACGCCAAGATCTGTAGCCCTGAATTTTTAGAGTTTTTAAACATGTTCAAAAATTTTTTTTTTATCTGAAAAAAAAAGTTTGTTGACAAAAATGGCTAAAAACGTAACTGGAATGTTCAAAGGGAGATTAGAACGCGTGTGCAAAATTTGTACCAGATTCGGCCATCTAGGGGTCGCAGACTCGCATACACAGAGAGAACAAACTTTATTTAAAGTGGACCCCCTTGTATGGCTCTAGAAAATCGATTTCTGTTCAAAATATTGGTGTTAAATCCGCAATTTTGGTACTCAAATATCACCAAAATTATCAAGTTCTGAAAAGATGACTACATGTTAAGAAAAAAGACAAAGTATAAGCTCCGCCCACCCACCCTATTTCAATTGTGATGATTTTTTTTTAATCGTCGAGAGCCAAATGAGCGGAATTTAGTTAGAAAATCCTTATTATTTCTCTACAAGAAATTACCATGTAAGACGTGTTTTTGAGTATCGTGTTATTCAAAGAATACTATGTACATATCATATATTAAGAAAAAATTAAAACCCAAGATTAAGCCCCACCCATACCTGCCCTGATCTAAATAGTAATGAAGTTTTCATTCGTTGGCAAACCTAGGGGCAGAGCCTAATTGCAAAATCCATATTTTCCTTTATCACAATTGAGTTAGGGTGGGTGGGCGGGGTCTATATTTTGCTTTTTTTCTTAATATGCGTAGCATTCTTTGAACAACACGACACTCAAAAACATGTTTTTAATTTATTGTAAAGAAATAAGTATTTTGCAGCTATTCTCCGCCCCCTTGGTTCACGGCGAATTAAAAAAATCATCACAATTGAGATAGGGTGGGTGGGCGGAGCTTACATTTTGCTTTTTTGTTTTAATATGTGTAGACTTCTTTTCACAACATGAAACTTAAAATACGTTTAAAATGGAAAATTTGTATAAGGAAATATCGATTTTGCAATTAGCATTTTAACCATGTTCTAAGTTTCTTGTTGTAAAAGGGCAAAGTATAAGCTCCGCCCAATTTCAATTCGGATGATTTTTTTTATTCGTCGTAAGCCGAGGGGCGGAGCGTAATTGTAAAATGCTTATCTTTCTACGAAAAATTTCCCCTTTCCTATTCTCCACGGAAAATATATTCTTTTCCATATTATTTACACATAAATAATTAATACGAGTTCAATCATCAACAGATGGCACCAAGAGGGGGGGGGGTTAGGCTACATCTATAACCTTGATTTTTTTTGAAAATTTTTTGACGACTTTTTTAAAAATGATGCAAATATACAAATTTCGATACATTTATGACGATTTTCGAAATTTAACTAAATACATTTTCTTTTAGACTTCGGGCGGCAGAAATCACTTCCGGCCTTATTTCTTCGATATCTCCAACCATTTTTCCAGAATCGCCCATTGAAATATCGCAATTTTTCAAAATTTCAGAAAATTCGAATCCAGTTTTTCCTTATGAAAATTTTTACCACCTAGACTTTTTTTGTAGATTTCGACCTTCAAAAGTTTCTTCAGCCTTATTTCATCGAAAACTTCTACCATTTTTTCAGAATCGTTAAATGCAAAATACAGGGTGAGCCAATAAGTGCGCGCTCCTTGATATCTCATCTCATTATATTTATTAGAAACAAGAAAAAGGCAAAGACCAAAGTTGCACGGTTCTTTGAGGACAATACTCTAAAATTATTTTTAACTATACGGAGTGTTCTGTTTTAAAGACTTAACACACAACTTGGTTTTTTTAAATGAAACACCCTATATATTTTTGGATATTTTGCTTATAATTTCCTTCAATTTGAAACGCATTTCTCAGGAATTTTGTTCGTTCTGCTCGAACGTTTGCGGTGCCGACTGTTGATGTTTTTTTAATTTAAAAACAAATAATATAGAAATAAATCATCACTGTTTAAAAAACATGTTTTCATTTGTGGGATAAATCAAGCAAGATATAAATTGCACTGATGTAAACAAATAAGTTTCTATTTTTATTTTGAAAGTATGCACATTTAAAAATCTCCGAGATTATTAAATTTAGTATTGGTTACAGCGAGTGTCGTAAAAATTTATAAATTCCTATCCTTTCTAGTTTGTCAATCATCATTTCAACAGATACTTCGCGGTTTTGTACCTTTCACAATCAATTTTGAATGTTTTAATAAAAAAAAATCGCCCCATGATTCTTAAACTTCAACCAGATTAAAATCATTCAAATGAATGTCGTGACTTTTACTATCTACTCTAATTCAACGCCCTAAGAAAGTAAAAGTTCATTCCAGATGATTGAAATTTCTTTCTTCAGAGGTCACGTTCAAACCAACTCAGGCATAAAATTAACGAAAACCGACGACTTTACAAACAAACAGTATTTATTTATTATTAAATAGAAAACAAATAAAAAACAACAATAAGAAAATATAAAACAATATAGCACATAAAATAAACAAATCTAAACTAAAAAAAACTATAACATTGAGTCATCGGTACTCTTCGTGACATACCACTTCTCCTTAAAAATCTTCTGTTTGTGAACCACTGGAATATTCCGTGATTGTTTCCCTTCGATTTTTTCGTTTCGGAACCTCGGGTGGTCTCCCTTCGAGCCCTTCACCGTCTTCACTTGTACTTTAGGGTTCTTCATAATTTTCTTCCCTTTTCTCATCGGTTTCTCATATTTGCTACTCGTGCTGTAGCTTTCGCTGTATTTGTAACCATCACTTTTGTTATATTTGTTGGGTTTTGTTACTTTCTTGTGCTTCTTTGGTACAGGTTTCGAAGAACCCCTCTCATTGTCTTCTTCATCGTCTTCCCTATAATTATTGTGGTCATCATCGTCGAAACCATATTTATTAAAATAACGATCGTCTTCGTCATCTTCCTCGTAACTCTCCTCATCGTTCTCTTCATTTTCTTCCTCTTCTTCTTCCTTGTTGGGCGCATTTTCCTCCTCTTCCACCTCTGGTTCTTCTTTCTGGTCTTCGTTCACTGCTGGAACACTCATCGGTTTCGTGATTGGTAGAATCTGCTGAGGCTCCGGTGCCTGGAAACGACGATAGGCATTTCGGGTTACAAGAGGTGGAGGGACGAACTTGTGGGTCCCTGCTTGTGGGTGCGTGTACAAGAAACTGGGTCTTTGTTGTGGCTGGAACCCATTTTGCTGCGGCTGGAACCCATTTTGTTGTTGTTGGTGCTGCTGCTGGAAGGCTTGGTGTTGTTGGAACCCATTTTGCTGTCCCGACGGATACGTGATTTTCCCATTCACGTACAGCAACTTCCCTGGGATGTACTGATGGGTTTGCACGTGCTGAGGTAGCGGATGGTACTGCACTTGCGCGAAATTCTGACCATGCCTCACCAAGGCGCTGTGTTGCACTGGTGTGGCCACCGTTTCAGAGCCGCTGAACTGGGCGGGCCCTCCGTCCTTGCTCTGCAGCGGTTGGTAGAACTGGTTCACGTGAACATTGGAAACCGCATTGGTTGGTGTTTGCTGAAACTCGTACAGGACTTGCTGGGCTGCTACTTGTTTGGAGAGCTCTGGATCGAAGACGGGTTTGAGGGTAACAGGGGCGTAGAGGCTGGCGAGGCTCTGGGGCGACACGGGGGTGCTTTCTGGATAGAGCACCACGGGGCGGTTTTCTCCATAGTTGTGGACTTGACCAGAGACCGTGCGTTTCGTTTTGTTCGTGGGGGCTTCTTCGGTGGTGTTCGTGGCGAAGATGCCGGTTGTAAGGTGAAAAATGATTGCTGTCACCTGTAGGGGATTTTTGTAAAATTGAGGGGTTGAAAAGGGAGGTACTTACGATGAGGTTCATCGTAGCTGTGTTTGAGTGATGTTGAGCAATGACTGGATTAGGAACGACAAAGAAATGGTATTTATAGTTGCGCTCAGAAAAAAGGTAATCGACCACAAATGTTTTAATAAAATGTTTCGGTTTAGCGAAATTTTTTGCTTGAGAGAGATTTCTAGAGTGTTTTGGGTAATCTCTGTTGGTCACAGTTGTTGGGTACTAATTATTTGAAACGGTTGGATGAATGTCAATTTCAATGTCTTGGTGAGAGAAGTGTTTTTTTGGGTGCTGGTTTTATGGGAAAATAATGGAACTGGGCTTAGGCGTGTGCATATTTCCGACTGACAATATATTTGTTTCATAACACCGGGTGTCCGGAAAATGGCGGATTAACTCTCCGCTACGCTCTTAACAAACAATTTTGGCGGAGTTATAATAATATGTATTAAAATTGGTTCTTTTGCTACGTTTAACAACTAAACAACACATTCATTGTCACAATAACTAGTAGGAGTAATAAAATTTTTAGTTAATATTTGTCTCGCCCATGACCATGTTTAATTACCATCTCAGTTAGAATGTACAAAGATATGGTTGTGTTGTTTTTTTAAAATTCGCACTTAATTTTAGGTCCCCTGGTGTTTTATTTTCGGATAAATTTCAGGGAATCTGGTGTCTTGTGGGTGGATCAATCTTTTGAGCTTTTAGTGTTTTATTAGTTAGGAGACTCTTGGGTAGCCATGGTGTATTATTTTGGGGGCCCATGGAGATTTTTTTTTGTAAATTATTTAAAACAATTTTGGGGAATTTTGGTGTTCTGCTTTTGGAAAATTCTGACTTGACCTGTTTTTGAGTTAATTTTAGGACCCCATTTTTTTTTGTTTTGAAAAATTTAAAACAATCCTGGGGTTCTAGGTATTCCCGTTTGGAAAGAATTTGAAAATGCTTTGGAGTTTGGAGCCTCTAGGGTCTTTATATATAATTAAATTTCTTAGAGGATACGTCATTTGCTAAAATCAGCCTTATTTTAGGAAGTACTAGCCCCGCCTACCAACCCTGTCTTTTCTTAAAGGGTATCTCATTTGCCAAAATCAGTCTTATCGTAGCAGTTACTAGCCCCGCCCACCCATCCTCTCTTTTCTTAGAGGGTATGTATGTCATTTCCCAAAATCAGTCTTATCTTGGCAGCTTAGCTGCTAGAATAAGATCGATTTTGGCAAATGATATACTCTTAAAGAAAAGAGAGGGTGGGTGGGTGGGTGGTTGGGGCTAGTAACTGCTAAGATAAAACTAATTTTGGCAAATCACATACCCTCAAGAAAAGGGAGGGTGGGTGGGCGGGGCTAAAACTTGCCAAGATAGAACTGAACAATGTTAAGAATTAACACTGGAATGAATAAGGGGTGGGTGGGTGGGTGGGGCTACTGCTTGCTCATAAAACTAGAAAAGAAGATAAACTTGGCTCCGCCGATCTCCCTTCCCCATTTCACTGACTTTTTACTTCCCGAGTGTAAACAAAGGAAGAAAAAAATACAAGGGACCTTTGACAATCTTTAAATTCTTTTTAAAACCAAAACTACGGGTGCCCCTAAGATTCTTTAAATTTTTTTCAAAAATAAAATGCCAGGAGCTGTTTCAAATATTTTTTTTTAAATTTTATCAAATTTTATTTATTATTCCAAATTCATTTTAAAATAATGGGTAGCCCAAAATTCTTTTATGTTGATTCTATAACAAATCAAGATTCCAAGCTCAAGATTCGTTCACATTTTTGAAAAAAAGATGCAAGGGGTCTCTGAGGTTTTTTGACATTAAAAATGATGTAGGGGCCTCTTGAGAAAAAAAATACAAGGGACCCTTGACAATCTTTCAATTATTTCAGACATAAAACAGTAGGACCCCCAAAGATTCTCTAAATTCTTTTCAAAGCCAAACTACGGGTGCCCCTGAGATTCTTTAAAAAAATTTCAAAAATAAAATGCCAGGAGTGGTCAAGTGTTTTCAAATATTTTCTGAAATAAAACCTCTGGTGCCCCTGAGACTCTTTAAAATTTTATCAAATACAGAACACCAGAGGGCTTCAAAATTCTTTCAGATTTAGTTTAAAATAATACAACAGGGTGGCCCAAAATTTCTTCATATTCATTCAACACCAAATCAACAGGGGTGCCCAAGATTCGTTCACATTTTTGAAAAAAGATATACAAGGGGTGTCTGAGGTTTTTTGACATTAAAAACGATGCTAGGGACTTCTGAGATTCTTTAACTTTTTTCAAAAATAACAGAGCAGGAACCATCAAGATTCTTCTATATTCACAAAAAAGAAGACCCTTGAGTTTTTTTCACATTTGTCAAAATTAAAGATTATTTCAAATTAGTTCCAAAACAAAATCACTACTTCCCACCAAAATTATGACACTTATCGTAGCTGTAATAAAAAATAAAACGTAGAATTAAAAAAAATATAAATATTTTTCGCAAACTGCTGGTAAGATAAGACTGATTTTGGCTAATGAGATACCCTCTAAGAAAAAAGAGGGTGGGTGGGCGGGGTCTAGTAGCTGCTAGAATAAGACTGATTTTGTTTTTATTTTTTTTGGAATTCCCGAAACCCTCGTACATAACGTACTGAAGACTTAATCTGCCATTTTCTAAACACCCGGTATAGTGTAGGTATTATATGTAATCATGACAAAGAATAAACATTGGTCTAAAGTTATTTAGAAAAACTTTCCTTGCATCTAAAGTATAGTCGAACAATTCAATTTTTAATAAGTAGACTCCCGACTTTTACGTTTTCTTGATCTTTCAAGACCCATACAGTACGAAAAAATAGGTCTCCCGTTTCTATTTATCTGTCCATCTGTCCGTCTGTCCGTCTTTCTGCCGTCCCGGATTTTTATTACACAGATAATCTCCGAATGTACTGGGCCGATTGGTCCCAGATTTTGTATTTATATTAGGAATATCATGTAGATGGATAAAACGCTAACCAAAATTTGCCTATCATCCCCACCAATAATGTGATGACGTCACTTCAAAATTGTACATAGTAAATGAGTTTTAAATTGTATAAAATAACATAGGCCTACACATGTAGTTTATGACTCCGTGTTGAGTTTTACCAGAAACAAAATTTTTGGAAAAAAATCAAAATTATAAAACAACATTTAGCAATTTAATTTTGAATCTGCAAAACTGAATGCTTTGAAATCTTTTTTAGTTTTATATTCATCCAGTCCATCGGACGAATGGCCACTTTTATGTTTGCTTGACGTTTCATGACTCCTAGAGTACGAGAAAAATAGTTTCCTGTTTCCGTCTGTCTGTCTGCCTGTCGTCTGTATCCATTTTTATTAGATACGTAATCTCTGAAACTGCTGGACCGATTACTGTCAAATTTTGTATGTATATTAGAAATATGATGTACATCGTTAAATGCTAACCAAAATTTTGCTAATCATCATCACCAATAATTTGATGACGTCATTTCAAAAAATTCTATGTTTATTTGATTTAACTGTTATACAACAATATAGTCATAAGACTATATTATTGTATAACACCACGGATTCGTACACCACACTTATAAAATAAGTGTGGTGTACGAATCCGCCTTGAGTTTTTCCGTAACCGTCCAAATTTTTGCAAAAACATAATGCGTAGTGATCCATAATAACAGTTCACCATTAGCGTAATCAGGGACTTTAATTATTGTTATTTTATTCGTTCTTTACCTGATTAGTTCTTCTCTCTTTGTATTTATTTCCAGACATTCGTTTACTTTTTCGATTTTTTTAATTTTTTTTCCCCCATAATTCTTTCTATAGATTTCTTGTCAAGGTCTAACTAGTTCTCAAAACTTACTTGTTGTCGTTTTTTAATATTCTTCTCATTTCTCTTTCCATGTATCTCTTGTTCTTTGAAAAAAAAATCTCTTTATTATTTATTTGATTTTTTTTTCATTTGTTACATATATTACCTCTCCTTTTCTTTGTTAGTATATTTCCATATATTCGTTTACTTTTTTAATTTTTTATTTCTCTTTTTGTGTCTCTATTACTCCGATTTTTCTTCTTTGACATCAATTTTTGTTTTAGATTACTTGTTACTATGTACCTACCTATTTTTAGGAACTTATTTTTTTATTAATTTTTTAGTACTTTTGTGTTCATGTTTCTCCAATCTTTGGCAAAAATTTCATCTCCCTTTTCATATTTATATTTCGGTTGGTTTTTAATATTTAATCGCTTCATGATATCATTGTTTTCCGCTTTCTTTTAATATTCTTTATAATTTTTAGTTTTTGTTGTTTTTTTTTCTGTTCTCCATAAAATTTTCAGTATCTTCCCTAATGTTCAGATTTCACATGCTTTTTTTTACCTGATTAGTTTTTCTCTTTATTAATATTGTTACATTGACCGATGAATAAAATCGACGTGGGTAAAACTCAACAATTTTATTTCTTAATAATTCCAACTTACAGGTCTAACTATACAGCGATTACGTACAGAATAATTCCGACTCGACTGGAATGGACTTAACTAGACTTCTCCCATTGTCTGGACTACACCCGTCGCAACATCCGCTTCCAGGCTCTTCCCGGCCGCCGTCACCGACAATGAGTCATCACTGCCGTACATACTACAACCCATAGGTGTCATATCGGGACAGCAGCGTATGGGTTTATTTCGTAACAATATATTTCCAGACATTCGTTTACTTTTTCGATTTTTTAAATGTTTCCTTTTTTTTTCTCACAATTCCTTCTATAGATTTCTTGTCAAGATTTAACTAGTTCTCAGCACTTATTTGTTGTTGTTTTTTAATATTCTTCTCATTTCTCTTTCTATGTATCTCTAGTTTTTTGAAAAAAAAAAATCCATTCCAAAATTGGTCTTTCGTTGTTTTCTTTTTTTTTTCTATTTTTCTCCCGCATTGTGTATTATATATTTTTATGACGTCATAACAAATTTTTTATGGTTGAAATTATCCCACTTTCTCCTAAAGGTGAAAATACGTCCCTCTTTATTTAAAAATGTGAAATCTTCTCAGGGGTCCCAACTGTCTTTTTTTTACTGTAAACCTTCTCGGGGGCCCAAATGTATTTTTTTAAGAATGAGAAACCTTCTCGGGGGTCCCAATTGTCTTTTTTAAAAATGTAAAACCCTCACAGGGGTGCCAAATGTTTTCTTTTTTTAATGTGAACCGTGTGATACCTTCTCGGGGGTCCCAACTGTCTTTTTTAAAAATGTAAAACCTTATCGGGGGCCCCAAATGTCTTTTTTTTTTTTTAATATGAAACCTTCTCGGGGGCCCAGCTGTCTTTTTTAAAAATGTAAAGCCTTCTCGGGGCGCCAAATGTCTTTTTTAAGAATGTGAAACCTTCAAGGGGGTCCCAGCTGTCTTTTTGAATGTGAAACCTTCTGGGACCCCCAAATGTCTTTTTTTAAGAATGTGGAACCTTTTCGGTTTTACTCCATAGAGGTTATCGCGAAAAAGTAAAAATTCCGCAAAATCTAATTCTATAATTTTTCAGAGAAACATTATTTGTTGCACTGTACTTCAGAAGCAAAGGAAGTTCTGTCGAAATAATTTTCGACCAATTTTTTTTTAATTAAAATGTTTATCCTCTCCGAAATTAAGTGGTCACATACTTGTATAAAATATAAAAACAAATGATTTTACGTCTTTTAGTAAATAATTGTTTTAAATAATTTGCATGTTAAGATTAAAGTGTGGCCACCCTAAAATCCAATTGTGGCCACTGCAAAAAACTGCGGTTTGTGGTATGAAAGCATACGAATGTATGCACGATCAGGAAGGTGATTTGTTATAGGAAAATAAACCAATAATCATTTTTTAGAAATTTATTCCACAATTTTAATACAAATATAAAATATAAAAGAACAACTGATATTTGAAAATAATTTAGAGACATCAGTCTTTCAATATACAGAACCCATGAATAAAAAATAACATCAATCTATGTACAATCTTGAAGTTTCAGTTCAACATGTTTTAAGAAATATGTGCACCGTCAATACGAACAATGTCCATCTGTGTTTAAAATAGACTCCGTCACACGATTTTGCTTAAACTACTCCCCCATCTCGTCACCACAAACATATTCAACCATCATCTCTAGCCTTACATATTAAAATGTTAGGAACTCCTTAGCGTTTAGTACTTAATTTAAAACGAAAAAAATTAATAATTATCCAGACACTTGGGGCTAAACACGTGAACCAAGCTATCCCACCCACAATCCGCCACCTGCCCCTTCCTATGAGTATTCCAATCCAACCCGTAGACGAACTCCGAGTGGTGCTGAATCGTCTCCAACGCCTCCGACCCCCTTTTAAAATCCCAAAGCCTCGTAGTAAAATCGTAGCTAACCGAAGCCAACACGGTGGCATAATGCGGCGAAAACTGCACCCTCCTCACCGCATATTCGCACCCTTTTAACTGAAAAACGGGCTGAGTATAACTTCTAATATCCCACCCTCGAATTAACCCATCCGACCCGCTCGTCGCTAGAATGTTCTCGTCATATTTACACCAATCACACGACAGAACTTCGGCATCATGCACCCTGAACGAGCTCGTGGGCTGCGAGTTCAAGCTATTCCACAGCTTCAAAGTCCCGTCTCCGGACACCGACGCGAAGCAGTTCGGTATATGGGGCGAAAACATGGCGCTGTAGACCAGCTGCGAGTGCCCCTGGAACGTCCCAATGGATGATTGTCGGTTAGGGTCCCAAAGTTTGATGCTGCAGTCCCACGACGCGCTCAGAATGTACTGGTCTTGTCGGGTTCGAGACCAGTCCACCGAGTAGACTTCGTTTTTGTGTTCCCAGAAGGTGACAGGGGGGTTGTTGGGGGACGAGAGGTTCCATAACTGGAGACCGCCATCTCCGGAGGCGCTCACGACTAGAGAGGGGTTGTTTTCCGCCCAGACTACGTCGAAGAGACCGTCAGACCACTGGTAGGTTTGGGTTTCGGTGAGTTTTCCCTCGGGGGTTAAGTCGAGGATGAAGAGGGTGCCACCACCTGCGAGGCCAAATAATTGACTTGTTGCCACCACCAGACGATCGGGCGTGAATGGGGAAAAGCGAACGCTGTAGCCGTGGCGATTTGGGGTGAGATATGTGGCCATAGTCAACGATTAAGGCATTTTTGAGTTGGGTTTGATTTAAAATTTGGGGGTTGACACTTGACAGGTGTCAAAGTCGAAGTGGCTAAAGTGGCACACCGCGCAACGCACTAATTTAATTGTTAAAAGAAACTAAATCATAAATACAAAACAACCATCACATACGATTATAATTCAGATAAATGTAATTTCATGTTGTTTCGTTTTAACAATAATTTGTGAAAAAAATTCCGGAGAAGGCGTAACATTAACCACTACTTTTTCGTGTCGATTGACAGACAGGCAACAAAAAGTGAGGTTATGTGTATATTTTTATTTTTTTCGTATTTGTGAAGACCACAATGTGTTAGTTTATACAAAAGTCGAAAAATGTGGTTGCCTGTGAATTTTAATTACAACTATGCCAAGAGAAACCAGGTGAGTTGATTTTTTTTTCTGCCGAAGTTGAGGGTTATGTTTTTAGTAAATGCCGTGAATGGGAAAAAGAGCGCAGAAATCGTCTAAATGATGCCTTTGCGACCCTAAGTAAAGTATTACCATGTTACGACCCTGCCGTTAACGTTAGTAAGATCGACATTTTGAAAAATGCTGCGACTCACATTGAGGAACTTCAAGCCAAACTTAAGACTTTAATGTCAGAAAGTAACGACGATTCTGCGAAAAAAGTTAAAGGTGAGTTTGATTTTTTTTCAAGGAAACGTTTCATTTTTTGCTCGCAGGCGAAGAATTCAGAAAATTGCATGATCGTATTCGACGGCTTCTCAGTAAAAATGAGCAACTGTGTGCTTTATTGCGTGAAGCCAAAATTTCAATCCCACCAGGGTGTGTGTTTGTTAAAAAGTTTAGGAATCCGTTATTTTGGTCGAACCGGATTTTGCCAGAGCAGGCAAAAATTCTGCAGAAGAAGGAGGCCGGAAGTATATTTTTCATGATTTATATATATACATTAGTTGACTGATTATTTGTAGAAGAAAATGATGCATCCGTCAAGAAACAAAGTAAATTTACAAATAAAAAACAGAATAAAGTAGGGGGCCAGAATAGTACCCCGAAACATAGAAAGGCGATATTGAATCGGTCTGACTCCAGGAAACTTCGCCCCATAAAGAAGAAAAAAATAAAGCCTTTAACACCTTCCAAATGCGTGATAGTATTGTCACAACCTAGTGTCACACAATCGTGTTACGTCATCACGAATGCTCCTTCAAACAACATTGTAGGTGGTACTTCTACAGGTGAGTTCAACCGTCTATGTAAACTTTATCTAAAAACTGTTTTCCAGTTATTACAAACTCAGGTTTTGTTACAAATCCTTTGGTTTCGTCAAAGGCCAATAAAAGCGTTTCTTCCGTGTCTGCTCTCGGTCCGGGTACTTTAATCCTAGCGAATGGTACCATTATGCCGGTACTACCACAACAAACCGTCCTTCCTCTAGCCCCGCAAATCATAACTCGACCACCTATCATTTTCCTGCCGAAAACCCCGGTTACCGTACCATGTAGTACCGTATCAACGAGTAAAATCGTGACGAGCGGCACTAAAACTTTGGCTCGAATCCGACCAAAGTACTGTTCAACGAAAACCACCCAAGTGAATAAGGTACCAATACCGGCGTTAACCTCGAGGTACTCGAACGCAGAAGTAGTACTACAAAAATCCGAACCGAAAGTGGTTAAAGAGAAAAAAAGCGTCGCTAAAGAGAGTAATAAAAAAGAGGAAGTACCGGAAACGGGGGAGAAAAGGAAAGTACCGTTGTCTGAAGAAGAGGCAACTGAAGCAAAGAAGACCAAAGTCGCAGAAGAGAGTACTGGTGATGCTAAGGAAAAAGAGTCAACTGAACAGGAAAAAGTGCCAGAACCAGAGGGTACCGCTAACAAGGAGAAAGATGACGAAAAGGCAAGTGAAGATAAGACGAGTGAGAAGGCTCCACAGAAGGCGAATGAAGTAGAAACGAAAAAACCCGAAGAACCAATTGAGTTGAATATAAATCACTCAGAGTTGTCAAACGATTTGTTTGCTTCTTTGCAAGTACCTCCTGGGTGTCAAAATCCGGAAAGTACGTCTCCGACGGCTGCTTTCCTTCTCGCGTTTCCTTTGGTGTCAACTTTGACTGGTGGCGTGAAGGTTGCAGAAGTGACAGAAGAAGATAATACAGAGAGTCAAAGGGAGACTCCCACGCTTCTTCAAATCGGTACTATGGATAGTACTAAACCGACGCAGTCTGAGAGTTTAACTCCGAGTCTTTTGAATTTGGATAATTTCTCATTCTTGTCTTCAAAGGATATTGGAGGATTTTATAATTCGTTTGAGGGTACTATGGTGACAACCACGGCATCAACTGTGGTCAGTACTCATAGTGTTGCGAGTAAAGATAGTTCAGCAGAGAAACAGCAACAGAGTTATCAAACAAGTCAAGAAACGCAACAGGTTCAACAGCGACCTCCACAACCCCAACAACAAGTGCAACAGCTCCCCAAACAACCAAAAAAACCTCTCCAACAACCCCAACAGCCTCGACAACCTTCACAGTCTCACCATCAGTCTCAACCTCCTCTCCAGCAACAGCAGCAGCCGCTTCAACAAACCCAGCAGCCACAGCAGCCTCTCGCACAGCAACAAACTCTTCAACAACAGCAGCAACCTCTCCCGCAGCAAAATCAGCCCCTTCAGCAACCTCTCCAACAGTCCCAACAACCTATCCAACAGTCGCAACAACCTATCCAACAGTCTCAACAACCTATCCAACAGTCCCAACAACCTATCCAACAGTCCCAACAACCTATCCAACAGTCCCAACAACCTATCCAACAGTCTCAACAACCTCTCCAACAGTCTCAACAACCTCTTCAACAGTCCCAACAACCTCTCCAACAGTCCCAACAACCTCTTCAACAATCCCAACAACCTCTCCAACAATCTCAGCAGCCCCTCCAAAAACCTCAACCCTCACTCCAACAATCTCAACAGTCTCTCCAACAAAATCAGCAACCTCTACAACCTGTTCAGCAACAAAAACAACCACTGCAGCAGCAACAGCCTCACCAAAAACAACAACAACCTCTGCAACCACAACAGCCTCACCAAAAACAACAGCAGCAGCCCCTTCAACAGCAGCAGCAGACTCACCACCAACAAACTCACCAGCAGCAACCTCATCAACAACAGCTTCATCAACAAACTCAACTTCATCCACAACCGTCACACCAACAGCAACACCAACAGACTCAACCGCAACAAGCTCAACAGTCACAATCGCTTCAACAGAATCAACAACACCGTCAAGAAAAGAATCAGTTGGTACCGTGTTTCGACAATCACACCTTCGGTGGTACCAATGCTCAGTCGCTAAATTATCAACCGAAACTTAGCGTCGGCAACCTTGAAACTAAGCAGCAGCCGGTTTGTGGTAACACGTACGGTCAAAAAAGTTTTACGTATGAACCTCCTAAAGGTAGTACCACGTGTGTTTATGCCAACATTAAAACTTATCCAGAGCCGCTGTACACTAATAGTAGTACGTACACTTACGGTAATACGTCGGATACCAACTTTAACCAAAATTACTACAAAGAAATCCCTAAAAGCGACAATCGGAGTTACTATTCTCTAAATTATGAGAACTACGCGGATTATAGAAAGAATGACGGTAATAGTTATTTTCCGAACTCTAATTACTACCCTAATACAAATTATTCAAAGGATAAGTTTAATAATAATCAGAATAATAAGAAAGGGGTTCAAAGTCGACCACCAATTAACTGGATGACTGCGCCAGATAACCGGTTACAAACACCTGCGGATTATGTGTTACCCCAATTCACGAAAGAAACTGACTTTTACCCAATTAACACTTTCACTAACACTCAAACCACATACTTCAACACGAACCCGATGTATCCGACGAACACTAACGAAGTCGCTAACCAAGAACCCCGGAAGAGTCTTGATTTATCGTTGGTACCACCAGTCAATTCGTACCAACGCAACGAAGTCGAAGACAACCAATTATCGTGGTCGCCTACTAAAATCCCACAATTCTTAGATCCACCTCATAGTTTCGCCACGACTCTACCAACTCTAGTCGGAGATTTAGCCCTCGGCAACTCACTCTCGTTCAACGAACAGAAAGATAAGTGTCCCAAGAAAGACAGACGCTTGAAGAACTACGAAAGTACCAATCAAAGTAACTTCCTATCGGTGAGTCAACTCGTCGATCATAATAAAGAAGTACCAGCACGGACAACCACGCGCAGAAACAGCGGAAACAGATCTTCTGGGAAGAAAGTCCAGCAGAAATCCAGTCAAAGAAAAGAGAACAAAGAAGTGTATCCACAAGCAAACAAAGCTGAAGGTAGTTCCGGCAAAGGAATGAAGCAGTTAGGGTACTCGAATAGTACCACCGATATATTTTGCGATTCTAGTCAGAAAAATCGTACCGTTAGTAAAAATAGTTATTCAGCGGAGGCTCTAATCGGTCACCAGATGCAAAACGACACCACGCAGAAGAAACAACAGAACTACAACAACAAAACCATTTCTGTTTCGTCGTTCTTACACGACAATATAATTCCCTATTTCCCGGTTGATCTACCACAGGATAATACCTACATCCAACAAAATCAAAACTACCAAACCTCGTCTTTCAGTCACAACTTCCAAAGTACGTTCCAGAACAACACGTACACAGCGAATAGTTTCATCCCCACTACTACCATCACGTCTACTTACAACTTCATGCACGAAGTGACTCACGACTACAGCGATTTGTTCCCTCCAATGAGCAAAGACAAGAATTGCAGTAAGAACATGAACAGGAACGTACGGGAGCAACAGTGTCCGACGACTCCCAAAAAATCGTCAAAACGGAAACACTCGAACGAACTACCGGGTTTCGATTTCGGGTTTCTGTCCATGCCGGGGTCCATCAATTCGCCGATTTTGCCCGACGATTTTCACACTCATACAGGGTTTTTGCAACCGCCCACCCCTCAGTTGTATCCTTGTAAAAATCCCTTCACGAAACCTAACGATTTGGCGTCCCTGGTACCGTTGCCTCCGGTTCCAGGGACGAGGAGCAGTATACAGCATCCTGAGATTTCCCCGATTAATAGTGCGGGTACTTCGTTGACTAACTTTAACCTGAGTACGATTTTCCCGGAGATTAATAATAAGGTGAGTGGGGAGAGACAGTGGGGGGGTGGTTAACTAAGAAGGTTTTAGGGCGGGTTGTCGGATCCGTACTCCGAAAACAAAGTAAAAGATAATCCGAGAAGTTACACCACTTCAGTTCAAGTAAGTTGTGGCTAGAGAAGGGATGAGTGTTGTGAGGGTTGTTTTAGGTGACCTTCAACGACAAACCGACGTTTAGTTTTAGTTATATTAATTGTACCACGTCTCAAAGCTACAGCAATCAGTGATATGTGTAAAGAGGGCGACCGAAAGTGTACCTGATTATTTAATTTAAATAAAAATCGTATACCTAGGTGTGTTTTTATTGATCCAACTTCACCTATCCCTTTGTTTCCGACCATGGACAAGCCACGTTTCGTATCTTGGTTACCGTACATAACATTGACGGGCTTGTCAGTTCCTCAAAATGAACCGACGAATTCACACCCGTTTGAAAGATTATTCTCTGGTTGGCGTCCCGCCGCCTCCTTCCAGGTACGTCCGGTCATACTATTTGTGGTACTACCCCCAAATTTCAGATTTACTTTAGAAGAATGGCACTTAAACACACAGTTGCGCTACCGAAATTGCTACGACCAACAAACTTTAGCGGATCGCGTTTTGGCCGAAAGCGACCGAGTAAGTAGCCGTTTTGTCCCCACAAACCTGTCACTTTTTTGTAGCTTCGGGACCAAATCGCTGAAATCACTCGCCTAAACCGGCGCGAGGCAGACCACAAACTCGACGAGAAACTCAAAGATATAGAATTTAATATCAGCGAAATCCAGAAGCAGCGAAAAGAGGTGTGTATTGAAATCGACAACCTGGAGACTTACGGTGAGCGAATTCTGGACGCTATGGAGAGTCTGAAGGAGCAAGCTATGAAGATTTGTCAAAAGTGTATTCTTCTGCGCGACGGCCGCATCGGAATCGACTTGGTAAAATCAAACTTCACGTAAGTGGCGCAGTCGCTAGTAATTTGCTTCAGTGTCACGATGTAGTCGAACTCGAGCTGCGCAAAGAAATGGACGTGATTGAAGGCGCCCAAAAGCTTCTCAAACGAACGCTCGAGCAAGCCACCGAGCAAGTCCGACGTCTGCGCTCGACGATTTACTTCATGGATAGAGATTTAGAAGACAAACACAACGTGTTGAAAATCGACCAGTATAATCGTACTTTGCAAGAAACTAATCTCAACTTGAGCATCTACCACGGTTTTGCGCCACTCGATCCTTCGTAAGTGAGTCGTTGTGTGTGCAGTGACGTGAATTGTGGTTGTAGGAACGTCACGGCGGAGGAGTGGCAAGAGTTTACGACGGCCAATATCGAACGAGCTGCCAAAGAAATCAACAGTGCGCGACAGTTGAGGTCGTACGTTGATACTTTACTTAAGCAAGTGATTGAGGATTTGACTGATCAGTGGCATAAGGTGAACGAAGCGTACCGACAGAGAATTGAGGAAGTGAAGGAGGCGAAGACTAAGCTAGAGACGCAGCACTTTGAGGTTTGATTCGGTGGGTTTGTGTGTTAGGTATAATTTGTCTTGTAGATTGTGCGACAGGCGAATGAGATGACGCGCAATATAACTAGACTGGAGAAGGCTATTGCGGAAAAGGAGGGTTTTATGGCTTTAGCACACACTCGATTGGGTAACAGAGCGCAACGACCGGGGATCGAACTGTGTAAAGACCTGGTGGAAGTGTCCCTCGTTAACGAAGTAGGCGAACTCAGACTGAATGTAGCGCAATTGCAACACATGCTGGCTGAAGTAAGTAACTTTGGGTTTTGATTTTCGTTTCAATGTGGCTTCCAGGCTCAAGCGTCTCTCAGATACTTACTCAAAACCCAGATTCAACTAGAAGAGGATATCAACGTAAAAACCAACACGCTAAAAATTGACGAAGTCGACTGCATGACTTTACGACAAGGAATGGATTATCATGCGTACTAATAAATCAATTTGGGTTTAAATTTTTATTTAGGGCCACTCAGCTACACTACATTAACATGTCACACTGTACACAGCCTAAATAAGTTAAATTTAATTCCTATCGGAATGATTTTCGTTAACATGTATTAAGTACAATACGACGTTAGTTCCTTGCGGCGCTACCAACTTAAAAAAATAAAAAAACTTAAATAAATTAAAAAAATGCAAGGAAAAAATCCCCGTTTAGGCAGAATGCGGCTGATTATCAGATCTTCCACTTCCGTTTTTGTTTTCCTTTTCTGGTTTGCTGAGATCAGTAAGCTTGTTCATTTTGTTGGGTCTGCGCTGGTTCAACAAAGACGGCGTCCAACTGAACCCATTCGAGGACGACGGTTGCACGCTCCCGTCGACGTTCTCTCCCAAAGGAGGCGGCGTGGATGCTTGTAATAACGCAGAGTACTTCGGCATCTGCACCGAACTCTTTAGTCGTTTTTCTTTAGTGGATTCTTTCTTACGGTGTTGATCGTGCTCAGGGTAGCAGTTAATCGACCGCAAAAAAGACTCCAGTGGTCCCATTACCGACTCTTTCGTGTTTAGTGGAACGGTTTCTGTCCACGTCGGGTTAGTCACTTCGGAGTTAGTTGTACCTTTGAAGCGCTTGCGCAGCTTTCTCCTATTGGCTATGTCAGGTACGGTGGGGGACGGCAGTTCTACCAACGGTGAAATGAGATTGTTTCGGACGAGGTATGCGTACTTACCGTCGCTTTTAATGGATAGATTTTCCAAGAGCGCTATGTCTAGGCTAACTGGGGGCAAGTCGCTTTGCGAGCGGTTTGTAGACGGCGCTGATGCTGCAAATTAAAATTAGACAAAGTAAACTACGATTGAGTACCTACTTGACGGGGTTGCCTGCGGCGAGTTCTCGATTCGGTCGAATAGTTGCAATAGCATGAGTTTGTCTTCGAACGAGTTAGTTTCGGTGGGCGACAACGCCGTGGCGCCTGCAGCTGCAGGACTCGAATCGCGCATCATTAAGCGCTGCGTCATGGAAAATTCGGCGTATTCGACGTCATTTTCGCCTATAAAAATACATCGAAACACATAAACCACGAGTAAATTTTTAATGGACGTAATACAACAAGTACAAGGATTTGGTTTTAAGGAGTTGCCGGAAGGGATGAATTACCGTCTTTTTCGGCTGCTTCGTTAGTAGGACTGTTAGTATTTTGTGAGTAAAGCGCATGTCCGTCACCATTACCTTTAAAGGTCACAATTACGCAAGGAACACATGGGATTTCATGGTTACCTGACATGGTTTCGTCATCCACGTCATTCTCGTCGTTGGAATTATCCCCTGTACTGATCAGGTTCGTTTCGGCCGGCTCGAACTCCTCCATCATGTTCTCGGGTTCGCTCAAATCCTACACTAGCGTTAAACAGAGATAGAGCGAAACGGAGTTACTTACACTCTCGCTGCTGCTGCTACACAAAGCGAAGGAAACGTTGGAATTCAGGAGGTTAGGCGAACTGAGCGATACCCCTAGTCCTAATAGGTGTCTTGGTGATTCCACTAAACCGTCGCCGGGTTGCCTTCCGGACTCCTTTTGCTTCTTAGTTACGACCTGCGGCTGCAGAGACGTCGCCGACGAAGAACTGCTGGCGTTGTTGGGGCAATCGTCACCGTTGCCCGCACCACCAGCACCTTGTTTACTACAATCATTCCTTTAAAACACACCAGTACCGCCAACTGATGCATACCTATTAGCACTGCTCATCAAATTCTTCGCCAAGGTAGTAATATCAGTGGGGAACGTCTTCTCCGGAACGTTACTCTTAGAAGTGGACGCCACCGGCTGCGAATCCCCCGTTTCAGTGGCCACCACCGGCGTCATATTGTACATACTTTTCACAATCCCGATGGTGGCGATGTCCGGGATTTGTGTGGCCGCCCCCAGCGTCGCCGCCACCGCGTTTCTGGAAATTTCAGCGGCGAGCCGCTCCTTCGATTCGTTAATCTGAGAAATATACTGGTTCTGGACGGTCTGTAGTTGGTTGATGTACCACTGCTGGTCGCGACACCTCTGGTAAAACGTAGGAGCGCGCACCTGGAATCTACACACCAAAATTTCGTAAACGCCATTGGTTTAAGCTTGACTCAATATGACTCACCGCAACACGAGGGTATCTAGTGCCACATTTAAATAACCCTCGCTCGCCAGCAAATCCAATCGGAAGAACCGATTGTACCCCCAGCATTCCCCCACCTCGAAGTCCGACGCGAACTCCCGCACGATGTTCTTCGAGGAGTCCCGACTGGCCTGGTGTATCATTTCAACCCGATATTCATACCTGCAAACTTTAAATCAACCACCATCCCCACAACACCCCGACTTACTTGGACGTTTCCGGGTATCCCGCGCTCAGCTCCAGGAACACCGACAAGTAGTTCCCCCGAACCACTCCGTTTCCGTCCGGGTACACCTTCAACCTCCAGCACAACCCGTTGCAGTGCAGTGGCGTCGAGTACACCGGGTCTGCCTTCCGCTGCAGCTGCGAGAAGCAATGCATCACGAACGTGCTGCTATCATAGGCCGGTACGATCTCGCTGTGGAAGTCCGCCGGCACTGGCGCCGTCACGAAGCTCGTCATCGGTTTCTTCCGAATCGCGTGGATCATCCGCGAGAGCTCGCCGCTCTTGGCGATCATCTCCGAGCGGGTGCAGGTGTGCAGCTGGTGCTCGATCTCGTGCAGCAGGTGCTCGAGCTGCTCGGTCTCCTGCGTGAGCGAGTCCTTCTGACCCATGAGGGTGAGCAGTTTGGTCTTGAGCTGGGAGTCGAGGCGGGCGATCATGAGCTCGACGGCGTTGCGGATCTCGCGGACGCGCTCGTCCTTGGCCGAGCGGACGGACTCGACGTTGCGCTCCTGAGGAGGACACAGTGAGAAGGGGTGGGTTTGGAATGGGGGCACGTACGACTTCTTGTACAATACTGATGAGCTCCATGAGGCGCCGCCGCAGCTGGGTCACTTCGTCCTTGATCTGGGTCACGTGCTGCTCGTAGACTTCGTCGAGGGGCTTGAAGGTGTGGCCGGAGTGAGTGCCGCCCCAGAGGGCGCACTGGTGGCAGATGCAGCAGCGGCAGGTCCAGCAGTACACGGACAGCTTCTCCGAGTGGGTCGAGCACCTGGCGGAACGTCATTTCCACACATGTTATTTATTATCCCCGCAACACCGAAACGATATCTACTTTTTGTGCCTTTTATTTTTCTGTAAGTTTTTATTGCTATGTTATAAAAAAATCAACACAAGCAATTCTATGTAAAAACGCTGCTGTAAGTGGTTTTTCTGTAAAGCTTGGGTTACTTTGGGGTTCCTTACTTGTCTCTGTCGTTGTCATCCCCTCGGCTGCTGTTCAGGTTAACGGCTTGCAGGGTGTCCAGCTGCTGCGTCACCTCCTCTACCCACCGACAATTCACCAATTCGTGTAAATGCAGCGAGGCGCGGCAATGGGGGCACTGCGACCGCTGCTCAGTGAGCCACCTTCGGATGCAAACGTAGCAGCACAGCTTGGAGCAGTGCGGACACAAGTGGGCATCTCGCAGTTTCTCCATGCAGATAAAGCATCGAAAAACTTCAGCCAGAGTCTGGAAAAAGAGACAAGAACGTGAGGGGGTTTCTCGCGCTTCTTACTGATTCCGAGCCATTGCTGAAACAATCCATCTTAACGGGAACTACCGATTTTGACTGGACCTTGACGGTTCGAATTTCGTTGGGTTTGACAAAGACAGGGACCTAGGAAACCACGGTTTTTCGAAAATACTAACCTCGACGCTTTGGTCGTCATGTTTGCTTCCTGATTTGTTCCTAGTGGCCATTTTGAGTGCGGAATTTCGGGAATTCCGGAAACGTCGAGGGGGCCCGTGCGAGTCGCGCAGCCACTACGAGACTACGACGGTGTTCCCATTAAACATTCCACAATTCAAAATGCAGCGAACAAAGGAAAATACAGTTAGAAAATCGTGCGGGGGCAATCAACTGGTTTTTGACAGATGTCAGCGTGGGAAGTGGTTACGGTCACCGACTCGGGATCGACCACTGCCATATACGTCCAACGCAAAAAAAAAAAAATCAAACGGGATTTAACCACTTTATTAAAGTAAAATTAAAATTATTATTAACATAAGTTTACTGTATTTCTAATAAACATTGCAAGACAACATAATTACTTTTTACGCGTTTTACTTGTATTTTATTCTAATCCATACAATTTCAAAGTTCTATCCATGGAAGTGGACGCTATGAATCGTGCGTGTTTGCCAAATCTGACCCCTGTCGCGGTGGCCGTGTGGTCCATGAACACCCTCAGTTCATCCCATTGATAACAAAGATAAACTCTGCAACAAAACAAAATTAAACCAAATTTCCAACCAAATTTTAAAGTAGTTCATTCCACTCACCGTACGTCCGTTCCCGCCACGGCGAGGTACGTCCCGCTCTGATCAAAGCACAAATCCTTAATCTGATAATCCTCATCCAACTGCAACGTCTTAAAGTTCCTCAGCTTCCTCAAATCCCACAACTTCACGCACGCGTCGTCCGCCGCAGTTGCCAAGTAGTACCCATTTTCTGAAAACGAAATCGACGTAATAGCCCCCGAGTGTCCCGTGAAGTTCGCAACGTCCCTCTGCTCCTCCAAATCCCAGATTTTCACGTGCGAATTCGCAGTCCCGGTCCCGAAAATCAGCCCGTCGGGATGCAACTGGGCAGTCGTCAGTGGTACACCCGTCTGATCGGCAACTTTCGTCAACAGTCGACCCGATCGGATATCCGAGAACGCCCAATGGTGATCCTCTGAAGTCGATAGAACATAATCTCCGGTCGGATGGAGTGACAATCCGGTAATAGGACCTTCGTGAGCACGTAAAAGTAGAGTAGTTTGGGACGTCGGAACATTCCATACGCGAATTGTAGAATCGGGTGAGGCGGTGATAACAAGATCTTCGTCAGGATGATAAATAACCTTAGTAACTTTCTTTGTATGGCCTTTAAGAATGGCGACAACTTGTTCAGTGTCTTTATTGAAGACGGTAGCGTTTCGGTCATTGCCGCCCGTGAGAATCTTGCTGGTGTCGGACTTGTGGACGTCGAGGGCGAGAATTCCGGGCACACTGGCGGAATGCAAACCCTAAACAAGCACAAACAAGTCAAGTTTGACAAGTTTTCGTTATTTAATACTTACTGGATGTGATGCTAATGTCTTGAATGCTTGTATCTGCTCCTGCACAGTCAGCTCTTCTGGAACCGTCTCTCCTCTCTTCTTCCTCTCCTGTGTCAGTTTCCTTTCTTGTGTCAACACTGTAGCCTTTTCCTTCAATATTTGTATCACTTCTTCTGTCAATCCATCTTGTTCTGTCGGTTGGTTGGCAACGCCGCCGGCTTCCGCAGCCACCGCCGGTTGCGGCACGGTCGTGATACCAGCTTGAGGTTTCAAAGTGGCTAGCGCTTCTCTCGCGGCCGTCACTTCTTTATTAAGACGAGCGATAACTCGGCAAGCGGCGTCATGTTGGTATAGAGCGTGGCTGAGTTCTTGTCGAGCTGTCTGCAGCTGCTGTCGCTGAGTGAAACTGTACAACATGACGGCGTCCCATTCATCTTGGAGCAGTTTTAGAGTGGCTGGAATACTTGTCGCACTGGGGGGTTTGGGCTTGACGATTGGTGGTGCTGCGGAATTGGCGTTGACATTGGTGTAGATTGAGGTTATGTACTTACTTTTTATTTCGATTAGTTTCTCGACTGAAAGTTCTTCACCGCTGATGGGGTCCTTTCCGTGTTCTTGGATGTACTTTTCGATCATCCGCTTCTCGAAAATCGCCCCCGAAGAAGGGGAAACGACGGGATGTTCTGGCACCTCGTTTGACACTAAAAGCCGGCAAAACGAATTGTGTGAATGGAACGAAATGAATGAAGTTTGTGTTGTGGTTAAATTTTGGACTGATAAATTGTGTGCGACTGATACAGTAATTGAATTATGTATTCGTATAAATAAAATACTTACGGGCACAACACAACGCCATTTTCGTTGACCATTCGGCAGTCAAACGAACGCTAGTGACTTATACTACCAACGTAAAGTGACAATGCAAAAGTCACTGTCGCCACTAGTAAATTCGTGCACATAAATTGGTATCACTGAATAAAATCACAACTATTAATTAATAAAAAATCATCCTTTATTTTTCTTTTTTGCAACAAACTGCTCCACATGATGTTTTGCCACTTTATACAAAATAGAATGTTGCCTAACACTATTATTTACAATAGCCCTTCTATAACATTTCAGTAACGACAAATCGTCTTCTTCTGGTTCCAAAAACCCTTCCAAAGGACACACACTTTGCTCCACAGTCACATTAAACATCTCTACAACCCCTAAATACTCAGACCATAGCGTTTTTCGCCACTTTAGCGAGTGTCGCTGAGCCAGCGGCACCAAAACAAAGTTACCAAACAAAACATCTCCATAACTAACCCCTTGGTACTGTTCCAACAACTGCGTATAAAAATCTTGGAAACTGGTTAATCCTGCAAGACCATTTTGACAAATCAAACTTCAATTTTCACCCCCTTACCTTGTATTTCCTTATTAAAATTTATTTCTTTTTCAGACTTCATGATATTGTTTAGACACAACTGAAGCAAATTGTGGATTTCGTCAATTAGGAATAGGTTGTCACTCCCGAGGAATGTGCAGGCGATGCGGCAAAAACGATCAGTCGGATTTATAGCACAAGCCAACTCCGAAAAATACGTTTCATAGATTAAAATCCAACGTAAACAATTCCGGATGATGAAAACTTGCTCCTGTTCGGTCGGGTTTTGCTTATTTTGTTGTTGGTTGGAGTAGAGAACGATGATTGGAGTGTAAATCCAGTCAATAGGGATCACGTTTCCTTGATTACAGTCTAACGATAAATTCGTGGTGAAGGTTGGTACGTCCTACAAACTTTTATTTCTTTTAGGTTGTAACACTGGGTATATACTTACAATTTTTAAACCCAAGACGCGTGTATACACTTCTAAAATATCATTCAAATTTTCGAGTGATGTAGCTATAGAGTCACTCCTTTGTTCTAGGCTCAAATTTCGCATGAAAACATCACTAGGATAAAACTCTGGACTCAAAACTATATTTTTGAGAACATATTCAATGTTTGTTTTTTGTTCGGTTGTAAATATACTCAAACATTTAATTCCCACTTCATAGAAAGGTCGAGTATCCAGACTATTTTTGACAACTATGGAACACTTCAAAATGTTCATAATTAAGTTACTTTCAACCCTAGTAAACCAGTGGCTTGTGAGATAATACTTATGCAAGTGTCTCATCTCGCTTAAGTAATTTCCAATATTGTTGTCACTCAGAAATGCTAATTTTAAGTCATTGTCAGAACACGCCTCAACGAAATTAGATAAAGCACTCAGAAAAGGTAGCGGACTGTTTGACTGTATTAAGGGCACCACGTGTTCAGACGTGTACCAAGCAGCCGCCTCTAGACTCTTCAAATTGGGGCTAGTTTTATGTGGTTCATAATTATTCAGCAACATTGAACCATTTCTAAAAATTAAGTCAATAATAAATCAAATTATTGTAGCAAATGATTTACGTACGTTATAGTTTTAGTCACAGTTTTAAAACCCTGCGATTTTAAAACTTCACAAATTATTGTAGCGACATCTGCTGGAAGTTCGGTCGCTTTACTTAACATCGCTAGACAGTAAAACATAGAAGCTATTATTTGGAGTTTGCCACACTACAATCAAATATGTAAACACTTCAACTAATTTAGTTCAAACTTACTGTAAATTCGTTCAAAGTCATGAACTGTTTGAACCACTTGGTCATACAAGAGTGCAGTGTGCTTAAAAATGGCGACACTAATGTCACTCGTTTGCAGCAACCACCAATCAAAATTAGAAGTGCGGACACGTGACCCTGTCGGACGTAGGTTGTAGACATGTCAAAGTTGGTATTTTTTAAATGATAATTTAATAGTTCGATTAAAACTGGCTGCAGAACTCTAAAAATCGTGGAATAAACGATATTTCTATGTATATTATGTGAAACTCACTCAATATGTTCCATTGCCAACCCATAGTGAACAAAAACTGACCACAAATGCATACTTTCAGTTTGTAGTTTGAGTCCGTTGGTGTTCATGGAGTATTGATTTGTGGATAAATAGGATAAAATGGCGTCCATGACCCGGTACTTCCCCACTAAGTCGCTTGCGATTGTTTGGCTGCGACTAGCCAAAACCCGCAGAAGTTTCAAAGCCTGAATAAGCGGTAAACCATAGGGAGAGGATGGGTCAGAACTGCTACTTTGTGTGTTTGGGACAAAATTACTAACAATACTCGAAATAAGATTTTCACACTTGTAAAGTCTGGTGAAAATGAACTGAGAATCTCGAGACAAACGAATCAAAATATCCATGCAATAAACAATAGTTTCAAGACTGGGACGCACTGTATTTATGACGTATCTTAAAAAAAAAAAAACAAAATTATTTTTAATAATTGTTAATGCAAATAGGTACCGTATTCTGGCCAAAATTTCCGTTCTTGCTAAACATTTAACTAAATTCGTTTCTGCCAGTTGTTGGTCGTTGACTCTATCATCATCTTCCGGGTCATTATCAACCGCTAAAATCGGCTGAATTCGACCTAATCCAAATCCTAGAAGACAATCAAGACAGGTTTCGTCCACTTTGCTAGAAAACAAATTCCTCATAGCTTTTATAGCCGCGTTGAGGACCGCTGGAGTATTATCATCTAGGCAAAATCGCAAAACGAAAAAAATTTGTTCAATGGGTAACTCAATTACGTCATCATACACTCCCGTGGATTGTAATTCCAAAATGTTGGCAATCGTGTTTAAGGCGACTATTTTTTGTTGAATGACATTTGACCTGCAAGATGTATTTCAATAATTGACTCACTATGGAATTAAAGTGGAATTTATAAATTTGCTGTTGACATTGAAGTAACTTTTACGTGGTTGTAGAAGAAAAGTGGAGGATTTAAGTTGATTACTCTAAAAATTTTCCATTTTAGCCATGTTTTAACTTTCTTGTTGTCGAAATAAGTCTACACATATTCAGAAAAAAAGGGCAAAATGTAGCCCCGCCCACCCACTCTATCTCAATTGTGATTATTTTTTTTATTCATCGTGAGTCAAGAGGGCGGAGCTTAACTGCAAAATCCTTATTTCTCAACGAGAAATTAAAAACATGTTTTTGAGTATCGTGTTGTTCCAAGAATGCTATGTACATTAAGCAAAAACATAAAGCCAAAGATTAGGCCCCCATTCGCGACCAGATCTCAATTCTCAATCGTGATTAATTTTTCATTCGTTGTTAAATCAAGAGACGGGGATTATTTGCAACATAATCTACAAGAATTTACCCTTTTAAACATGTTTTAAGTTTCTTGTTCTGAAAAGACAACTACGTATATTAAGAAAAAAGGCAAAATATAAGAAAATCCGTATTTCCTTACAAAAATTTACCGTTTTAAACGTGTTTCAAGTTTCTAAGAAAAAAAAATTCATCACAATTGAGATGGGGTGGGTGGGAGGGCTTACATTTGGTCTTTTTGTTTTAATATGTGCAGACATCTTTTCACAACTTGAAACTTAAAACATGTTTAAAAGGGAAAATAAGAACATAACGATTTTACAATTAGCCTCCGCCCCATAAATGCAAAATCCATATTTCCTTGCAAAAATGTACAATTTTAACCATGTTCTAAGTTTCTTATTGTGAAAAGATGGAGATGTATATTAAGAAAAAAAGACAAAATATAAGCCCCGCCCACCCGCCCTATCCTAATTCTGATGATTTTTTTATTCGTCGTAAGCCGAGAGGTGAGGCTTAATTGTAAAATCCTTATTTTTCTACGAGAAATTACCAAGTGAAATATCTTGTTAAGTAATCGTGTTATACAAAGAAAACTAAATGGATTAATTAGAAATGAAAACCAAAAGAGAAGCTCCACCCATCCGTTTCGATCTCATTCGTTGTCAGACCGAGAGGCGGAGCCTAATTGCAAAATCGATGTTTTCCTACAAAGATTTACCACTTTAAAGATGTTTTACCTCTCTTGTCGTGAAAAGATGACTACATATATTAAGAAAAAAGTGGCAAAAGTAGAACCCCGCTCACCCACCCTACTTCAATTGTGATGATTTTTTTTTATTCGTCGTGAGCCAAGAAGGCGGAGCTTGACTGCAAAATCCGTATTTCTCTACGAGAAATTAAAAGCATGTTTAATCGTTTTTTTAATCGTCGAGAGCCAAAGTAGCGGAATTTAATTACAGAATCCTTATTATTTCTCTACAAGAAATTACCACGTAAGACGTATTTTTGAGTATCGTGTTATTCAAAGAATACTATGTACTAAATTAAGAAAAAAATAAAGCCAAAGATTAAGCCCCACCCATACCTGCCCTGATCTAAATAGTAATGAAGTTTTCATTCGACAAAAGGCAAAATATAAGCCCCGCCCACCCGCCCTATCCTAATTCTGATGATTTTTTTATTCATCGTAAGCCGAGAGGTGGGGCTTAATTGTAAAATCCTTATTTTTCTACGAGAAATTGCCATGTGAAATATCTTGTTAAGTAATCGTGTTATACAAAGAAAACTAAATGGATTAATTAGAAATGAAAACCAAAAGAGAAGCTCCACCCATCCGTCTCGATCTCATTCATTGTCAGACCCAGGGGTGGAGTCTAATTGCAAATTTATTATTATATTGCTTATTTCTTTACAAGAAAGACTATTCATATGTATTAAGAAAAAAGGGCAAACTATAAGCCCTACTAGTTGGCGTAATATTAGTGGACCTCATTGTCTCTATAAAAATTTAATTTTCGTGGATTTAGTCCTGTCAACTAGAAAAATGTCCCCCTTACTTCAGGGGATTTTCCTTCAAGTTGTCACACTACCTCAATTTGATTGGCTGAAAATGTAACGTCAACGGCAACGTAACGGCGAACAGCAACGTCAACGGCGAATAGCAATGTCAACGGCGAACAGCAACGTCAACGGCGAACAGCAATGTCAACGGCGAACAGCAACGTCAACGCCAAGTTTATAAATCGCCCTTAACACATACCTTGACAACTGAAACAACTCCTGCAAAGTATAGCCAGGTCTACCAGCCTCATCACCATGATGATACAAAACCCTAGATTTCTCAGTGATTTCCTGTTCACTGTATGGCAACAACCACCCTTCAAAATCAAATCTACAACCATTAAAAGTAACAACCCCCAATTTAAATATCTACCTGGCCTCATAACTTCTACTTTTTTCAATTTTCGGTACCTCCACCCCCTTCATCCACGCCAACTTACTACTTTCAAAGACTTTAAAATTGAGCCATTTTTCCGCGTCTGGATTTTTCAAAATTTCGGTAGTTGTGTCAATATCCTCAACTTCCATATTGCGCGCAGCTGCGTTTTGCTCCTCAATCGTTGGATTTCTATTATCCTTTACTGCAGCTTCCACTTTCTGGCGACGATTTTTCAAAAACGCGATAATCGCCGGATCCATTGTCTCCATCAAGCGTTGTCTCTCCTCTAAAATCTCTTTCTCTGACATTTCTTTCATTTTTTTAATATTTTCTTCGTGAATGTCGTTTCTTTCGCTTCCTGTTACAACAAAACTTTGACTTGGCAGTCTTTCTTCAGAAATTTTCACATCTTCACTTTTTTTCACGCGCTTAAATTGCTTGGCAAAAATACTCCCACTGCCTTGTGCACTGTCTACACCAGCGTCTCTACGCTTAGGTGCCGGAAAACCGCGGTTTGTGTTAAAGTTCAAGCGCGGTAAAGTGTGAGTTTGGGGGGTTTTCTCGATAATACTCCCCAGGTTGCTGTGGTCAGGAATTGCTTCGAAAGTGTTAGCCAGCTGGTCTTGAATATCATTGGGGTCACTACTAGACTGAGGTTTTTCATCTGAAAAGAGCCACTTAGGTGTAACAATCTGAAAAATACAATAAACAAACCTAACCTTGCTTTTCACTGACTACAGTCGCAGCCAACTTGACTTTGTTTTCGGAGTGTTGACGAGCAAATTCTTCTTGAAGACGAAGAAGATCTTCGTCGGTTTCACGGGGGGTTGGTCTAGAATACATTTTCACTTTTGTTTTTAACTTAAATTTAATAATTAATCGGTGTTTGAATCATCTACCCATTGCATCTCACTAAACAACAGTGATTTATTTTTTGTTGGGTTGGCAAAAAAATTTCTTAAAAGCATTCCAGAAAAAATAACTTTGAGTTTGAGGCTTTAATCACTGGCTTTAACTGCAACATTTCTTTGAAGTTTGAACCGTCATACTAATAGCATTGCATTATTACAACAATTATTTAATTAATTGTGCGGCTGAAATTTCAGTTGCCCCCCCTGCTCACTTGTCAAAGTTGCGGTAAATTAAAGTTGAATTTTGTCAGTGTTAAATTTGAGAGAAAAGGAAAAATTCCGCCAGTAACAATGAATCGCGATTGCATACTCAGTGAGGGTGTTCTCGAGGTGCCCTTACCCCTCATTTAAACGGGTTTCTACTTTTCTTTAATTTCCAGAAAATTATGAATGGTGCCACCATTCCATACCCTGTACTTCAAGTTTTGGGAAGCAAAAAAATGGTTTCTAACAACATTAAGGATAGTGAACGCCTGAGACTCCTGCTTTCTGATGGAAAATATAAAATAAACGTGGCAATGTTTACTGTTCCTGCGAACAATCAAGATGCGCTGGAACTGTACTCGGTCATCAAACTAATCCGCTATTTTTCCAACGTCATTAGGAGTAAAGACAAGCGTGACATGTATTATCGCTTTCGCTGTTATTCCATTTTTAACTATTGTTTACAGGCGCGTGTTAATTATTTTGGAACTTGAGCTGATTTATGAAGGACGCACTGTAGGGCGCACTATTGGAGATCCAACCACATTAACTGACAATGAGTTTCCAACTTCTCAAAGTTCAGACAGTTCAAATTTTGCCGGCTCTTCAATCACTCTATACCGCCGCAAAAATGAGAATGGGGACTTATTTGGGGACACGAAAACAATCAGCCCCATTGCTAGTCTCAATCCGTTTCACAACAACTGGATTATTAAAGCGAGAGTTATCAATAAAACTTCCATTCGTCACTGGTGTAACTCCAGAGGTGAAGGAAAATTGTTTAGTTGTGATTTGGTCGACAGAAGCGGTGAAATCAGATGTACAGCGTTCAAAGAACTGGCAGATAAATTCTATGAGTGTTTAAACGTAAAGACGGATTTAGTTATTTTCGTTTGTTTAACATTGTAGACTTGTAGGTTGATAAAGTTTATTATATTAGTAGGTGTCTTTTGCAACCAATCAATCGCCAGTTTTGTAACTTAAAACACGACTTTGAGATGACCACGACCCCCGAGACGCAAGTCGAGGAGTGCTTGGACGACGATCTCTTGATACCCAAAGTCAACTATAATTTTACTACGCTTGATAAAGTTGCTGCGATGGTCGGCGGAACTATCGTCGGTATGAATTTTTAATTTAAGTTGAACAAAACTGTGATTAACGCAATTTTAGATGTAATTGCGGTTTGTAAGTCTGTCTCTGAACTTCAAACCTTTACGTCTAAATCCACCAATCGTGACTTGAAGAAAAAAGAAGTTTTGTTGGTTGACCAATCAAAAACAGGGGTGGGTATTGAGGTCGCTTTGCTCGTTTGTATGTGTTTTTATTGTTTTAGATTTGTTTGACTTTATGGGGGATGAATGCTGAGTCTTTTAATCACTCTGATCAGCCGGTCGTTTCTCTCAAAAATGCTAAAATTTGCGAATTTCGCGGAAACAAAACAATAACTCCGGTTATGGGTAGTCTGCTTAAAGTTAACCCAGATATTCCAGACGCGTATAAATTGAGAAAATGGTTCGATTTAGATGGAAATCAAATCGAATTTAACAACGTCAGCGCTAAGTATTGTATGAAATTAATTTCTCTGCAGCTGCATTTTTCTTATTATTAATAGAACAACCATTGGTAACGTTCCATGGATGACTTTCAAAGAAGCCCAACGTTATAGTCAAGACCACGGCGATCAAGGATTCTATTTCCAGACTTACGCCACAATTCTTCTAATCCGTGTAGACAGAGCTGTCTACAAATCCTGTCCAACCCCAGAATGCCAGAAAAAAGTCATAGATCTAGAAAACGGGATGTTCCGTTGCGAAAAATGCAACAGAGAGTATCCAGAATTTAAATACAGATTCTTGGTTTCGGTAGGTTTATATTCCGCATTGTTGCTTAATTTCTCGCCAGATGAACGTTTCCGATATGAGCGGCAGCCAATGGGTGACGCTGTTTTCCGCGGAAGCCGAAAAAATTCTCGCAAAAACCGCCCAAGAGATAGGTGAGGCCATGGAGCACGACCAGGAAAGCGTAGGCAAACTTTTCGACGAAGTGCAATTCAAACAATTCCTGTTTAAAATAAGAGCCAAAATGGAGTCCTACAACGTAAGATTTTCGCCTAATTAACAATCAACTAGTTTAAGATTTCAGGACGAGCAGAAGCTAAGAATGATCGTTGTTAGCACCTCCCCGATAACTTTCGAGGACCACAACGCCTATTTAATCAAGAAAATCGAAGAATTACGTGGATGATTTGTCAAAATTTAAATAAATTAGAGTTCTGTTCGTTTTTCAAACCATTTTTTATTGACAGATATTAATGCGCATGCGTGCCAATCAAATCTTGCGCTTTTGCACGTTTCAGTTGGCAACCCGTTATATTGTGGCGGTCAAACGGTCAAATTTGTTTTCAAACGTACCTCATAACGGTCGGGTGGAGGTTTTTCATCATTTTAACCCATCTAACTCCTGTGATAACCAGTAATGTCCACAAACTAACTCACCATGGATTTAAAAAACAAAACCCCATCCAAATCAAAAACTAACATCATGAACAAAGTGCTTACTAACCCCAAGAACTGTGATAGCCCCTTCAGATATCTCCCCCATATTTCAACCCCTCCATCGCGCTTTTCCAAGATTCTCAACCCATTCGAACAACACTTAATCGATCGCTTACACCTCCCGACATTCAGGTAAGTACATTTTTCGTTTGAAACAATCGTAATATTGACCCCTGCAGCCCCAGCGTTTTCGCCCAAGTATCCACCCCCAAAACCGACGAAAAATTCAAATGGACAATCGACGACATCTCCAGCCTCAAACCCGCAGATATTGACGAAGAAACGATTTCGCAACACGTATCAGACCACGACCCTACGATAGAATCGATGGTTCAGGAAAAAATTGACAAGTTTTTTAACGAAAAGGCGATAGTCCCGAGCCCCTTTAACGAGCAAGTTAAGCAGGTGCCCTTAATTGCTAGCCCCCTGGTGACGGCGAAGCCGCAGTGTTCGGATAGTAGTGCGCAAACGATTTTAACCCTCCCGCCCACCCTTCCTAAGCACGTGGAAGAAATTCTAGCCCCTTATTTCTCGTACACGGTTGATCAACAAGCAGGCGATGATCAAAACACGTCGCTTTATAGGAAATTATTTGACTCGGAGGAACACGGCAGCCCCATTTCCAGTCCCGCTCCATCCATTGGTCTTTCACCGCTGCAGTTTTCGCCTGAATTCAACCAGAACAAATTGGATAGTACTTTGGAGATGCCGGAATTGAGAGACTGCGCCCTCTCTCCTATAGGTCACTCGCCGTTGGCACGGTCAGTTTGTAGACTGAGTTTTTCAGGACGCATGTCAGTGGACGCGAGTATGGTGGTTCCTGATGTTAATAAGAGTCTTAATTGTACGAATTTGGAGGGGCAGGTGTCGTTTCAACCTCTGGAGGAACCCCCAAGTGATTCTTCTGTTAACTGGGATGTGGAATATAAACATGTTTCTATTTTGTCGAAGTCGCCTTTAAGTAGCCCTGAAATGGCCACGGATTCAACAACCCCTCACTCGAAAATCTTCACTAGTCAGAGGAAAAGACTGTCAGATAGTTTTAAGGACGAAGATAGAGACGTAGAGATGGAAGATGAAGAAATTGTTCCTAAACGTGTGAAAAATAGACTGGAACATGATGACGTCACTGATGTTGGGTACCATACAGGTGGCGCCACCATATGTGAGAGTTCTGTACATATGTTTGCATCAACTCCCACTAAAATCAAGTAATTACTTTTAATAGTATTAACTGACTTATTACTGCCAAGTCTAAACTTTGTTTTTATACAGACTAAAAATGCTTTTATTGGTTAAGTTCGCGTGGTTTGTAATTTTAAGACAGTGGAAAGTTGATAGTGATTATTGTTTTATGTGCAATCACTCAGTAAATTTTATTAAAAGTAGTAGGGACTTTTATATTTCACCAACTCCTCTGGATCCTAGTGTTTTTTTTGGGTATTTTCAAAACGAAAAATAACAAACTAAATACTCAGTTCATTAATAATAAAGTCTGACATATCTTACAAAATAAAGCAACAATTAAATATATACTCTATGTATAAATTATTCTTCACCTAAAACCGCTTAGTTATGTCTGCGTCTTGGGGGGCCCTGGCGGCGCTTCGCTGACATTGATAACAGTTTGATCGTTTTGCGTCTGTGCGGCCGCACTCGTCGACGGGCCGTGCATAAAATTCGGAGGCATCAAAATCTTTGGGTTGTTTTTGGGTAAAAGGGGCTGCTTGTCGGCGTGAGATTTCGATAGGCGTTCGCTGAGCGCTTTCAGCGCGATTTGTCTACAAAACAACGATAAATCGGGGGCGACTAACCAGGTCTACCAACCTTCTCCTCTCCATGTCGTGGTGGTCAGCCCCTGGCACCGCCACTGTGATTCCCGTGGGATTGGACATGTCAAACCGGCGCACGACTTTCTTGCACAAGCCGATTTTGACGAGGACGCTGTGTATGCTATTGCTGGCCACCGATATGGGGGGTTGTACCACGTTGGGGAAGAAACTAAAATTCGTGAGTGGTTACACTGAAGTTTGAAAAAGTCACCAACCTTGCGAAAGTGAAATAGTCAGCCATGTCTCCTCTCGAGCCGTTGTTGTGTTTTTGATAAAACCTTAAATAGACCCAGCTGACGAATAACCCACTTAAGAACATGGTAGGGTAAGTACCATCCACTAACCCGATCGCCCACATAATCAACGAGAGAAAAAACACAGTCAAGGGTACGTTCCGGTTGCTTAGTTTCCCCAGCGGCGTTTTCACGATGACCAAGTCCGGCATTATTTGTTTCACAGCTACCGAAACCCCAGCGATATACCCGGCCAAACCATGGATGTGTACTGTGAATAAAAGGTCCGTGTTGAACGTGCACACGTATAAAATGAAATAATAGACTGTGGTTATGACGGCGACACCGAAGTTGACGATTGCGAAAAACGTCAACATCTCCATTTGCCCCCATAACGGTTCGATTAATTTGCCGCACAGTCCCACGGTTATAATGTCTACGAGCACTTCCCAGAAGTGGATTTCGAGAAAACAAAACGTGAACGCCGTCCACAGCCAAAACGAAGGTGGCATTAAGTAGCCTGGTGTCACTGATATCACTCGGATTGCTTCATCGGAGTACGATAAACCGTAGCTGAAGAGCATTACGCCACAGATGAATTTCACGGAGGTGCTCGTGTTGCCTAGTAAGGCACCGAACTGCTGCCGTAAATACGGCAAATTACGACCTAGGGCTCGAAACATAGACATCGTCAGAACATTGAGGTTATGTTGTGGTTGCGATGACAGGAGAGCAGGTGACAGCGACTGGCCAAAAATCCCTAAATTGGAGACGAATTCGAAGATCAGTTTCGTGCCCTAATTAACAATAATAACTCATTTTGGGTCTTTTTTGGATTTCTCGTTAATAATAGAAGACAAAACAGGCGAAAATGCAGCGGTTTCACTTGTCGCCATTTGTTTTCATGCAAGCTTTCACTATCACAACATAGATGGCAGCATTTTTTTTAAACAAACGCGTCACTAGTTAAATAAATTTGCACTACTTAATTAATTCAAATAATAACAATAATACATTTTCTTGAATATTTTTTAACAAGTCGCTCAGCTACTAAAAGGATTTTCAAAATGTCAACAGTGTCAACATAAATTTTCACTGCCTACTATTATAATTTATCCCAGACATATTAAGGTGGTTTTACCTCTAAAAACCCTCTTCAGATCTCTAATGTCTTTAAAATAACAATTGACACAAATCCGGCACGTAGAGGTGGCAAATTTTGACCCTGTCCCGCCTACCAGGGTTCTATGTTTTCCCTGCAGCTGCCTGGTGTAGTCGAACACCTCCTCACTCTCTTGTGATCCTGGTCATGGTGGGGCACAATAGTCTAGTTTCTGGTAAATCACGCCAAAGTGGGACGTTGCCACCTCCTCGACCATCTGTATTCCTGGTCGAAGATTGCTTTAAAGTCTATTCTATGGCAATTTTCTGACTGATATGCGACATTTTAAGTGGCGAAGATCTCTTGTCACCTTCTAAACTCCTGTTACCGTGCCACTTTGAAATGTTACCATTACCACACGGTTATGTTCGTGTTCACTTACGATCTATCTCTAAAAAATGAGCATGTCTCTATTTTTATCACTATATATTTATTATCTGAGTGTTTACCAACACAAGGCGCAGAGTCATTCTCCCGATTGCTTTATTTTCTAGACGATATTTATTGCGAAGCTGCGTTATATTTTTGCAGTTTTTCGTTGTTTAAGCTGAAGAAATGTTGATTTACGTGTTATTATTAACAGTGATTTTAATAGCTTTACTGAATGGCTATAATTTTTTTAAGAAATTTTACACAGATAGGAAACACGTGGAAGGGATTCATGGCCCTCCGGAGAAATTCTTTTTCGGACATATGTACATTCTAATGGCAGATAAAGGTGAGTGCTACTTTACACAAAATGTATATTGTGTTAATATTTTTTTTTTAGATGAAATGTTTACTAGAGCTCGGAAATTTGCCAAACTATATTATCCAATTTATCGTTTCTCGACCCTCTACGTCAACATTATCAACTTTCTGGAGCCCGACGACATCGAAGTGAGTACTTTTTTGTCATTGGGTTAATTTAGGCAATAAATGTGTTCACAGTTGATTTTGTCCTCCACCAAACACTTAACCAAAAGCAAAATTTATATGTTCTTGCACAACTGGCTAGGAACGGGTCTTTTGACAAGCACAGGTACCACTTTTTGAAACATTGTCAATATACTTGCTGCACCCACATTTCAGGAGCCAAGTGGCACAAAAGGCGCAAAATTCTAACACCCGCTTTCCACTTCAGTATTCTGCAACAATTCTTGAACATTTTTAACAACGAAACTGTTAAATTAGTCGAGAAACTCGACGACGAGTGTGGCAAGATCATCGACGTGGTACCACCCGTCACCAATTTTACTCTACAGTCAATCGCGGAGACGGCAATGGGTCTGAGTACCATCGACGATTCCACACGGAAAAAATACAAAGAGGCGATTTACGAAATCGGGCGGATTTTTCTAAGTAGGTTGGAAAAACCGTGGTACCGTATCAATGCCATCTACAACATGAGCAAATTAGCGAAAAAGGAAAGCTCCGTCATCAAGGTACTTCACGATTTTTCCAATAACATAATCGCGGAACGGGAAAAAGAAATCACGAGCATTTCCGACCACTTGAGTACTTATTCTAAGAAGAAACGACTGGCGATGTTGGATTTGTTGTTGTCGGCTAAGCATGACGGTGCGGATATCGATCATGAAGGAATACGCGAAGAGGTTGACACTTTCATGTTTGAGGTACTCCTTAGTCCTTAGACATAACCCAATGACAATCAATGTTTTAAGGGCCACGACACCACCTCCATGGGCATTTCGTTCCTACTTTTGGTACTCGCTAACCTCCAAGACGTTCAAGCTAACGTCTTAGACGAAATCCTGTCGGTACTCGGTCCAACCAAAGTACCCACTTACGACGACTTACAAGAACTAAAATACACGGAAAGGTGCATCAAAGAAACCCTGCGCCTGTTCCCCAGTGTTCCTTTGATTTCTAGGTACGCAGGTGAAGAGTTTGTTACCAAAACCGGCTACACAATCCCGAAGGACACAGTAATGCACATACACATCTTCGACGTCCATCGCAACGAGAAGATTTATCCTGATCCTTTGAAGTTCGATCCTGATCGGTTCCTGCCGGAGATCGCCAACGCGAGACATCCTTTCGCCTATATTCCTTTCAGTGCAGGCCCTCGGAACTGTATCGGACAAAGGTTCGCCCTAATGGAACTGAAAACTGTGCTTTGTGGGGTTTTGAGGAAGTTCAAGCTGGAGAAGGTTGATGACATGAATGACGTGGAGTTTAGACCAGACTTGGTACTTCGACCCATGAGAGATGTCAAAGTCAAAATTTTGCCCCGAAGCTTAGAGAATTCTTAAATTTGTTATAGTTTTTCAATAAAATAAATTCGGCTGTTTTATTATGTTACGTATTTGTTTTTTTCAAAGTTTGCTAATCATTATCGTTGTTGACAGCCTGGAAGGTTGCAAAATAACGATAAGTTTTTGTTTTGTCTGAAGGTAGTTCCAAACTCGTTAACCTTAAATAAGTGTGTACGAGGTAATTATTCGCTGCAATTAGGTGTTAAATGATAATGATTGATAGTACCGGTGGTACTACTACTTAAAACAGTGTTTTTCTAATAAAATAGCAAGATAATTCGTTTCTATTTTATTTTTGTGATTAATATCGTAGTACCTAATAAATATGTTTTTTTTTGCGTATTATTCTTTAAGTAGTACTTGTTCTAAAAAAGATCAATCCAAAGAAAGCCGGCTTTTTTGCAATGGACTTTCGACTTGATCGTTGGTCGGAAGCTATCAATTTAAAAAATTAGAATTCTGTTAAGTCACTTCAGCAACAACAATTTATTATTCTATTGGTGATAATAAAGTAATAACAAAACGCACCGACTTTTTGTTTTCGCGTTTCCCCGTTCTTTATGAGACAATACGTATGCAACAAAGCAAGCATACACAAATTCCTATTTTTATCAGTTGATAAATCACCTCGTTTCGGATTGGTCGTAATTACGTTCTCATTAATAATAATCAAACATACACGAGTGTACTCAGTCAGATAAAATATAAAAGTCAGAATTTGTGCGGTCATTAAAAAACCTGCTGCCGAGGCCTTGGTGGTACCAACGCAGTGCAATTATTTAATCTCATCTCCTGCGTCACAATGTTGACTTATCTGCTCATTGCTTCAATCGTGGTTATCGTCGCTTTAAGATTCGTACGATCTTATATAAAATTCTACAAAAATAAACGAGTACTTCAACGAGTACCTGCCCCTCCGGAACGGTTCTTTTTGGGGCATTTGAACGTCTTCACCAACAACCCTGGTAGGTATAAATTATTCATTAGCTCTATCTCACTAACATTTGCAGATGACATATTCGCCAGAATACGACTTTATTCGAAAAAGTACTACCCGATTTACCGGTTTTCCACTCCTTATATTACCATTGTTAACTGCCTCGAACCGAACGACATTGAAGTAAGTACCCAGAAATGCACTCTCCGTTTTTCTTTACCACAAGTTTTAGCTGGTACTATCGTCAACTAAACACTTATCAAAGAGCAAAATATACACGTTTTTGTGCAACTGGCTAGGAACCGGTCTTTTAACCAGCACAGGTACCACTCTCATTTACGTATAACCCAGTGCACGACTACGTTTTTTCAGGCTCGAAATGGCACAAAAGACGCAAAATTTTAACCCCGGCGTTCCACTTCACTATCCTCCAACAGTTCTTAAACATATTCAACGAAGAAACGTCCAAACTAGTCGAGAAACTTCAGGAGGAAAACGGGAAAATTATCGACGTGGTACCACCAATCACCAATTTTACGCTTCAGTCGATCGCGGAGACCGCGATGGGTCTTGACAATATAAACGAAAGTACCCAGAGGAATTACAAAGATGCCATTTACAAAATCGGGGCGATTTTTTTAAAACGTTTGTCTAAACCGTGGTACCGCATGGACGCCGTTTATAGTTGGAGCAAACTGGCGAAAGAGGAAAGTGCGATCGTTAAAGTACTGCACGATTTTTCGAATTATATCATAAAAGAGAGGGAGAAGGAGATGAGTAGTGAGTCTTATGTGGGTACTTATTCTAAAAAGAAACGACTGGCGATGTTGGATTTGTTGCTGTCGGCGAAAAACGACGGTGCGGATATCGACTACGAAGGAATTAGAGAGGAAGTGGACACTTTCATGTTCGAGGTACTACTACAACTACTAACTTGAAGTTACCTCATCATAATTATACTTGTTTAAGGGCCACGACACTACTTCCATGGCTATTTCGTTTCTTCTTCTCGTTCTGGCCAACCTTCAAGACATACAAGCCAAAGTCTTGGAGGAGATATTGTCAGTGGTGGGTCCAACGAAAGTACCAACCTACGACGACCTCCAGGAACTACGCTTCACCGAAAGGTGCATCAAGGAAACTTTACGCTTGTTCCCGTCGGTTCCTTTTATTTCTAGGTACGCCAGTGAGGACTTTACCACCAAAACCGGGTACGACATTCCCGAAGGTACCGTTGTACACATCCACATTTTTGATGTCCATCGCAACGAAACGCTTTATCCTGATCCTCTGAAGTTTGATCCGGATCGCTTCCTGCCGGAGAATGTCAACGCCAGGCATCCTTTCGCCTACATTCCTTTTAGCGCAGGACCTCGCAACTGCATCGGACAGAAGTTTGCTTTGTTGGAACTGAAAGCGGCGCTTTGTGGGATTTTGAGGAAGTTTAAGTTGGAGAAAGTTGATGATATGTTTGACGTGGAGTTCAGACCGGATTTGGTACTTCGGCCCAAGAAAGATATAAAAGTGAAAATTTCGACGCGGCTTTAAATTGAAATAATTGTAGTATTTTAAAAAATAATAGTTGTTTGAATGATGGTCGTTTTATTTTTTGCGTTTGTGGTGAGTCCAGTTATGTGACGAAAAGTTTTTATTTTAATCGTATATTGCGACAATTAATATACGAAGCCATTACGGGTAGTACTAGGTTGGTAGTTTCACAGTAAACACATATTCGTGCCAACATGTTTCTGATCTGGGTTGTATTTATCGTGGGGTTGGCGACCATCGCCATTAAAACTTTACTCTTCTTCAAAGAAAAACGTGAACGTAGAAAAATTCTAGAAAAAATACCGGCTCCCAAAGAACAATTTTTCTTTGGACATCTATACATCCACATGGGTGATCCAGGTAAGTTTTGCTTTGTGCGTATTTTAAAAGTGACGCTACTTTTTTCAAGACAACTTATTTAAAAGAATGCGCTATTTTGCCAGAAAGTACTACCCCATATATCGATCTTCAGCATCCTGCGGCAACATTGTCCATCTCATGGAACCTAATGACATCGAAGTAAGTTGTAAATTCCCCGTGCTCCAATTTTTCTAGAATAATTGTAGTTGGTACTATCGTCCACTAAACACTTGACAAAAGGTGGAAGATACAAATTTCTAGAAAAGTGGCTAGGAAATAGTTTGCTACTCAGCACAGGTACTACATTTCAACGTTGTGCAGATAATTGTTGAAACTATCATTTTAGGCACCAAGTGGCGCACCAGGCGCAAGTTGTTGACACCCGCTTTCCACTTTGACATTCTTCGACATTCATAAACGTATTCAATGAGGAAACTTGCAGGTTGGGGCAAAAGTTTTCTGAAAGCGAGGAAATTGTGGACGTGGTACCATTACTAACTAATGTAGCTCTTCAGTCGATTGTTGACACTGCGCTGGGTTTAGACAACATAGACCACAGTCTTCAACACAAATACAAAGAAACGCTCCGCAACATTGAGCGAGTACTAATACAACTTTCATCTTCACCTTGGTATGCATTCAATTTCATTTACAAAATGACTAAGTTGACAAGAGAGGAGAGTTCTCTAGTGGCAGTACTTCACGGAATTTCAAACACTATAATAAAAAACAGAGAGGAAGAAATAGTCAACGTCTCAAGTCATTTGAGTACTTATTCTAAAAAGAAACGACTGGTTTTGCTAGATTTGTTACTAGTAGCCAAAAATGAAGGTTTTGATGTCGATCACGAGGGAATACGAGAGGAATTAGATCTGTTCATATTCGGAGGCCACGATACTATTTCCATGGCAATTTCTTTCCTATTTCTGATTCTAGCCAACCTTCAAGATATCCAAAATCGCATTGTAGACGAAATGTTGTCATTACTTGGTTCAGAAAAACTACCATCCTACAAAGATCTACAACATCTGAAATATACTGAACGTTGCATCAAAGAAACCTTACGTCTTTTCCCAAGTGTTCCTTCTATATTCAGAATAGTAAGTGAAACTTTCACCACTAAAACCGGGTACTTAATTCCAAAGGGTACACCCATGGAGATCCACATCTTTGATAGCCACCGCAACGAAAACATCTACCCTGACCCATTAAAGTTTGACCCCGATAGATTCCTTCCTGAAAATGTTAAAAGAAGACATCCTTTCGCGTATATTCCTTTTAGCGCAGGCCCTTGGAACTGCATCAGCCAAAGATACGCTTAGTTGGAATTGAAGTGTATACTTTGCGGGATTTTGCGAAAGTTAAAGCTGGAGAAGGTTGATGATATCAACGAGGTGGAGTTCAGGCTTGATTTGGTGCTACGACCCAAGAAAAATATCACGGTTAGGATCCTGCCACGGGTTTAGATATTTTTACATGAATTCGTAGCGCTAGTTTGATGTTTTTAAACCAGGCTAAGCGAGCAGCGCGACCTGAACAGGAGCTAACTAGATTAAGAATTCTAGGGAATCTTGTATTTATATGTATGTTGTGTTGTGGTTGAAAATAAACAGGCACTTGGGACACAATCGTTATCTTAACAATATCCAAAGCGCGTTTGTCGATATTCTCTCTAGGTCATCCTTTACGTTCTCCAAGAGAGCGAGAACCTCAGACAATGCGCAAAAACCGGTATTATATATTACGTTGGTTGGTTCAGTTAGTTGTTAGATAAACGACCGCTGCCGGAAAGCACGTTAGTCACACTTTCGTTCGTGGACGATCAATATTTACCTACAATTTTTATTCTGTTCACAAAAGCTCGTAATATTGATGCAATCAACATGTGAAACATCGACCCTGGTACAAAGTACACACTCACAAACAAACTCGAATCCTTGGTACGTCGACTGTGTACACTCGATCCGAGCCAAACATGTCGTTTTATGTGTTGTTACTGATAAGCACTGTTTTAACTATTGTGTTGATTCGGAAAGCGTACAAGAAATTCTACCGGGATGAAAAACTGCTGCAAGATATACCGTACCCTCCTGGAGTGTTCCTTTTGGGAAATTTACCCTTGTTGATGCGTGCTGGTGAGTTAATTTAGTGCTAAAACCGCCACCTTATTATTTTATTTTAGATACGCTGTTTAAAAAAATTAGACGGTACTCGAAAAAGTACTACCCGATATATCGATTTTCAACGCCCTATGTTAACATTGTGCACCTTCTGGACCCTAACGACATCGAAGTAAGTAATTAAAATGTCATTTAAATAGTTTCTTTACACGTGTTTTTAGTTGGTACTGTCGTCCACCAAACACTTAACAAAAAGTAAAATCTACACGTTCTTGCACAACTGGTTGGGAACCGGTCTTTTGACAAGCTCGGGCGTTAAATGGCACAAAAGACGCAAGATTTTAACCCCTGCTTTCCACTTCAACATTCTTCAACAGTTCTTAGTTATATTCAACGATGAAACGTCAAGGTTGGTCGAAAAATTGCACGACAAGTGTGACAGTACTATTAATGTGGTACCGTTAGTCACGAATTTCACGCTTCAAACAATCGCCGAAACAGCGATGGGTTTCAGTAGTGTTATAGACGAAACGGGTCAAAAAAAATATAAAGCTGCGATTCACGAAATAGTGCAAATCGTTTTCAAACGATTAGCCAAACCGTGGTTGTGTTTTGACCCGATTTTCTACTTCAGTAAACTCGCTAGAGAGGAAAGTCGCGTGATTAAGATCCTGCACGATTTTTCCGGAAACATAATCAAGGAGAGAGAGAAAGAAATGACTGTGGAAACTTATTCCAAGAAAAAACGTCTAGCGATGTTGGATTTGCTTCTGTCAGCGAAAAACCAAGGTGCGGATATCGATAACGAAGGAATAAGAGAAGAAGTGGACACTTTCATGTTCGAGGTACTACGACTCCAGTACTTGACTTAACTGATTCACAATTCTTTGTTTAAGGGCCACGATACCACTTCCATGGCTATTTCGTACCTCCTGCTCGTTTTAGCCAACCTTCAAGACATACAAGCCCAAGTCTTGGAGGAGATATTGTCAGTGGTGGGTCCAACGAAAGTACCAACCTACGAAGATCTGCAAGAGCTGCGCTACACCGAAAGGTGTATCAAGGAAACGTTGCGCCTTTTCCCATCCGTTCCTTTTATTTCCAGGATCACTGGTGATGAATTCAGGACCAGAACCGGCCACACGATTCCCGCAGAGACGGTTATTCATGTGCACATTTTCGACGTTCATCGCAACGACAAGCTTTATCCTGATCCTTTGAAGTTCGATCCGGATCGATTCCTGCCGGAGAATGTCAGCGCACGGCATCCTTTCGCCTATATTCCGTTCAGTGCGGGTCCTCGGAATTGTATAGGGCAGAGATTTGCGTTGTTGGAGTTGAAAGCGGCGCTTTGTGGAATTTTGAGGAACTTTAGGTTGGAGAAAGTTGATGATATGTATGAGGTGGAGTTTAAGGCGGATTTGGTGCTTCGGCCGATCAAGGATGTGAAGGTGAAGATTTTGGCGCGGGTTTAGAGGAAAGTTCGAGAAATAGTGGCTTGACTGACTGATGTTAATATATGTTTTTTGCTTTGTTATAAAGTATCGAACGAAATCTGGTGATAATTATTATTGGCTGTTTTGTACCTCTAGGATATCAACAAAATGTATTTGTGTAATAAAATTTTGTATACAAGCTTTTTCTCCAATATTTGCTTAAGAAAAACAAATTATCTTTAAGTAAAAAAAATGAAATTGGAAATGTATACAGTCGGAAAAATTGCTACGAAAAAGTGAACACATTTCAGAGTCCTCTGGAAGTTAAAGACAAATAAATATAGAAAAATTGTCAATATAAAAATCTTAATTAATCTGGGATTATAAATCTACACTTCCGGAATATTATTAATTCGATTATATATCTACGTATTGGTCCAAGGTCTCGATGACTACTTTCAGGTCTACAACCTCTGTGTCTAATAAATTTAAGTCGAATGCCAATTTTAAGCTGGCAACCACGACTGACGTGCGCAAGTTCCTAATGAAGGTGGGAATAAATAAAATAAAAAGAAGCCCAGGTATTACGTCAATTTCAAAAAACCCGCAGTTAATTTGGTGTAAATATTTGATTAAATTACGTATGTTCAAGAACCATTAGCTACAATTTTTTTCTTTATTGACATTAATGACTAATTGACACAACACGTAAAGCATGAGTTTTTACTTATTTTTTTTAATTCGGTATTTTTATAGTCATATTAAAGTATTTTTTGTGGAATGGTATTCCTAACTCATAATGTGACATAATTCAAATTTGGTAGCTAATAATTGGCATTTATGGAACGATTTTCATATTATTGCTGTTCTGTTTAAAGCACCCAGATACCTTGCCTGAACTCAGTGTGCCAACATTCAAAAGGAACTTGAATGTCCGCCAACTAAGGCTGTCAAAGTAACTAAATTGATTTAGATGATTTTTTTAAATAAGGACATCAGTTATAACACTCCTTGTTTAGAAAAACTCGCCGCAAACGTCTCGTTTTACAAACTTGAACTCGCTTGAGAATAATGGACCTTGTAAGACATGTTTTTTAATATACTAATACATTTCTAATGTTTTTGTGTTATTTATAACTATTTTAACACGACTTGTAAACATTCTTGTACTTTGAATGAGTACACTTTTTACAATAATACTTAAATCAATTGATTGGTAAGATAATGTCATTGAGCTTGATAGAGTAGAATGTTTGTGGAAAATATTTATATTTTTTTAATTCTACGTTTTATTTTTTAAGCGACTGCTAAGATAAGTGTTATAATTTTGGTGGTGAGCACTCGGTGTTTCATTTTTGCAGGAATTAAAAAATATTGGGGGCCTTTGTGTCTTTTTTGAAAAATGTGAAAGAATCTTGGGGTCCCCTATTGATTTGGTGTAGGATGAATATGAAAGAATTTTGTGCCACCCTGTTGTATTATTTTAAAATGAATTTGGAATAATCTTGGAGACCCATTGTGTTCTGTATTTAATAAAATTTTGAAGAATCTTGACAGCTCTTGGCATTTTATTTTTGAAGACAATTTACAGAATCTCAGGAGCACCCGTAGTTTTGGCTCTGAAAAGAATTTAAAGATTATCAAGGGTCCCTTGTATTTTAAGTTAGTGAAATGGGGAAGGGAGGAGCTAAGTTTAGCTTGTTTTCTAGTTTTATGAGCAAGTAGTAGCCCCACCCACCCGCCCCTTCTTCATTCTAGTGTCTACCCTTAAAATTGTTCAGTTCTATCTTGGCAAGTTTTAGCCCCGCCCGCCCACCCTTTATTTTTTTAGAAGGTATCTCATTTGCCACAATGAGTCTTATCTTAGCAAGTACTAGTTCCGCCCACCCGCGCTGTTCTTATTCTAACGCTTTTATGTCTGTTGAGTATAAGATCCACTTTTCATTCGCATTAGATAAAATGAATTATTGAAATGAAGGTGGCGTGGGTGGGTGGGGTTAATTATATGTTCTTTTGTAGAGTGGGAATGGGAACTAATAGAACATAGGCTGTTAAAAAAAGTGTTCACCGTAAATTTTTTATATGCTATTTGCTATAAGGTCCAATTCTTATTTTAGAAAAAAAAAAAAAGAAAGAACGGGTGAGTGGGCGGGGCTAAGTTTAACTTTTTGCTACAGTCTTTTATAAGCAAGTAATAGCCCCGCCTACCCACCCCCTATTCCATTCCAGCGATTGCTCTTAACATTGTTCAGTCATTTACCAAAATCAGTCTTATCTTAATAAATACTAACCCCGCCTAGCCGCCCTCTATTTTGTTACAGGATATGTAATTTGCTACAATCACTCTTAACTTAGCAAATACGTGCCCCACCCACCCACCCTTTATTTTCTTATAAGGTATGTCATTTACCAGAATCAGTCTTATCTTAGCACTAACTACTAACACCCTCACACATGCTGCTCTCATTCTAACGATTTTACCTCTGTTTAATTGAGATCCACCTTTCATTTGTGACGTGACCGGAATTAAATTTGTTATAATTTTTCAATTTTTGCCGTCTAATAAAGACACATGTTTAATTATTATTTGACGTATTTGTTTTTTTCAAAGTTTGAAAATCATTATCGTTGTTGATAGTCTGGAAAATGTTGATAAAGTAATGATAAGTTTTTGTTTTGTGTGAAGGTAGTTCCAAACTCGTTAACCCTAAATAAGTGTGTACACGAGGTAATTATTCGCTGCAATTAGTTGTTAAATGATAATGATTGATAGTACTGGTGGAACTACTACTTAAAACAGTGTTTTTCTAATAAAATAGCAAGATATTTCGTTTCTATTCTATTTTAATTACGTGGTACCTAATAAATGTTTCCTTTTGCGTCTTATTCTTTTAGTACTTGTTCTAAAAAAGATCAATCAAAAGAAAACCGCAATGGATTTTCGACTTGATCGTCGGTCGGAAGCTATCAATTTAAAAAAATTAGAATTCTGTTAAGTCATTTCAGCAACAACAATTTATTATTCTATTGGTGATAATAAAGTAATAACAAAACGCACCGACTTTTTGTTTTCGCGTTTCCCGGTTCTTTATGAGACAATAAGTATGCACAAAGCAGGCATACACAAATTCCTTTTTTTATTAGTTGATAAATCACCTCGTTTGGGATTGGTTGTAATTACATTCTCATTAATAATCAAACATACATGAGTGTACTCAGTCAGATCATGCTCAGTCAGATAAAATATAAAAGTTAAAATTTGTACGGTTATTAAAGACCTGCTGTCGAGGCTTTGGTGGTACCACCGCAGTGCAATTATTTAATCTGATTTCCTGCGTCACAATGTTGACTTATCTGCTCATTACTTCAATCGTGGTTATTGTCGTTCTAAGATTCGTACGATTTTATATAAAATTCTACAAAAATAAACGAGTACTTCAACGAGTACCTGCCCCTCCGGAACGGTTCTTTTTGGGGCATTTGAACGTCTTCACCAACAACCCTGGTAGGTATAAATTATTCATTAGCTCTATCTCATTAACATTTGCAGATGACATATTCGCCAGAATACGACTTTATTCGAAAAAGTACTACCCGATTTACCGGTTTTCCACTCCTTATATTACCATTGCTAATTGCCTCGAACCGAACGACATTGAAGTAAGTACTCGGAAATGCGCTCTTCGTTTTTCTTTACACAAGTTTTAGCTAGTACTATCGTCAACCAAACACTTATCAAAGAGCAAAATATACACGTTTTTATGCAACTGGTTAGGAACCGGTCTTTTAACCAGCACAGGTACCACTCTCATTTACGTATAACCCAATGCACAACTACTAGGTTTTTTCACCCTCGAATTGGCACAAAAGACGCAGAATTTTAACCCCGGCGTTCCACTTCACTATCCTCCAAAAATTCTTGAACATATTCAACGAAGAAACGTCCAAACTAGTCAATAAACTTCAGGAGGAAAACGGGAAAATTATCGACGTGGTACCACCAATCACCAATTTTACGCTTCAGTCGATCGCGGAGACCGCGATGGATCTTGACAATATAAACGAAAGTACCCAGAGGAATTATAAAGATGCCATTTACAACATCGGGGCAATTTTTTAAAAATGTTTGTCTAAACCGTGGTACCGCATGGACGCCGTTTATAGTTGGAGCAAACTGGCGAAAGAGGCAAGTGCCATCGTTAAAGTACTGCACGATTTTTCGAATTACATCATAAAAGAGAGGGAGAAGGAGATGAGTAGTGAGTCTCATGTGGGTACTTATTCTAAAAAGAAACGACTGGCGATGTTGGATTTGTTGCTGTCGGCGAAAAACGACGGTGCGGATATCGACTACGAAGGAATTAGAGAGGAAGTGGACACTTTCATGTTCGAGGTACTACTACGACTACCAACTTGAAGTTACCCCATCATAATTATACCTGTTTAAGGGCCACGATACTACTTCCATGGCTATTTCGTTTCTTCTTCAAGACATACAAGCCAAAGTCTTAGACGAAATATTGTCAGTGGTGGGTCCAACGAAAGTACCAACCTACGACGACCACCAGGAACTACGCTACACGGAAAGGTGCATCAAGGAAACTTTACGCTTGTTCCCGTCGGTCCCTTTTATTTCGAGGTACGCCAGTGAGGACTTTACTACCAAAACCGGGTACGATATTCCCGAAGGTACCGTTTTACACATTCACATTTTTGGTGTTCATCGCAATAAAACGCTTTATCCTGACCATCTGAAGTTTGATCCTGATCGATTCCTGCCGGAGAATGTCAGCGCCAGGCATCCTTTCGCCTACATTCCTTTTAACGCAGGACCTCGCCACTGCATCGGACAGAAGTTTGCTTTGTTGGAACTGAAAGTGGCGCTTTGTGGGATTTTGAGGAAGTTTAAGTTGGAGAAAGTTGATGAAATGTTTGAGGTGAAGTTCAGACCGGATTTGGTACTTCGGCCTATGAAAAATATAAAAGTGAAAATTCTGACGAGGCTTTAAATTGAAATAATTGTTGTATTTTAAAAAACAATAGTTGTTTGAATGATGGTCGCTTTGTTTTTTGCGTATCATTATGTTTATGGTGAGGCCAATTATGTGGCGAAAAGTTTTTATTTTTATCGTACATTGTGACAATTAGTATACGAAGCCATTACGGGTAGTACTAGGTTGGTAGTTTCACAGTAAACACATATTGGTATTAACATGTTTCTGATCTGGGTTGTATTTATCGTGGGGTTGGCGACCATCGCCATTAAAACTTTACTCTTCTTCAAAGAAAAACGTGAACGTAGAAAAATTCTAGAAAAAATACCGGCTCCCAAAGAACATTTTTTTTTTGGACATACATACATCTACGTGGGTCATCCAGGTAAATTTTGCGTTGTGCATATTTTAAAATTGACGCTGCTTTTTTCAAGACAACGTATTTAAAAGAATGCGCTATTTTGCCATGAAGTACTACCCCATATATCGATCTTCAGTACCCTACGGCAACATTGTCCACCTCATGGAACCTAATGACATCGAAGTAAGTTGTGAATTCCCCGTGCTCCAATTTTTCTAGAATAATTGTAGTTGGTACTATCGTCCACTAAACACTTGGCAAAAGGTGGAAGATACAAATTTCTAAAAAAGTGGCTAGGAAATAGTTTGCTACTCAGCACAGGTACTACATTTCAACCTTGTGCAGATAATTGTTGAAACTATCATTTTAGGCACCAAGTGGCACACCAGGCGCAAGTTGTTGACACCCGCTTTTCACTTTGACATTCTTCGACAATTCATAAACGTATTCAATGAGGAAACTTGCAAGTTGGCGCAAAAATTTTCTGAAAGCGAGGAAGTTGTAGATGTGGTACCACCACTAACTAATGTAGCTCTTCACTCGATTGTTGAAACTGCGCTGGGTTTAGACAACATAGATCACAGTGTTCAACACAAATACAAAGAAACGCTTCACAACATTGACCGAGTACTCATACAACGTTTATGTTCACCTTGGTATGCATTCAATTTCATTTACAAAATGACTAAGTTGGCAAAAGAGGAGAGTTCTCTAGTGGCAGTACTTCACGGAATTTCAAACATTATAATAAAAAACAGAAAAGAAGAAATGGTCAACGTCTCAAGTCATTTGAGTACTTATTCTAAAAAGAAACGACTAGTTATGCTAGATTTGTTACTAGTAGCCAAAAATGAAGGTTTTGATATCGATCACGAGGGAATACGAGAGGAATTAGATCTGTTCATATTCGCAGGCCAGGATACTATTTCCATGGCAATTTCTTTCCTATTTCTGATTCTAGCCAACCTTCAAGACATCCAAAATCGCATTGTAGACGAAATGTTGTCAGTACTTGGTTCAGAAAAACTGCCATCCTACGAAGATCTACAACATCTGAAATATACCGAACGTTGCATCAAAGAAACCTTACGTCTTTTTCCAAGCGTTCCTTCTATATTCAGAATAGCAAGCGAAACTTTCACCACTAAAACCGGGTACTTAATTCCAAAGGGTACACCCATGGAGATCCACATCTTTGATAGCCACCGCAACGAAAACATCTACCCTGATCCACTAAAGTTTGACCCCGATAGATTCCTTCCTGAAAATGTTAAAGGAAGACACCCTTTCGCGTACATTCCTTTTAGCGCAGGCCCTCGGAACTGCATCGGCCAAAGATTTGCTTTGTTGGAGTTGAAGTGTATACTTTGCGGGGTTTTGCGAAAGTTCAAGCTAGAGAAGATTGATGATATCAACGAGGTGGAGTTCAGGCTTGATTTGGTACTACGACCCAAGAAAAATATTAAGGTTAGGATCCTGCCACGGGTCTAGATATTTCTAGATGAATTCGCAGCGCTAGTATGGTTTTTGTTAATCCAGGCTAAGCGAGCAGCGCGACCTGAACAGGAGCTAACTAGATTAAGAATTCTAGGGAATCTTGTATTTATATGTATGTTGTGTTGTAGTTGAAAATAAACAGGTAATTGGGACACAATCGTTATCTTAACAATATCCAAAGCCCGTTTGTCGATATTCTATATTCTACCTAAGTCATCCTTTACCTTCTCCAAGAGAGCGAGAACCTCAGACAATGCGCGAAAACCGGTATTATATATTACGTTGGTTGATTCAGTTAGTTGTTAGATAAACGACCGCTGCCGGAAAGCGCGTTAGCCACACTTTCGTTCGTGGACGATCAATATTTACCTACAATATTTATTCTGTTCACAAAAAGCTCGTAATATTGATGCAATCAACATGTAAAAAAAACATCGACCCTGGTACAAAGTACACATTCACAAACTCGAGTCCTTGGTACGTCGACTGTGTACACTCGATTCGAGCCAAACATGTCGTTTTATGTGTTGTTACTGATAAGTACTGTTTTAACAATTGTGTTGATTCGGAAAGCGTACAAGAAATTCTACCGGGATGTAAAACTGCTGCAAGATATACCGTACCCTCCTGGAGTGTTCCTTTTGGGAAATTTACCCTTGTTGATGCGTGCTGGTGAGTTAATTTAGTCCTAAAACTGCCACCTTATTATTTTATTTTAGATACGCTGTTTAAAAAAATTAGACGGTACTCGAAAAAGTACTACCCGATATATCGATTTTCAACGCCGTATAATAACATCGTGCACCTGCTGGACCCTAACGACATCGAAGTAAGTAATTAAAATGTCGTTTAAATACTTTCTTATACGTGTTTTAGTTGGTACTATCGTCCACCAAACACTTAACAAAAAGTAAAATCTATACGTTCTTGCACAACTGGTTGGGAACCGGCCTTTTGACAAGCTCAGGCGTCAAATGGCACAAAAGACGCAAGATTTTAACCCCTGCTTTCCATTTCAACATTCTTCAACAGTCCTTAGTTATATTTAACGACGAAACGTCAAGGTTGGTCGAAAAATTGCACGACAAGTGTGACAGTACTATTAATGTGGTACCGTTAGTCACTAATTTCACGCTTCAAACAATCGTCGAAACAGCGATGGGTTTCAGTAGTCTTATAGACGAAATGGGTCAAAAAAAAATATAAAGCTGCGATCCACGAAATAGTGCAAATCGTTTTCAAGCGATTGGCCAAAACCTGGTTGTGTTTTGACCCGATTTTCTACTTCAGTAAACTCGCTAGAGAGGAAAGTAGCGTGATTAAGATCCTGCACGATTTTTCCTGAAATATAATCAAGGAGGGAGAGAAAGAAATGACTGTGGAAACTTATTCTAAGAAAAAACGACTAGCGATGTTGGATTTGCTTCTGTCAGCGAAAAACCAAGGTGCGGATATCGATAACGAAGGAATAAGAGAAGAAGTGGACACTTTCATGTTCGAGGTACTACTACTCCAGTACTTGATTTAACTAATTCACAATTCTTTGTTTAAGGGCCACGACACCACTTCCATGGCTATTTCGTACCTCCTGCTCGTTCTAGCCAACCTTCAAGACATTCAAGCCCAAGTCTTGGAGGAGAAATTGTCAGTGGTGGGTCCAACGAAAGTACCAACCTACGACGATCTCCAAGAACTGCGCTACACCGAAAGGTGTATCAAGGAAACGTTGCGCCTTTTCCCATCCGTTCCTTTTATTTCCAGGATTACTGGTGAAGAATTCAGGACCAGAACCGGCCACACAATTCCCGCAGAGACGGTTATTCATGTGCACATTTTCGACGTTCATCACAACGACAAGCTTTATCCTGATCCTTTGAAGTTCGATTCGGATCGATTCCTGCCGGAGAATGTCAGCGCACGGCATCCTTTCGCCTATATTCCGTTCAGTGCGGGTCCTCGGAATTGTATAGGGTAAAGATTTGCGTTGTTGG